AATTATCAATTGTCTGATTAATTTAATTGGGCTGACTCTGTTTCAATACCGATTTATTCGGGGCGCGAATAGAATACACTTTGGATGTCCCTTAACCCGTGTATGCAATTGGAACGGGACATTTCGGACATTTAGGATGGTACAAAATCATTTCAAAATGGGATATCCGTATTTTCGTTGTAAAACGGCTATTTTGTACGTTAATTATCAATTGTCGGATTAATTTAATTGGGCTGACTCTGTTTCAATACCGATTTATTCGGGGCGCAAACAGAATACACTTTGGATGTCCCTCAACCCGTGTATGCAATTGGAACGGGACATTTCGAGCATTTAGGATGGTACAAAATCATTTCAAAATGGGATGTCCGTATTTTGTTGGGAAAACCGTTGTTTTGCATGGTAATCATCAATCGTCTGATTAATTTAATTGGGCTGTCACTTTTTCAATACGGATTTATTCGGGGCGCGAATAGAATACACTTTGGATGTACCTTAACCCGTGTATGCAATTGGAACGGGACATTTCGGACATTTAGGATGGTACAAAATCATTTCAAAATGGGATATCCGTATTTTCTTTGTAAAACGGCTATTTTGTACGTTAATTATCAATCGTCGGTTGAATTTAATTGGGCTGACTCTGTTTCAATACCGATTTATTCGGGGCGCGAATAGAATACACTTTGGATGTCCCTTAGCCCGTGTATGCAATTGGAACGGGACATTTCGGACATTTAGGATGGTACAAAATCATTTTAAAATGGGATGTCCGTATTTTGTTGGGAAAACCGGTCTTTTGCATGGTAATCATCAATCGTCTGATTAATTTAATTGGGCTGACACTATTTCAGTACCGATTTATTCGGGGCGCGAATAGAATACACTTTGGATGTCCCTCAACCCGTGTATGCAATTGGAACGGGACATTTCGGACGTTTAGGATGGTACAAAATCATTTCAAAATGGGATATCCGTATTTTCGTTGTAAAACGGCTATTTTGTACGTTAATTATCAATCGTCGGATGAATTTAATTGGGCTGACTCTGTTTCAATACGGATTTATTCGGGGCGCGAATAGAATACACTTTGGATGTCCCTTAACCCGTGTATGCAATTGGAACGGGACATTTCGGACATTTAGGATGGTACAAAATCATTTCAAAATGGGATATCCGTATTTTCTTTGCAAAAACCGGTCTTTTGTACGGTAATTATCAATTGTCTGATTAATTTAATTGGGCTGACTCTGTTTCAATACCGATTTATTCGGGGCGCGAATAGAATACACTTTGGATGTCCCTTAACCCGTGTATGCAATTGGAACGGGACATTTCGGACATTTAGGATGGTACAAAATCATTTCAAAATGGGATATCCGTATTTTCTTTGCAAAAACCGGTCTTTTGTATTGTAATTATCAATTGTCTGATTAATTTAATTGGGCTGACTCTGTTTCAATACCGATTTATTCGGGGCGCGAATAGAATACACTTTGGATGTCCCTTAACCCGTGTATGCAATTGGAACGGGACATTTCGGACATTTAGGATGGTACAAAATCATTTCAAAATGGGATATCCGTATTTTCTTTGCAAAAACCGGTCTTTTGTATCGTAATTATCAATTGTCTGATTAATTTAATTGGGCTGACTCTGTTTCAATACCGATTTATTCGGGGCGCGAATAGAATACACTTTGGATATCCCTCAACCCGTGTATGCAATTTGAACGGGACATTTCGGACATTTAGGATGGTACAAAATCATTTCAAAATGGGATATCCGTATTTTCGTTGTAAAACGGCTATTTTGTACGTTAATTATCTATCGTCGGATTAATTTAATTGTGCTGACTCTGTTTCAATACGGATTTATTCGGGGCGCAAACAGAATACACTTTGGATGTCCCTCAACCCGTGTATGCAATTGGAACGGGACATTTCGGACATTTAGGATGGTACAAAATCATTTCAAAATGGGATATCCGTATTTTCTTTGCAAAAACCGGTCTTTTGTATTGTAATTATCAATTGTCTGATTAATTTAATTGGGCTGACTCTGTTTCAATACCGATTTATTCGGGGCGCGAATAGAATACACTTTGGATGTCCCTTAACCCGTGTATGCAATTGGAACGGGACATTTCGGACATTTAGGATGGTACAAAATCATTTCAAAATGGGATATCCGTATTTTCGTTGTAAAACGGCTATTTTGTACGTTAATTATCAATCGTCGGATTAATTTAATTGGGCTGACTCTGTTTCAATACCGATTTATTCGGGGCGCGAATAGAATACACTTTGGATGTCCCTTAGCCCGTGTATGCAATTGGAACGGGACATTTCGGACATTTAGGATGGTACAAAATCATTTTAAAATGGGATATCCGTATTTTGTTGGGAAAACCGTTGTTTTGCATGGTAATCAACAATCGTCTGATTAATTTAATTGGGCTGACACTATTTCAGTACCGATTTATTCGGGGCGCGAATAGAATACACTTTGGATGTCCCTCAACCCGTGTATGCAATTGGAACGGGACATTTCGGACATTTAGGATGGTACAAAATCATTTCAAAATGGGATATCCGTATTTTCTTTGCAAAAACCGGTCTTTTGTATTGTAATTATCAATTGTCTGATTAATTTAATTGGGCTGACTCTGTTTCAATACCGATTTATTCGGGGCGCGAATAGAATACACTTTGGATGTCCCTTAACCCGTGTATGCAATTGGAACGGGACATTTCGGACATTTAGGATGGTACAAAATCATTTCAAAATGGGATATCCGTATTTTCTTTGCAAAAACCGGTCTTTTGTATCGTAATTATCAATTGTCTGATTAATTTAATTGGGCTGACTCTGTTTCAATACCGATTTATTCGGGGCGCGAATAGAATACACTTTGGATATCCCTCAACCCGTGTATGCAATTGGAACGGGACATTTCGGACATTTAGGATGGTACAAAATCATTTCAAAATGGGATATCCGTATTTTCGTTGTAAAACGGCTATTTTGTACGTTAATTATCTATCGTCGGATTAATTTAATTGTGCTGACTCTGTTTCAATACGGATTTATTCGGGGCGCAAATAGAATACACTTTGGATGTCCCTCAACCCGTGTATGCAATTGGAACGGGACATTTCGGACATTTAGGATGGTACAAAATCATTTCAAAATGGGATATCCGTATTTTCTTTGCAAAAACCGGTCTTTTGTATTGTAATTATCAATTGTCTGATTAATTTAATTGGGCTGACTCTGTTTCAATACCGATTTATTCGGGGCGCGAATAGAATACACTTTGGATGTCCCTCAACCCGTGTATGCAATTGGAACGGGACATTTCGGACATTAAGGATGGTACAAAATCATTTCAAAATGGGATATCCGTATTTTCTTTGCAAAAACCGGTCTTTTGTATCGTAATTATCAATTGTCTGATTAATTTAATTGGGCTTACTCTGTTTCAATACGGATTTATTCGGGGCGCGAATAGAAACACTTTGGATGTCCCTTAACCCGTGTATGCAATTGGAACGGGACATTTCGGACATTTAGGATGGTACAAAATCATTTCAAATGGGATATCCGTATTTTCTTTGCAAAAACCGGTCTTGTGTATCGTAATTATCAATTGTCTGATTAATTTAATTGGGCTGACTCTGTTTCAATATCGATTTATTCGGGGCGCGAATACAATACACTTTGGATATCCCTTAACCCGTGTATGCAATTGGAACGGGACATTTCGGATATTTAGGATGGTACAAAATCATTTCAAAATGGGATATCCGTATTTTCGTTGTAAAACGGCTATTTTGTACGTTAATTATCAATCGTCGGATTAATTTAATTGGGCTGACTCTGTTTCAATACGGATTTATTCGGGGCGCAAATAGAATACACTTTGGATGTCCCTCAACCCGTGTATGCAATTGGAACGGGACATTTCGGACATTTAGGATGGTACAAAATCATTTCAAAATGGGATATCCGTATTTTCTTTGCAAAAACCGGTCTTTTGTATTGTAATTATCAATGGTCTGATTAATTTAATTGGGCTGACTCTGTTTCAATACCGATTTATTCGGGGCGCGAATAGAATACACTTTGGATGTCCCTCAACCCGTGTATGCAATTGGAACGGGACATTTCGAGCATTTAGGATGGTACAAAATCATTTCAAAATGGGATATCCGTATTTTCGTTGTAAAACGGCTATTTTGTACGTTAATTATCAATCGTCGGATGAATTTAATTGGGCTGACCCTGTTTCAATACCGATTTATTCGGGGCGCGAATAGAATACACTTTGAATGTCCCTTAACCCGGAAATTTCTGGCATTTAGGAAAGTACAGAATCATTTTACATTTAATAATACCTGCGTACGTACGTGTCATAAAAGTATCGTAGAGGGCGCTAAACAACCATGTAGTTTGGGAAAAGAAAATCGCGGCCGGGCCGTATGAGCATTAATCTTCATGAAAAAAAAGGAAAGAAAAATGTGAAATGAGGCACCCCCGGTACATTTTGGCAAAAAACAAATAGGAATTCCTGATTAAACAGGATTCTCATGCCTGGGACCCGGTCCTTCCCGCAACGCACCACTACTTAAGGGGCAGTCTGGCGGATATAGCGCCCTCTCATCGGCCGGCTATAAGGCAGAACCTTAATTCAGTAACGTTAAAACTTATAACATTAACATTCCCAATTCTGAAAATAAATTGCCACGGTTTTCATTACGATTTACTTTAGAGTCGAATAAACAACAGTTTCAGTTATAATCAACCAAAGAAGTTGAACTTCCTTTATAATTCGTTTTCTCCTAAGGTTTATTTGCAATGACTGTTTAGGGCCACCGTAGTGGTAGTCTTCACGGCGTCGCGCCGCCGTATAAATAGTGCCTAGCCGAAAATCCGGCCAGCCGAAAATCCGGCCCGACTTTCGTGCCAAGATCAGCCTGGTACATGAACATGCATGATGCAGGAACTTTTCCCACACGTGAATCGGAAAATGAGCAAATGTAGGGCTCCTACACTCACGAATGAACTTTGTTACGTTACAACGTCTGAAGCGAAGGCGCCAGACTAGTCCCATTGGAACCTGGAACCGCGCCCTCTGTTGGCTAGAGTTAGTCAGGAAAATAATTTTTCAGTGTTAATTTTTTTTTCATGATTCTCGTCGCCAATCACAGGACAGGGCCACTTATTAAAAAGGTGAGGGTTACACAAAAAAGGGTAGAGAAAAGGAAATTTAAGAAAAAGATAATTTACTTCTTCAAGTACTCATGAATCGTTGACTCACAGTACACTTTCACAAACCAAGAAACACGGAATTTGCAGGTGCTTCAAACTAATATAACCTCGAAAAGTACCTCAGTTTAATTCGAAATGAGCCAAAGAGCAACGAGCACGAGACACCAATAAGGCGGCTGAATTAAGCTTTTAAATGTGTACCTTCAGAGAATACAAAGTATTGCCCTAAACACTCATAACATATTTTGTCCATTTGAAAGTTTCCAATTACACGTATTGCATAAAATACCACGGAGGTAGGAATAGGGGTGCATACCTATGTTCCCCAATACCGATGTTCCCCGAAATCCTTAACCCTAATCCTAAGGATTTCAGGGAACATCGGTATTGACATAGGGGTATTGGGGAACAGACCCCAGGAATAGACCTCCATGCATAGGCCTTTACGTACGATGTATCCAACAAAATAGTTCCTTTATGTGAAACTTACTGTTCTCGGATGGCCGCCTGATAGTGATACGGATAACGCTGGCAGCATATAGTGCAAGAACTAGAAAAAGCATGCATCTAATAAAATCCCTCCCCTCCCCCCTCAAAATACTAACTTGGGAGAGAGAAACCTTGTCTCGCGGGCCCCTTTAATGTCCCTGCGTTCGCGCCATAATTCATGATAAATATCCGGTATTATGATAACCAGTAAGCCCGTCTGACTGTGTACTGTAGTCGACCACAGGTCGAGGGTTACGTGGCCAACAACTTGTTACCGTCCATTATTGCCTTTCATGTGTCTGTTTGTGCAAATACGGTGAGGGCCTTTGTTGTCAAGCAGCCGGTAGACTTGACATTGCCGCAGTCTCGCTCATCAGGCTGTTCGGGAGTAGATTTCCGACACCAAAAAAATCGTTAAAAAAAGCCTGTTCTGCACGAATAAAATCAAACGTCGATATGATCTCTGGATTTATTCCACGTTATGTCAATTTCAAGGTGGCATTTCGGAAACCGTGGCTTCTGGAGTTTAACATTACACACGGCGAAGCGTCGGGTATAAACATTAACTTGGGAAACAAATTTATAAACTTGATTAAAAAAATAACAATTCACCCGTCCTTGCAAGGGTCACTTTGGACACAGAACGCTATTACTGTATTCTGCGGAGGACAATAGAAAGTTGGAAGGTATTCAATATTATTGCATTGATACCGTATATACCTCCCCCAGGTTATATAGTAACAAAGAATGGGACCGGGCGAATCGATTTTTCTGGCGTTCCCGTTGCCATGGGGTACGGGGCAACTTTTGAACCCTTCCATTGGCATGCCACACCGATACACAGGACAGGACCGATCCAAGGCCTTGCATTTTTAGCGCCACACGCTTATTTCGAGTGGAGTGTTAAAGCACGTATACACAGAGTGAATGAAACAACAGTGAAATGCAGCATGATACATTTTCCACGGACATTTTTTTTTTGTCGTTTCCGTGTGCACTGTTATTGCAAGCATATAAGCCCATAATCGGCTGATAAAGTTACCAGCGTTGTTGTGGGTCGACACAAAATACAAGCCACGCTTGAACGCTTCCTGGGGCCAAATAAGCAGCAGTTATATTTTGACGAGACGATTGAATTGCGTTGGGACCCATTATTGTTGACTGGATGGTTATCGGAGGTTTCAGAGGAACAACAGGGGTGCGATAGTTCACATGTTATGACACTCGTCGTGCATTCTACTGGTATGTATTCAAGTCGAATTATTACTCAGAATCTGGACGCTAATTAGTTGACATTTTAAGGAGGATGTTCTGAACACTTTATGATTATGGGTCTATTGTTAATTCATCAGGAGAACTCGGCGTTTATTGTCATTCGTTAATGATCCTTCACGTGATCGGTGAGCTACATATGCACTGTGTTACTGAACACTGCAGAGCAGGTGTCGAGTCTCGCCGACTGGCAATAAAATGTTTTTCCTGCTGTTTAAGTTCAGATTTGTGAACGGTAATGGATCAGCAAAATGAATAAACTATCATGCTCATGATGGTTCAGTAAGATACGGAGAGCGTGTGGTCTAAAGTGCCGTGTACATAACAGACCTGAAATCATGATGGATGCGGTGCAAGAGGAGGTAGCCTCGCCGTCCTGCTCAGATGAAAATGGTGGAGGGACTGAAGATGAAGCTTCCCCCGCCAACGAAGACGCAGATGAGACAGACAGCGACACGCCTAAAGAGGAGGAGGAAAATGGGGCGGTGTGCTCCTCCCTTAAACTGGACCATCGAATGCAGAGGACGTTGTTTGAATTCGAAGACGCAGACGAAGCCGAACAAGCGGCAGCTGACCCACAGAGCCTGTCCCAGAACCTGACCAAGTTCAAGGACGACCTATGCGGTTGGGTGCCGGATACTAGCGTGCAATACCGGCGAACGGCTGCCGGGAAACAACCGCCAAAAGCCGGCCGGACCGGCTCCAAATCGGACGGTGCCAGTGCCTCCTCTCGGCGATTCTTAAACTACCGCAATAAGTATGGCCACACCCACCAACACACAGCTAATAATGTGGAGTACGAGTTTAAACACTTCGGCAACTACAAGAAGTACAGCGAGCAGTACCGGCGGTTTCACACCTGCGGAGGGCCTTTGCAGAAGCTCACACAGTCCGCATTAGGAGGCCGGTCCCGGACGATCTACTACGCCGGTGATGCTACAGCAGAAGCCGGAGTTGAGGTGGGTACATGTACCTCCAACACGAGAAGCAACTCTCAAGAACCACGGATCGGACAAGTCATGGCTGGACAAACGCTGCGTAGGCCACGGGTCTCAGAGAAGCCCAGCTCCACCACTCAGCCCATCCTTTCCTACAGTGATATCTCGGTGAACTCTCCCCGGTACAATCTGCTGTCCGAACCGACGCATCACCGGAAAGCCCGAGCCTTGCAGTACCCCAGCAGCATGGAGTGGACACACCCTCAGACCGAGACAGGTCTCGGGTACGGCTCCCAACAGCGGACTGGAACCAACGGCAGGCAAACACAAGGAGCTCAGCCCCAGGGGCAGTGGAACGTGGCCATGAACGATCAGACGCTGACCGTCTACACCTCCAAACCGCCCGGGAGCCTCCCCGCACCCACCCGCCCTGCTACTCCTCCCAAGCCGCACTTGCCGTTCTTTCCAAGTCAGCAGCCTCTACGACAACTCACCAAGACCAGGTCCTCCCTGACACCTCCCGGTCTGAATCCCTCCAACGAGCTGCTCCCGAGCGGGTACTCACTGGACAGATCTCTTGGGTAAGAAGGATCTTAATGCTCTTCAAGCTAATGGCTTTGCTTTTGTTCCATCTAAGAATAATGCTATGCTAAATTATATACTTCAGTCCAAAAAGTCAATAGGCTCAATTTTGCACGGATAGCATTTTCCCCATTCATAGTGCATTTATACGATATATTTTATGGTTTTTCAAAGCAGAAATCAGCCTGGCGGGCATAATCCAATTGCGCGAACGCTTTTTTGGCCATGACTCGAACAAGAGGGTCTTTTCCTTAAAGTTGGTATATACGTACTTTTTCAAAATTTCGATTTTGTTTCCGAACAAAATTTAAAGGAATATAATGTCATGAAACAAAGAAATGTGCTCGTTAGTTTTTGCAGGCCTTAAAGTGGTTTTAAATGGCGCGCTCCGGTTCAGAAATTGCGCACACTATAGTCAGGAGCATCCCGCTCTTAATTCAAAAGTTGAAATTAATTAATTGATTATTTTGTCGCAGGCCGATTTTTTTTCGTGCGATGTCTCATTGGAAAGCTCATAAATGTAATAATAGAAAATTGAAGCTAGTGGTAAAAAAATCTTCCCTATATTGAGAGAAGTCATATTAACGTGGCGTGACCGGTGCCCAATTGGACCGCATTCCTTCATTCTTCTAAACCCAACATACTATTGTCGAGTGTACCATTCTCTTCCAATTCCAATGTCAAATTTATATAATGACGTCAAAATTATATTTAAATTATACAGGGTGGGTAAAAAAACCAACGAAACCCAAATGTCGGGACTATATTGTCTTAGTGAAGGTCTGCATGTAGCACTTTCAAAATCCATGTGTGCGTTCTTTCATCAAAACGAAAACAATCCACACACATCCCTATGTGATTTGTTTTCGTTGTGCTGAAAGAACACTTACCTTTTTGTGATCCTTGGACAGAACTTTAAAACGTTGGTTGTGTTTAAAATTTCGTAACTTGAAAATGATATGAGTGATTTGAATGATTCTTGTACTAAAAGAAAGCTTATGAATTGGGCTTTCATATCCTAGATTTTGAAAGTGCTACATGCAGAACTTCACTAAAACAATGGTCCCGACATTCGGGTTTCGGTTTTTTCACTCACCCTGTATAATCCTAGTTATGTTTAAAAACTGTCACCAAGCATGCACAACTGAATCATAAAGATGAACGCCTCCATGAAATTCAAAAATCAATATCAACTTCAATGCGCTCATTTGCCTTGCCACCTTCGACTTCTAAACTGGACTTAAGATCTGCAGTTCTGCTTTTGTCAATCGATCGTTAATGCAAATGTTTATAAATAAACCAGCGCGTCTAATACTAACACGTCTAACAGCGTAGGCCTACTTGTGGAAAATGAAGTCGAGTCATTTTGAAATTCAATTGCGCCCAAAAGAGCCAAGATTTGGCCGCAGACTGTTCTGTTCTTAACTTTTGAATAATCATTTCGAGAGAAAACGATGCATGTAGACCATAATGCTTCATTAATCCCTCCCCCTAAAAAAAAATGTATTCGACCGTACGGTTAAACGGGTTAAAATTGCATACAGCTCTTTGTTTTAAGTTAATGTGATGGATATCATTGCTGTTTTGGTTTTTCATAATTATCTAATATTTTCCTTTTTTTTCTTGCGTCATGCTTTGTTCAGTTTCATGCATACGAGGCCTCAGACCCTTCCGTCAGTGGACCGACGGGTAATATTCATGCGCCTCCTGCTTGACCGCCATTTTTGATTCTCCTAAATGGCGAAAGCACTGGCCGGTGATTGGCCAAAGCACGCACAGCTGGTGGGCCAATAAGGGCCGTGCGTCTGCATCACGTGGCACAGGAGGCGGGGTTTTGGCACACACTTGATTTGTATCTTTCCCACTACACTGACGCACCGCTGAAGATTTTCTCCCACAAATCGCTCACCAGTGGACACCTATACACAAACTATTTTCGCTCATTGAGATATCCGATTCATGGACTTGAAATCACAATAGTCGAATAAGTCGATAGATGACGTCACGATGACGGATGGTAATTGCCAACCTCGTTCTTGAATTCGTTTTCAAAACCATAACCATAACAGTAATACTAGCCATAACGAAAAAATTGTGTGCTTTATAACAAGTGATTTGGATATTTCATGAAAAACGAACCGGTCATTACTGTAACTCACGATTAATCCTAATTCATGAAATCTCGATTAAAAACTAATAATTATGATTTAACGCAATTAACGATTGAAGCTAAACGCTTGTTTCCTCTGCTGCTAAACCCCTGTCTTGATGTTGTAGTCATTCCTTTTCTAATCACAAAAAAAGAACAATTAAGTCCGACGGGAAATCTGATGAAAATGAGCGCGACACAACGAGAACGATTGACTTAAATAATTATAAACTTCCAAGATTTCCAAGCGATTTCCTAATCGGGTGACTTTAGGGGGGGGGGGGGAAACACTTTCCCTACGAGCACTGCTAAATCCCAAGCATTTTCTGTATTAAACTACTTGTTATATGAGAGAAAACGTTCAAGACATTTTGACGTGCGTCCGTGAAATCTGAACTAAGCATGGCGATGTCTTCTGCACTAATTTCTTGGTTTTATTCTCCACTCTCTTGTTGTGAGCACTTTCCGTGAACACTTGTCTATTTTTACCATCTTCCTTTTTCGCGCTTACCCTCAAAGTTGGCACGCTTGTCACTTTAACCTTTTTCTATTGAAATGTCCCCGCTAAAAATTGGCACTCAGACTAACGTGACGTAACAACTATTTCCTTCAATTCGTGTCCCGAGAATGATGATGAGTTGTGTGGTTCTGAGAAGGAACCGCGCAAACTGAAAGTTTAGACTATGGAGGACAAAAAGTAGACAACTGCTTTTCTGCTGTCAGAATAACAGAAAAGCAGATTGGACGTTTTTCAAAGGCTCCAGTTTTCTGCGTTTCTGCTACAAGAAAAGCAGAATTTCACGTTTTAATCAAATCTACCTTTCTGGTTTTCGCTTTTGTGCTACCAGAAAAGCAGATTTTACATTTCTTTCTATGCTGGCGGACGAAATGTGGACATCTGCTTTTCTCTCACATTTTGCTCAGGTGACCGAACAGTGGCCGTTGCTTTGTTTTGACAACTGTTTCTACTTTATCTTTTCAGCTATACATGGGGGGGGGGGGGGGGGGGGTAAGCAGATTTTACTTAGGCGGACAAAAAGATGTCCACTTTTCGTCCGCCAGCAAAGCAGGAAAAGTAAAATCTGCTTTTCCCAGGTAGAAAAAAAAACACTAAAGCAGAAAGCAGATTTTATTAAAAGATAAATTCTGCTTTTCATGTAGCAGAAATTCAGAAAAGCAGATGTCCACCGTATTTAGACATCAATAAAAAAAGCGGTCTATTATAGTACTTTCTTCCCGATTGCCGTGCAGTATTCGTTGCTGTGTTTCTTAATTAAAGTGTTTTCTTCTCTCAATTTAAATACAAATGTAGTTTAAGTAAAATGTTGTTTTGTTTTCTTCGATACCCATAGCGCAAACTAGCATTGCATCATTTACTTTTTTAGTTTACCAAATCAATTAATTTTGAAGTCTAACTTCCTAATACGAGTACTGTCTCGTTGAATACAATTTCAGCTGTTGTACCATCGTGCAGTGTCAATATTATGTAGCCGTTTTGTTTTGATTGTTTTGCCAGAACCCCGGCCGGCTATTCGACTGGAATTTCTCGTAACCCTGCCCCTCATCGGGACTTCTACTCACAACTCATGCACGCCGCTCACTGCCTCAGTTTGGCAGCCAAGGTGGGATGTTTGTTGGCCTGTCTGTCCGTCTTTCTGCCGGTCAATCTGTCTGTCTGTTGATTTGTCCAACTCATTATATAAGCTGGGTGATTTCAATTTGTTTACATACCACTCTGTAATTAGCCTTGACCCTCCCCGTCTTCGAGTTGGATTTTTTTTGGTGCCCTCCTGAATCAAACAGAATCCAACAGCTTCAACACCAGGTCCTTTGGTTACTCCTCTTTGCAAATAAATATCCAACAGAAATCACCTAAGCTGTCGGACATTGTTGGATTTAGCAGGGTTATGTCACTATTTCAAGAAAATAATTGTGTAAATGCATTTCATGTTAACCTTGGTTATATAAACAATAGTTACCAGCCCACTGTCATATTAAGAAAATCGATGTGACTGGTTCACGGTCCACTTTTGCTTAGGACCTAATTCCATAGGCAATATTTTCAGCTTAGCAGCTGTGTAACATTTACTTATTCAGTGAAAATATCCGTTTTTGTTGCAGTCTCCTAAAGACTTCAATTTCGAACTGCCTCGCTGGCCGACATGCACCTCGCACACTGAAATCAGCACCGGCACCCAACTGCACCAGACTTCACATCCTGAGAAACCCCCAACAACTTCATCCACATCATCATCGACATCATCTTCAAATGCAAACATGCAAGTCCAAATGATGGGGAGAGGAGTGAGCACATCTCCAACCCCTACCAATCAAACTCTGAGGTCGACGTCACGGCCCTGCAAGCAGCAGCATCGGCAGCAGCAGGATCGACAGAAAATCCGGAAGTCGGCTTCCATGTACTCCATGGAGAATCCCACTTCTGCCACCGAAACCCACTACATCACCATAGAGGCGCCCACTTGCTCCCCCTTCGACACCAGGTCTGCCAAGCAGGTCAGGAGACCCAGAGACACCACAGAGGAGGTTGGGGTGAGCAAGGCCGCGTCTTACCGCGTGACTCTCAAGGAGAAATCGGTGGTGCCGGAGATCAAGGAGAAGACATCGGTTGAAATGGTGGCCGATGCCAACAGGCCTCTGGCAGTCTGTGAAGTGGTGAGTCTCGGGCCCTACTTTCATCTTTTGCAAATTTGATTGAAAAAGAGCACAGAATGATTGCTGCTGCTCATTGGAAAATTGAAATGAACAATTGATTATTAACGTTAAGTCATGACCTTTTTCCTCTTGAAGCTCATTTATTTAAAAATAATAATTGAAGTTATTGTGTAAGAAGCTAACACAGGAGTTTATAGTGTCTTTTGGAAAACCTTTTTTCTTTTTTAGTCGTATGCATGCTCCAATTAAATAATTAAGTCGGGAAACTATTGAGTAAACAACATAAAAAAGAGAACTTTCATTATTATATCTCTTTCTTAAGAGTACTAAATTTACACATTTTCTGATTTCTTTTACAGACTTGGTTTTGATGTCTACAAGTTTTGCCACTGTGCAACAGTTCTTGCCATTTTGACGATGGACATGAATTATTATAGTTTGATACATTTATCATGCACACCAGGAAAGAAGGCAACAAATTCGTATTCAAACAATTGTGAAAACAGCATTGTTTCTGAACAAAGCAGCATTATTTAACTGGGTTTTTTTTAACACAAGTATTAAACGTTTACGTCTCTCCATTCACATGCTTTTTTAAAATGGTTAGATTCTGTTACAGCCTTGACAGAGATCTGCACTCTAAAAGTCTTCATATGTCTATGAAACTGTAAGGTGTTTTTGTGTGAATTATTCAAACAATGCAATTTCTCTGAATATTGAGAAGTCATTTATGCTGCTGTAAGCTTTTGTGTGTTTGCATATGAATATTATTTTGTTTTGCAAAGCAGATAGTTTGTCACCTCTGCATTATTAAATCCAAGACGGCACAAGGTATCACATTTCCATGAAGACATTAGAATGCATGTACAAGTACTCTACTTTCCTTGCTCAAATCCAAAAGAACATGATCCAGTGGCAGATGACAGGCCGGGGGTGGGTGGGGGTGTGTTAAACCCTTCCCCACTTGGACGGCAAACAAAAGGAAAATTATGCAGTTAAACCAGGCATGCAACTGGGAAATCCCAAAAAAAGAGGAAATTCAAATTTCAAAATTCAAATTCAAAAGCTATTTGAGTATTTGAGTGATGATCGAATATTTGAATATTCGGTATAAGGTCAGCCACCTTTCTATTCAAAAATTATTAACTTACAATGCAACTTGCCAAAATGAAATTTGACGAAGCTCAGTCTGACTAGGAAAAGGCTGGCTGAAGACTTATCAGTTTGATCAATAGAGTGGTTGTGCTGCAGCCATGTTTGAGGTGTGTGTTTTTGTTCAACAGGGATACGCATGAGTAGACCTCTTAGGCATGCACTGTTAAAGGGAATATACAAGATTGGCTTTTGTTGTAATTTTCAGAAATGAACTATTTGAGGGGTTAGTATAATAGATCAAATATTGTTACACTGACATGTTGGAAGGTTTGTGTTCGAAAATGCTGGAAAAACCAAGAAAAACAAAAATGTTCAAGTAGTCTGGTTCCCCGACTCCACTAAATATAAAATGGATCAATTTACAGATGCCGGAAACTTGTAAGGTAATGGAACCAGTCTAGCCGGCCTGCACCCGTTCATGAACATGTAACCAATAGCAAACAAAATTTGGACTGAATGAAAAATGGTTAATTTGGAGCAGTAGTTGAAAAATAGTTAGGTTTTTCCAACGGTGGTCGGCCGACCACCGTTGGAAATTTTTACGAAAATACCATTTTCTTGAAAATGACTTCACACCAGGTGCCATAATTTTACAGGATGCTTTAGACTGTCATTTACCAACATCCTAGTAAGGTATTTCATAAAAACTAGGTAGTTTTATTTTTCGATGTTTGCAAATGTTGTATATTCCCTTAAATGAAGTAACATAACAAAACTCACCTCAAAGATGTCCGGTGAAGGCAACTGTTCTATAGGCTTTTATACACTTTGAATACATGTATGGAAAGAAAGTGCCAAGTGCCAGTCTTTGTGGTGAATATGCCAAACTACTGTATTGAAAACTTGTGTGTGTTGTTCTGTGTCGGTGAAATGCTTTTGTAAACTGATTTGTTGTTCAAAATATGACTTTTCACAATAAAAAAAAACACTTTAAAAGTGAGATGCACTAATGCCTTGCATAAATCTTTTGTTCTTTTTATTTGTATGATGCTGAACCAGAGAATAAAATGACTACCATTTGTACAAAGTCTACATTTTGAATGTCATTATTCAAAAACACTTACAAGTTCAAGAAATATCTTGGGTCAAATAGTTTCCTTTTTATTTTTATTTTTTTACATGTTTAAAGAGTTTTTCCTTTGCAGTAACGTTCTGCACTCTTAACCCTGAACTTTGACATGATTCTTACCCCAGATCCATATTTACTCGAAATATTGCAGCAGTTTTATTCATTATCCAAGGTTAAGATGGTAGACAATCTTTCTAAAAGATTTTTTTAAGTTAAATTTGTTAACATCCCAACAGAATGTCCATATAAATATGAAGCTTGATTTAGGAAAGTTGACTTATTAAAATCAGTTTTGATTGATATGGTTTTTAATAATCAGTTTTGCAAGAGCTTTTTATTAAAAAAAAATCAATATCTTCTTGATCATCCCAAGCCAAGTTTTAATTTCAACGTCTATGAAGCAATAGTTCTTTAGCAAAACATGTCAATAAATGAAATGGAAAGTCTCCCTACATTCTGTTCCAAAAATGAAATATATTTCCTGTAAATGAAATTTTTGGCTAAAACCCCCAGAAATTACCACCTTCTACACCCTGGCACGATCACCCCTTTTTTTAAATTGGAAATAAAGGTTTTTAAGAAATATTTTCACCACGAGTATCTTTCGAAAATGTACAGATGGCTTCCTGCTGACTTTGTGACTGACTTTGTTTTCTAGAAGTTTGTGACAAAATAACCAACCAAAAAGCAAAATCGGTTGAAAACGCCAAAGAGGGCCATCCATTTACCATCTAGTTTGACAGAAAAATAAATTTGTCTCCTTCAGATATGTGCAAGACACCCCTCTTCCCCTTCCAGATCCTTGAACATTCACAAAAAGGTCAAATGAGGAAGACATTTTCATTTTCAGAAGTGAAAGACAAAGATTCAAAAATCAGGAAAAAAGAAAATAATTCCTATCTTATTATTGATGCACATGGAACTCAAACTCGGAGCATCTGAAGTGAAAGCCAGGGGGATGGGGATGGGCATGGCTATAAACCCAACTTACAATCTGGGCGTCGTCGTTTTTTCTCAAGCTCACCGAGTTCTTTGTGCCAAGTTCTTCCGTTCCTAACACTGATGCAGATGGGATTGAACTGGACACAAGAAGTGAAAACCAGGGGGGTGGCGGAGAGGCGTCGCTGACCCGACTTACAAATCTAGGCATCTTTTTCTAGCTCTCCGAGCTCCACTAGCAACTCGTGCTTGTAATCGTCAAAGTTCCCGTCGATCTCGTTGATGGATTTCTCTTCCACCACCCAGAGTTGGCAGTCGGTCTCCGTGATCAGGCGGGCGTCGTGACTGACCAGAACGACTCCTGCAACAACAAAAAGTCAAATGACAATCAGCTTTTACCTGCATGTAAAAATATTTTGTATTACATTGTATTACATTGTATTTATTTCCCAATGAATTCACCAAACCATAAAGTACGGGGCGGTTTCGGGCAGTGATAGGAGTAGAAGGCAGGGTAGTTTGGGGCAGTACAAAGACTACTCGTCAGGAGACATGACTGTTGTCGGAAATATGGTCCAAAAATTTGAAACTATGTTTTTTTTCTTTTTTTTAAGCTGACTTGATGGACCAAAGAAACATAGAAAGTAACTGATCACAGGAAATATTTCTTGTGATTGGTCATCAACTGATTTCAGCTTGGCAAAAAGATCTATCCAATTTTGTTCAAGAGTTAGTGAATAGTTTCAGAACGGCACAAGTGCATGGAGATGTTAATATAAAAATTGTCTACGCCCAGCACTTGCTCTGTGTAAACAGGCTACGAGCTAAGGAAATTTGGTAAGGGATATTTTTCTGCCAAGGGTACCTCCTTTGTAGACGTTGATGGCATCGGCCAGGGCATCGATGGATTCTATGTCTAGGTTGTTGGTAGGCTCATCCTGGAGGAGGAGAACAAACACATGTATCATTTCTACATCCTCGTTAGGTTTATTCGGGCTTCCGGGCTACAGTGTCTCAAGTGCGTTTTTAAGGAATACTTGGTTTTATTACAAGAAAGACTTCATGAAATCAGACTCAATCGTGATGAAAATAAGACAGACAACATGATAACAACAAATGGCAAAAATATGTCCAGTCAGATTTGATTTGAGTAATGATAAATAGGACTAGGAGCTTTACATGGCAGAGGAAATAAAAAGGGTTTAAGGTTATACTATGCATTTCCAATTAATCTCTTCTTTTTATTAAAGAATTGTGTGTTCCTGTTCTGTTTAGACTCGCCATTCTTCAAACATAACCTAAATTCCTGCTATATGATGTAACCATAAACACTTACTACGTCATTTTATTTTATCTGAGTAATAAAGGGACATGTTCACCAAAGCTCACCAATATAATGACGTCGGGCTGTCGCTTGCACATGTCGGCAAAGGCCACCCTGGATTTCTGACCGCCCGACAAGTCCTTGATCTTGATGGTGTGAGCGTGGCTGATCAGTCCAAACTGACCAAGGGTCTTGCGAGCCTCCTGGTAGCCCAAGTTGTACACTCGCTACAGTAGAGAAAAAAAAAACACGAATGTTAAGACTGGACAATTTCTGAAACACTGGCGTTGTCTACATTTTACATCTTCACTACTCACTGGCTCCACAATCATTCACAAAGTTGTTAACGTTTTTTAGGACCAGGAAGTTTCACGGTGACATTGTGACTGTTGTGTGACTAGATACGTTCGCACGTTGCTACCAGTGCCCAGGCGTAGGTTACGTCACAAATCAACCACCAGTCGACTCACGGTCCTCGCCAAAACTTACTCTTACCTGTAAGTATTCCACTGATGTCTCGTCCAAGTCCAGCTGGTCGGCTGAATGCTGACTGTAAAAGCCGATACGCAGTCGGTGGTTCTTTCTCATTTCACCAGATAACTGCAACAAGTTTCAAACAAAACAGTTATACCTCAGTAGGTCAAGACACAAAGCTAGCAAGCAGCCAGACATATTTTAGTCTGAAAGGATAGCATTTTCTTCACTCACCGGTTGTAGGTCTCCCTTAAGTAATTTCAGTAGTGTGCTCTTCCCAACGCCGTTTGGTCCGACAATGGCAACTGAGAGGAAAAAAAAAAAAAGCAACAGGTATAGGTAACTCATATTCCAAGCTATTAAGTTTCAAAATAAATGTTGGCAGAACCTCGGAACCTCAGAACCTCGGAACCTCAGAACCTCCAAACCTCAGAACCTCAGAACCTCGGAACCTCAGAACCTCGGAGCCTCGGAACCTCAGAATCTCGGAGCCTCGGAACCTCGGAACCTCAGAACCTCAGAACCTCGGAACCTCGGAACCTCGGAACTCCTGTGCCAGCTGATGCAAAACAGGTATATTCCTGTTCCAAGGCTTCGGCAGTCTGTTCGACCACACAACCTGGCAGTGGAGGTACCACGATCAAACTGAGTCGGCCATCAAAGGTCCTTTTGACCATCTACGGCCCGAATATGGAACTCTCTTCCTGCCCACATACCCACTAACAGGAATCTGGCTATCTTCAGGAGGGAGGTGAATCGCTATCTGGGCGACAAGCCATCAGCAGTCTCTATTAATCAATAATGTTTCTAGCTGTTAAGGCCCAGATATGCCTTGTAAAAAAAAAAAAAAAAAAAAAATACATCATAAGTGCTCTAAAACGAAACAAAAATAAAACCAATGTAGAAATGCACATAGACAAAAACAAACCAAACCAACTCTGTATAAGCTAAAATAAAATCTCAGAGTAAACATACCACAAGAAATGACTTACTTCTTGATTCCATATCTATGCCAAACTCCAGGTTCTTGAACAGCAACTCTTGATCTGGATATCCAAAATCCACAGCTGGGAAAACAAATAAATAACCGATAGGTGTGATAAGCTCAGTGGTGGTTAAACTAAAAATTGGAATTTCATATTTCATAAATTGAGTTTTTAAAACAGCTTGGCCCAATTGTAAAGAGCAGTTTAGTTGACATATGTGAGGCGCTCTGGCAAAATGAGATGGAAATGGGCACGGGCTGTAATGGAGAAAAATGCCAAAAACTGAATAGGGAGATTTTTTTCCGATTTTCCGATTTACTGATATTGGTAACCTCTGATATGTCTACTACATGTACAGAAATTTTAAAGAAATAGTATACAAATCGTGGAATAGAAGCACTAAAAAAACGCAACAAATGGTATGTTTGGTTTTTGCAACTACAAAACTCAAAGTTGAAAGGCCTTTTTCTCAGTATTTTACTTTTTTGAAATGGCGATAAATGCAAACTTTAAACAGCCATAACTTGTCAACGGAATGTCCGATTGAGCTTCAACAAACAGTATCGCAAGGAGAATTTTGTTCTCTTTCCTAATACCTGCAAACCCTTATGTCGATCTCTTCCCACTTCTGTCTTATTTTGCCAGAACGCCAAACATATTGCTTAACACATTACTTCGTGAACCGGCTGGGAACCAGTCATTAGCAACGCACATTGCATGACAGTTTTGGCTGGTAACCTGCTGTTGCTAAGGAAATCTTGATTCTGTGCTGAACACATATTTGTGCTAAAAAATCTGCCTCTTTTTTCTTTCCAAAAATGTGAACTCACCATAGAGCCCCAGGATTGGTGGGTTGAGTTTGGGGGGTTGCGGGAATGTAAACTTGACCACGTATTCCCTGGGTTTAGCCAGGAGTTCAAGGACCTCTACTTCCTCCCCCGTGGGGTCGCCTTTGTTCTTGTTCTTCCCTTGTTTCCTTCCTTGTTGCGTCTTTGTTTCCTTTTCCTGTCAAAACATTGGGGGGGGGGGAGGGGAAAATAAAACTTAAGAGCTGTCCCACAAAGGAATTTAATAAGGCTGAGTAAAACCAAAATTATTTCTCTTTTAATGATGGAGATGGGCACTTTTTCCCCCAAGATGGCAGCTTTTCCACGGTTTTTTTTTTTTTCATCGGAAGAGTGAAGATACCCTTCTGTCTGAAATTTTCAGGAAATAAATCAAAGCGTTGTATATCTCTCTTGCAAGCCATCAGAAACAGGTAAGTTTTAGTTTTAATATTACAATGTTGAAATAGCGCACAATGCTATACACTTAATCCCCATCCCAATTTTGAAAAATAAATACTCGCGCCCTCTTGGCCCAATCAAAAATTTGACTTACAGCATCCTTGGTTGATTTTCCTCTCCCTTTTAACTCTTTGATTTTCTTTTCCTGTTGCAGAAAAAAACAAAACCAGAGAAACAAAAGTATAGTTATCACGTCATCCTTTTATGTTTTTCCAAGTAACTTCATGAATTCTCTCAAATCTTGCACTTTGCAGTAGCCAGAAACCAAAAATGCCCAATCTGTATTTTAACTTTCAAAGGGTTTCAAGCCCAAATGCGAAGTGATATAATCATGTGGGGAGCATTTCCCTGGCAGCCAATAATTCAAGATTGTAACCCTAACTCCCTAGGCCTTTTTGCTAGGATGCAACCTCAATCCTGCAAAATCCTCCAACTGCATTCATGTAAAAATTGCATACAGCCTCAATCCTCCAAAATCATCCGTTATTTCTTGAATGTGGTCCTTGGAGGGGTGACCACTGCCTCAATCCTGCAAAATCCTCCAGTAATCACTGTCAACATGTTGAGGCAGAGCAAGTGACTTCCTGGAGCAGTGCGGAGGATTTCAAGTATAATCTAGGCCTAAATTTATGCACGGCTGAGCATGAACAACGCAAGGTACGGCCTAAGACCTTGACACAGTGCATCCTCCAAAATCAGCAACACAGTTTTGCAATACAGCCTCAATCCTGCAAAATCCTCCATTTTGCAAAGAGGATTTTTGAGGATTTGGGAAGGTTAGGGTAATTAAAGTAATAAATAAAACAATAACTAAACATGGGCCGATTTTTGGCATTCGATGTCTCATTCAAAACTGAATAGCTTTTGTATTTCAAGAAAAATAGCAATTTAGAAAAGGAATCTATTTTTCAGGATGAAACTTGAAAATAACACAGGAAATACATCTTTAAGATTTTACAAAGTACAAGCATTATTTTTTTAATGTCTGGTACCCCAACTCCTCCCACACAATACCAACCTGTTTCTCGTACTCCTTGAGCTGCTCTTTCCTCTTCTGTTTGAACATCTTCTTAAATGCATCTGTATGATTGGTCAATAACAAAAGTCAATGGTACATTGTCAATTACAGAAGCAATGCAATGTCAGGTAATCGACAAAGCCAAACTTTTGACCAAAAAGAAAAAACATTTTTGGAATCAAACTTTTGCAATGTTTTTAGGACAGAAATGCCATAAAACATTTTAGAGAATTTTGTTAATGTGTGACATCAACAAATAACAGTTCAACTGTGAGCAGAAATTAATAAAAAATATTAAAAATTTAAAAATAATAACACCAAAAGAAATCACAAAATAACGACTTACTGTAATTTCCCTTGTAATACTGTAACTTCCGTGCATCTGTGTGAAAACAGAAAGGATACTTAAGTCATATTTTACATAAAAATTAACAAAATAACCACAACTTCATGACCATTGCTGTCTAGAACAAATCTTTGAGTGGAAAATCACATATGTTAAATAAAACCATTCTGTAATCGACTGATAATGAAATGGCATGTAACTTTCAAGTGTAAATGTAGTGTGCATTAAAATGTTTAATCCAATAGTTTTCAAGCTGTTACAAAAATGAAAAAAAAAAGTTTCACCTAAATGGATGACGTCTGTACAAACATCATCTAAGAACTGCTGGTCGTGGGAGACGATGAGTAGTGTCTTCTTCCATCCTTGCAAATAGCTGGATTAAGAGGATTAAGAAGATGAGATTTAAGGGATTAACAACAATAAATGGATTAGGAAGATTACAGGGATTAAGAGAGATTAAAGTGATTAAGAAAATTAAAGGGATTAAGAAGAAAATCCAAACAAAGGTGATTGCTCATATTGATGACAAAGTTGTTTTGGTTGCGAAAAATGTGTGAAAATGAATATATGTCCCAAATTCATCTTATTCTGAAAAGTTAAGGCGGCCAGATGTTGCAATTTTAACAAGTTCTTCTTGTAGAGACAAATGAAGATCTTGTTAGGATCGCAATTTCAGGACGTCTTAACTTTTTAAATTTGTACATGTCGGGTCAAGTCTTATGCAACTGAAAAATAAGTTGATCTCTGAAAGTTAAAAAAAAACATTAATAATAATAATTCCTGCCCCCAACATTCTGTTGGGTTTTGTAGGGTGTGAGTGGTGTAGGGTCTCAATTATTTACTGATTTTGACGAAGGAGACTTACCTGTTCAGCCAGATAACAGCGTTCAGGTCCAGATGGTTAGTAGGCTCATCAAGCATCAGTAACGTGGGTTCCATAAACAGAGCTCTGTTGTCAACAACAACAAATTTTATGTTTATAGAAAAGCATTGGTATTAAACATGTGAACCAACTATGCCGGCAGAGCGCCAGCAGCAGCTCATGGACAAGAGAAAAGAAAAAGGCTTCCAAAGGTGTCCGCTACAATATTTATTTTATATAAATATGAAACATTTGGTGAATATTCAACAGTACCTTGCTAATGACACACGCATCCTCCACCCTCCAGAGAAGTCCTGGGTCGCTTTCTTTTGCATTTCTGGTGTGAACTGCAAACCCTGAAAGTACAACAAATCCATAAAAAAAGACTCAGTTAAATTTTTGTTATAGCTTAATTCAAGTCCAATTCAGTTTAAAAAAGCATCTGCTCACACATTTTTGTCTTCGAGAGAATCAATAAGCAACTCATTCCCAACAAATTGTTTTATTTCAAATAATTTGTCTTTCAATGTCAGACAATTTGCATCAACTCACCGCCAATATTCTTCTTGCTCGTGGTTCTGCCGAGTCAGCGCCGATTGCAGACATCTCCTCATAAACCTGGAGAAAAACAACAACAACAACAAATTACAAACAAAGTTGACAGTCAATGCTGTGGCGGCACTTCCATCAAATAGACACTATCACTATTTGCGCTCTGGTATTTTGAGGTATGAAATGTACAAATATATACGAACTAAACACTTAGCAAAATATAACATAGCATCAATAGTTAATATATGAAGAGGCTTAATGACCCTTGATGACGCTACTATCAACTGGCTGTCCTCGGACCTCCCAGTTTAAACGACGATGGTGTCCATACAAACGAATGAACGAATAGTGAAAGAAACCTCATTTGTTAAAAAAAAAAAATCAGTTTTTCGTTTTTACCTGTTTGAGTCTTTCACTGTGTGAGTCATCTCCTCTTTCACTTTCCGCCAGCAACTCTTTCTCCTGTGAAAAAGATAATTAAAAGGAGTACAAAACCTCATTGTTCTACAACACTGCATCATACACAAATTTATGAAAGACTCGTCTTGCTTTATACGATTAAATGTCATTTCTAAACATTGCAGCAAAATAATAATTAATTACATTGGCTTCTTGTATCTGCTCCGATCAAGTACCCCCTCATCGGCAAAGAAAGTACAGTTGGGGGTGCCCGAGCGACGCCATCTTGCCTGACTGCAATATTTTTCCGCGAAAATGCAGCCACTGCGTGTACATAGTACAAATCCCCTGGTGTACGTGCGTCACACACACGCGTCAACCAGCGAAATGTACGTGTCCCACCCATGGGACGTCGTTTCTAGGTAAAAGGGCGCCCTCTTTTGTTGGCGCACGGAGCCCATAGTGCTCATGTCCATCACTAAGTGACACTCCTGGCACTCCAATATTCCCCTGGCTTTAGCACAGCTGCCATTATGGCGCTCAAGCCTTGAAGGAATTTCTTCCTACCAGGTACCCATTTACTACACCTGGGTGGAGAGAGGCAATCGTGGTAAAGTGCCTTGCCCAAGCGCACAAGCACCATGTTCCCCGTCAGGATTTGAACCCATGTAGCACGGCACACGAGTCAAACACCGTAACCACTGGACCACAGCACCCAAGGGGATAATATACCGTATCAGGATGCCTAGGGCTAAAGATGTCACAACAACAGCAAACTTTCCCCTACCTCTTTCAAGAGAGCCAACCGTTTCTTGTCGGAATTCAGGACAGCCTCAAAGGCTGGCGTCTCATCGGCTTTGACCTCTGACAAAAGCAAAAACAAAGGAAAATCATTAATCCGTCCAATAGGAATGAGATTGTCAATTACAAAAAAAAGGCTGAAAATTGATGAAATGTCTGAAAAATGCATATCTTTCTTTAGGCAAAAAAAAAAGTCTTCGGTTTCTGATATGGAGCTTGCCCCAAAAGTGGTGCAGCGACGTGATTTTTTTTTTTGTACTTGTATTTTCTTCAAATGTCGGCTGATGACTGCAAATGGTGCCCGGCTAACTTTAGCGCAAAATGTATGGGAGCCTAGAGAGACCACATAAAGCTTATACTCGATCGTAACCCCATCTAAAAACACATTAAAATTGTGCAGCAGCAGGATTCCAGTCAAACCAGTGAGTTTGGCATTTGGAGAAATCATCTTACATTGAAAAAAAACCTTTTTAATTTGCCGACGCGTATGGCTACAGCGACGCGCGTGCATACCAGAAATAGAGACCTTTTTTTGGCCTTATTAATAAAGTCTTTCTCTTTTAGATTCAAAAAGTCTGATTTCAGACAAAAGTCTGAAAAATCTCATGCCTGGTCCAACCCAAAAAATCAACTGCAACTGGATTCAAAGCTGCCTCCCCCTAAAAAATTTTTAAAAATCAAAGTGTGACAGTCCCTTGAAGCTACAGAGTACTGAAGTCTGACGTCAGCAGTCTTTGTTCTGGCTGAAACTATGCACGTCAACCAGAATACACGGTACACTTCGGTACTCGATATTAGATTTAAACCTGATGACTGGTCCATGCAAGTTCAGTTGCTGAGTGGTTCAAGACAAAGAATGTCAAGGAAATCCTAGGGTCCTTCCTTACCTTGTTCACACAGCAGAACGTCGATATTGGGTGGAATGGCCAGAGCCCTGGTGGCAATGTGGTTCAATAATGTGGTCTTACCCATGCTGTTGAAGAGGGAACCAGACCAAACCAAATAAAAATCAACACGAATGTCTCCAGGGCTTAAAAAAAAATTAAACAATCCTCCCACACCTTGTTGGATGAAATTAAGCGTCTCTAGGAGATTTGCGATTTTTATATTCAGTGCTCTCCGAGAGGTTTTAATTACAATGATGAAAATGTTCTCAACGGTGAAATGCTGTCAGAAGACAAGGAGGGAGATTAAACTGATCGACAGATGAACTGACCTATAGGAAGAGTAAGTACCAAATATTAGCACATCTTACCCATTGGGACCAACAAGACCGTATCGTCGCCCCTGTGCGATGGCCAGCGTCGCGTTGTCAAACAGGCTTTTACCAGCCGCCGAAATGGAAAACTTCTCGATCTGTGCATTCAAGAATTATGCAATTTCAAAACATTATCTACCGGGATTCATCAACCAGCCAGCCAACAACTGACCAATCAGATAAGGACTTTTGGTCAGGTGACTACAGAAGCCCAGTCAAATTCAGTCACAAACCAAAAGTGGGCAGGGCTTATGGCCCAATCCTGAATGGTACAGTATCGAACACTACTATACCTCATACATATTCATGATCGAGAGCCGAGTTCTCACTGGTCCATTCACCATCACATGTCAGCCGCTAATTTTGCTGTTTACCAAGCGCGCACATGAGGTTTCACGCACAGGTTAAACACGCATGCGAAGTAGACTATCGCACTGGTTATCAGTGCGCTAGTCTTCTATGTATGTTCTTTACGAAGCAATCATGGAGCTAGCACGCGGGCGTAGTGTGCATGTGCGAACATCACCCTAGCAGCATGCAGCACCTACATGAAAAGATGCGGCACACGCAAAACAACATCTGCCGAAAAAAAATTATGCGTAACTTCATGACATTGTTATGAATAGGTATGAGGCATAGTAAAACAAACAAAGCATGGCTTAGTTGGGGTGGATAGTTGACATTAATTCCCTTTGGTGTTGGAAGTAGACAGACTAGTTCCCGAGGCGAAGTCTGTCCAATACCTCGGGGAGCTAATATCAACTATCGACTATATTTCTCTCTCACTTTAAAGTCTAGAAAGACTTCAATGCCTACCTTGATGTCTGTGGCATTTTCTAGTAAAGCACCCTTGGTTGTCTTCTCTTGTTGCGATAGTGAGAACTGGGACAGATCATCTCCAACGCTGGCTAGCTTCATAGAGGCTAAGAATTCTTGCTGTGGTAACCAAATACAATAAATACCATTAACATTGTTTAGATTTTAACGTGATACTTAAAGGTATATCATTTGCTGCTATCCAAAATGTAACTGACGAAATTATTGTTGAAAAGCATACTTGGTTTAAAGATAGTAATGGCACTTAACTCCCTGTGAAACCTTTTTTTTCTGGCATGCTGTCATTTTGAAGAAAACAATAAAAGAAGGTCATTTCTGTTAGTAGTTAGTTTTTAATTCGGCGAAGCCGTGAATGGGTGTGCGCAAGCGTTGACACGACGCACACGTGCCGTGGTTGCTACAATTCATTGGTTCAGTGTCTGACATCGCGTAGCTGCAATTTGCCGAATGAGAACTTTATGTCGGTGAAGGGCAAAACTCAATATTACATCTAAAGGTTTTATATCTTAACACATTAGTACTGTTTTTAGTTTAATTCGATACTCACATGTTTCTTGAGTTTCTTCTTCTCTTTGTTGCTCATTTTCTTCACTTTTTCCGTCGGTTCTGGCTCTGGTTTCTCTGAGCCCGGCTCTTTTTTCTGATCTGCCGGGGAAAAAAAACACAAATATGGAACATTAAGAACGGAACCTGGAAAATGCATCCTGGTAACATCTGGGATAAAAGTTCCCGATACAACACCCCCCCCCCCCCCAACTTAAGAACATTCCAACAAATTGTCTCAAAAATTCAACATTTAACAAAACTCCTGATTTTCAAAATCAGTAAGTAGTTTTAACTGCGGCACATACCTCTTACAGCGTTTTGCACATGGCATTTAAATTTCTTTCACTTTGAAAACCTAACAGTTGAGGCTTACTTTGTTCTTCTTCCTTTTCTTCTTCTTCTTCTGCTCGATCAACGATTTCATCTTTATCTTTTGTGTCACCTGTGTGTTACGACAAAAAATTGAATTTATATAGTCAATCTGAATGCAAAGAAAACCTGAGATATAAAATGCTACCATGAACTACAACAAGTGATTTATATTTCACAGCATTCACTAGTACAATTCACTATCGAAGTGTTACGTAATAGCAAGCGAGGTCACTGGACTTATCCTAGTGATGTATTAGGCCACACACGCGAAAACTGGTCCAGCCATTGGTATAGCAAGTGTATTCAAAGCGAAGTAAAATCGTTCAGAAAATTGGCCACGATGATCAATTGTTTCGCTGCGGACTGTAATCATACAAATAAAATTCACACCTGTAAAATCTTTTCCAATTTCCTAACGAAACAACACAAGAATGCTCAGAAAAAAACACATACTCCGTAGTGAGTGGTGGCCATGTGGCGGCGTGATCCAGTTGCTGTGCCAATGACCAGTTTTGACAGATCTTATGTACCCACTTTGATAGTGAATACTGGTCTATCTTTCATATACTTATTTAACCCTCCTGCTATCTGAACATTCACAGACAGTCCAAAAATCAATCCTCTTCCTCTGTCATGCCTTTTACACAGGCTAGTCACCAACAGTCAGATCATAATTCAAGCAAGCATTGTGACTAGTCAAATTCAGCCAACAGACAAAAACAGGCAAGTGGTAGGCACAGTTGGCGTAGCAATCACCTACAGTCAAAGCATAGCTTTATCAAGTTGCAGAAACAGTCAAAGCATGGAGCCTTTTTTGTAGCTCCATGGTCACAGCCAGTCAATCCTGCTTTATGTAGGCTGGGAGCTCTTAACTGTTGAAAACAGTCACTTGATTGATTTTGACTGCAAGGACAACTTTGCACAGAATGTATGATTGCATAAGAGGGTTAATTGAAGGAAATAATTATGCAGGCATCAGGAAATATAAATACATATGTATTTTCATTAACTTTAAAAAGCCTAACACTGAAAAAAAAAAAATTGGAACCAAAAAAAAAGTAATTCCTTCCTTGTATTGGCACCAATAAACCTTCACTTACCCTTTGACTTGTTCCTTGATTCTTTCTCCTTCTTGCCCTTGCTGCCCCCTTTCGTCTTCTTGGGTCGCTCTTCTTCCAAGGTTTCTTCCTCGCTATCTTCAAGCTCATCCTCTAGAGCACCCAGAGCAGCAAAGCCGCCTGAGAAGAATCACAATGTGAAAAAAAAGTGAATTACAAATAATTGAGATCAATGGATCCGAACAAAAAAGATGTTGAACATTTTGTTCTAATTCACTAGAAAAAAAATTAATTCTGGTGGTTTTTTTTTGCAACAACCCTCCTAGTCGTACCCTAAAAAACCCTGTCACCCTCAGTATTAACTTTCCTTTTTCTTAATATGCCAATGTTCTGATTTTCCACTTCTAAAATCTGCAATGGTCCCAACTATTGTTGGGACAGTCCAAGAATCGTCCCAACTATAGTTGGGACGATGCCATATTGGGGCGTAATAATTCTCTTCATGATGCTAAAACCTGCAGATACACTTAAGTATGTTTTTGAAATCCAGTACTCTCAACTAAAATTAATAAGAAAGGAATTTAAAAAAAAACCACAGCTGTTGACTTAGTACCGGCTTTAGCGGGCTTTGAGTTGACTGGAGCAAAGTCTTCTTCTTCTTCATCCTCAATGGCCAGATCTTTCATCTTCTCCTCCAATTTCTTATCTTCATCATCTTCATTGTCCTCCCCTCGCATCCAACCCTTGTCTTTCTTCTTCTTCTTGTCTTTCTTTTTATCTGGAGATGTTAGAAGAAGAGCGTTAACAAATAACAAACAAAACATTGAAACAATTTTTTGTGTGTTATTATTACATCTGGGGGAATTCCCTTTTTTCAGAATTTTTTAGGGGGGGTGGCTTAATTCTTTGTTTAAAGCCTTTGATTTGAATTTATATTTTTGTACATATTTATTTAGTTTGTTTATTTTTATTTTGTTTGACAACTTAAAAAAGAGTTTTTAACCAAAAGATACAGTTTAAAATAACCCCAAAAATGAGTCAACGGGTCAAATTAACCAAAAAAAATTGAGTCATATTTATAATGATAAAATCTATCAGACTGCGGACTAGTTTAAACAAAAGATGGGCATTAAACTACACAAAACCATTGGAGGTAGACCTAGACAAAACTTACCAAAAATATGATTATTCACTCCCAACATATATTTGAATAGATATGCTTTAATAAGCTAAGACATTTATTGTACAATGATCATCAAAATGGAGCCGTACCCTTCTTATTTTTGCCGGTGACAGCCTTGTCTGCCTCGTCACTGCTTCCATCTGCTACCGCGTTATTCTTCATTTTCTCCCGTTCTTTGACCGCCTCCTCCGCATTGTCGTACCACTCTTCCTCCACGTTCTGCTTGCCTCCTCTACCCTTCTTTTTCGGCATTTTCGTGGACTTCTAAGCGATGAAACGTGGCGAATGGGTTCTCTGATACTTAGTTATCAGACAGGTTAATACTAATTAAATAACCGTTTTCAAATAACTTCGTAAACAATATGATTTTGCAATCAATAATTTAGACAGATTTCACCGGCGAACGAAATTACCCACTCAATCGTCATCATACACATGTGCGACATGTATTGCGCCCTCTTTATTTGCGACACAAAATTTCTCCAAAAGTATAGCGCCCTCTCGTCAGTCTTTGAAAACTTAAAGATCAGTCACTTTGATATAAGGCAGACTTTCACTAATTTTGAAGTTTACATGTATTCAAAATAATCTATAATGTAAAAAACTAAATGAGGACACCTTTAGGCGTAAAAAATAAAAGTTGAAAAGCTCCTTCGCCCCAGAACCAAAACCAAGACAAAAGCCATTGACGCAATTTTCCTTGCTGATAAGCTGAGCACTCTCAAGCTAGAACTACGCCAGAAAAGTCCATTTTATTTTATCAATGCGGGGAAAGTTTTCCGTAATTGATGTAATAATGGACAAAGCCCCGACAAAAAAACGTGTTTACGCTTGCATGGCACCGGCGTGAAGTCAAACTAAATAAAAAAAAATAAAAATAATAATCCTGGCACTGAGAAATAACCTTTTCAGCACAAATAGGTCGTAGGTCAACTCTCTGTATATTTTATTGTCTTATTTGACACAGAAACGACACTTAAATTTAATTCAGTACAAAAGACATTAACAAAGCCCAGTTGGGATAATTTGAATTTGAAAATTGAAAAAAAAAACTTCAGACCTTTGGTTTGAATCCAAGGCTCCGTTTTGTTCATGCCCGTCTACTTCTCCATGATTCAAGCTATTTCTCTCGGCCACAAATTTTCATTTCCAATGATTTGAAATCCCACAGCCCATCAAAAAGCCCAATGTCTGCACAGAATCTGGTTTCAGAATGCCAACTTGTAGATGATTTAGAACCACAATTTTTTCATTACGCTGAGTTTCTTAATACATCATTTCTTAAATATCAGATTCCAATCTACCTCTTCCTTGGCACAGACGAGGAGCCTACAGGCTAAAAAAAAATAAAAAATTAATTTCCCATGAAAAAGAAAAGAAAAAGGAATTTGGAAGCAGAAAACTAACAACTCTGTGCCCCCCTGGACAAAGGCGTTGACAAATCGGGGAACCGCCAATATAGGGCTGGATAGCTCAGTTGGTAGAGCACCGGAACGGTTATCCGGAGGTCACAGGTTCAAACCCTGCTCCATCAAGTCAATTTTTTGTTCAATTTTGAAAAATTATCGGTCCTTTGAAAGACCTGCAAAATTGGCACTTTGGACCTTATCAGGTCAGAGTAGAAATAACAAACCCTCTCCAATTCTCGACAGTTTTCAATGTGTATGGTTCAAGTGCTAAGCCAAAGTTTGACAGATATAATACCCTCATATGGCATTTGAAATGCATTACAGTTAAAGACATTTTGTCAATGTATGTCATGTACGCACATTCAGTTGCTTTTCTTTGACGCAGAAATGCAATATCTCAAACATTTTGCATGACTTTGCAATGTTTACGTGCAGGGAAACAGTGCGAGCACGAGATGCTTCATTTATTGGCTCTCGTTATTAGGCCAAAGCTCCCTCTAGAGTTTCTGAATGCAGTCCATCGTTTACGTGCGGGGAAACAGTGCGAGCACGAGATGTGTCATTTACTGGCTCTCGTTATTAGGCCAAAGCGCCCTCTAGAGTTTCTGAATGCAGTCCATCGTTTACGTACAGGGAAACAGTGCGAGCACGAGATGTGTCATTAACTGGCTCTCGTTATTAGGCCAAAGCTCCCTCTAGAGTTTCTGAATGCAGTCCATCGTTTACGTACAGGGAAACAGTGCGAGCACGAGATGTGTCATTAACTGGCTCTCGTTATTAGGCCAAAGCTCCCTCTAGAGTTTCTGAATGCAGTCCATCGTTTACGTACGGGGAAACAGTGCGAGCACGAGATGTGTCATTTATTGGCTCTCGTTATTAGGCCAAAGCTCCCTCTAAAGTTTCTGAATGCAGTCCATTTTGGAATCAGTTTTTCATTTGTATCTGGACGAGTAGTACTCTTCCTCCAGTTCATAGAGATTCAAGGAAAGCTCGTCCTTCAGCTGCATGATCTTGCTGTCCACTTCTGCTTGGATGTTGCGCAGGAACTGGGTCCTCTGGCCGATGGCAGCGTTGGCCGACGGAAAGTCGTTCAGGATGAGGAACTCCTTGATGTCCGAGACAAGTTTCATCAGCGACTCACCAGCACGGACCTGGTTGCAAGACAGACCAAAAAAGTTCAAAAAGCGAGTGAAAAAAAATGCTATTTGCATAAAAAAACACTTAAAGGCATATAACGATCATCTGCACTTATCCCAAAAGTAATTTACTGAATCATTATTAAAAAGCATACTTGGATAAAAAACACAAGTACCTAAACCCCTCATGAAATTGTTCCCTCTGGCTTGCTGTCATTTAGGAGAAATCAAGAAATGTAGGTGATTGCCAACGATCAGTCAATTGACTGATTTTTGGAAATAAAGAGTGCTATTGACAAAATCATGTTTTGTGATCAAACAGTTGTGAATTTTTTGTGACTATTTTCTCGAAAAGTGTAATATCCACTGAGTTGAAACATGAACAGGTTAGGTTTTGAAAATTCATCTCTGGATTTTGAGTAGCGTCATTATCGGAAAGGAACAATGCGCAAGAAAAGCTAATGATCTTATATGCATTTGAAATGCTCTGTGGTCAACAAGTTTCTAATTCCATTGAAAGGGAATTAAAGGAGTCTAAATGATGAAGAATGAAAACAACTTAACTAAGCACAATGACTGTGAGCCCTGCACCCAAGTTTGAGAGGATGCTTTATTTGCAGAAAAATACTGTTCAGCAAAAACAATATGCTGAGTCATAGTCAGCCGAAAAGCAGGCACAAGCAATACATATTGTATGAATTTCCAGCAACACTGCAGTAACCTGTTTTTGCTTCGGTAATTTTTTTTTTTTTATTTTAATAGGCAACCCAATGAAATTTGTTTGAAAAATGGATTTTGTTAAAGAAACGTTTCCTTTAAAACTTGAATTGAGACCTCAAAACTGGCTGGTAAAATACTGAGGACCTTTGACTCATGAACATTTTGGAGAATTTGGTTGGCTACAGAGTGAGTAAATTTGACCGGATTTAGTTTTGCATTTAAAAAAAAAAAATTGCACTCAAGGTTCCAGTGTGGATTTTGGCCATATCTGATTTTAGAATATCCTAATACTTACAATGTTTGCTGCTCGGACATGCATCTCATTTTGCTCTTGTTCCCCCTGGGTCTGTCTCGCCACTTGTGTCTCCTCCTCCACCTAGGGTGGGGTTCGATACCAAGACGTCTCAATCAGTACAACAGATTATTGCAAGCGATATAAGGCCATTAGTCTTTCATTTGAAGCATCATTTAATCTTTCCCTTAGGGTGAAATTTTCAAAGAACAAGACATTTTTTAAAGACCATCCCTTCAAAACCGGGGAATGAATTAGAGAATACAGCACTGTTTGAACAATTTCTACCACTACATGCAAATTATCCCCCCCCCCCCAAATCAGTCACCTAAATATTGTTCATATTTTTATCTTCTAAATTTAATAGTCACTTAATTCTAACCTTCCCCAATCCTCCAAAATCCTCTTTGCAAAATGGAGGTTTGCAAAAAAAAAGTGTGTCTGATTTAGGAGGATGCACTGTACATATCAAGGTCTTGGGCCGGACCTTGTGTTGTTTATGCTCAACCGTGCATAAATTTAGGCCTAGAGTGTTCTTGAAATCCTCCGCACTGCTCCAGGATTTCACTGGCTCTGCCTCAACATGTCGACAGTGATTGCTGGAGGATTTTGCAGGATTGAGGCAGTGGGCACCCCTCCAAGGACCACATTCAAGAAATAACGGATGATTTTGGAGGATTGAGGCTGTATGCAAATTTAACATGGAGGCAGTTGGAGGATTTTGCAGGATTGAGGCTGCATCCTAGTAAAAATGTCTACGGAGTTAGGTTAAAAAATAAAAAAAAAACGATGTTAATCTTGACTACCTTTGCCAGCTTCAGTATTTCTGTGAAGTTATCCTGAATAGACTGCACATCTCGATGAAGATGTCGCAAGTATGACTTGAGTAGGTTGTCTTTGCCCTGCGGCAGAACTCGCTGGGGTCCCAGCTGGGACATGGTGATTCCTGTCTGTAAAGTATAATGAAACAGCTATTAGTTGGTTTTAAAAATCCAATGTGCAGACTGATAACCAAGGCAAAAGTTTGCTTGCTTACATAACTTCGTAAAAAAGAGGCTCTATTGGAAGAACATATACCTGAACTTCCAACAATTGTCAATAATTTAAAACTAAACGTTACATCTTGAAACTTGGAATTTGACTTTCAAATCCAACATTCTATAATTTAGGACTAAGCTTTAAAGTTAATCACAGGAACTGGGATCCGATCTCTCTCTGCACTGTGAAAAGTCTGGGCCCAATTTCTTGGCTCTGCTCGCAGTCAAAGATAAAATTCCTGCTTACTATAGCAGAAAATTATGTGCTTATGGTAAGCGTATTTCACGCGTTAGCAAGGAATTTCGGCTTCTGCACATGCATACATCCCGTAACTAAAAATTCTGTGCTTGCAGGGAGAGCACAGAAAAGCGTGGCTAGCACAAAATGGTGATGGTAAGCGCGGAATTCTGTGGTTAGCAGAGCCATGAAATTGGGGTCTGGTAAGGTCAAAATCCATCGATTTGCAGCACACAACAGAATGATCGGGAGTACCACTGAAGTGAAGTCCCAGTTCGTTTTTGTGGAAAGAAAGTTGTGCAACCCGACGCCCCTTTTTTCTTTATATATCATCTCAATAAAGGTCAGTCATAGCAAAAATGTTGATATGACATGAATCTGGGACTGAGAGAGGCGATCGTGAAGTGTAGGGCCTGGTTCCTATAAGGAAACAAAATCCACTTTACCAAACTAGTTGGCGACATTCTCAATAAACAGGTATGTCATAGATAGTGGGCAGGGTTTGATTGTTTTAATGACGATGACAGCGCGGCGACAACAGGCAACCTGAAAATAAAGATGGCGATCACCGCGCGATGTACCGTGAGCACGCACGGTGCGCTAAATCGCAAGGCACAAACGGTGCAGGAAAATCGTGAGTTCTACCCCAAGAAACTGTTCAAAATTGCAAAACGGGTGTCATTAGAATTGAGAAGTCTGTTTTTGACTATAATATAAAGGTGATTTTTGAGCCATAAAAAACATTTTTGACTCTAATTTTATCAAAACAAAACAGGGGCCCTTCACTACCACTACACGATCGCCCTGAGAAACATTTCGAATTTTGTTTATGTTTAAAACTCAATAAAAGAAAAATACACTGTAGGCTAGGCCTACTTCAAAAATTGTATTGACTTTGTCTGATGGTCTGACATGTCTGAATAACTCTCCATAAACTTTGTCACAACCGCTAATTAAGTGGCATCTGAAAAAACATGGATATAGGTCTAACATACATTCTTTCCCATGTAGTGAATTTAAAACTATGATTAACTTTGGTAATGATGCTATTACTTTTATGTTATTAATTAAAATAAAAAAGGATACGAAGTGGCTATCGTTACGGCAGTCGTTGTTTAGCGCCCTCTACGATACTTTTTTGATACGCACGCAGGTACATAGTTATTTGTTTCCACACGTTTTAGTGAGCAGTGCGACAGCTCAATCGATAGAAGGTAGGATTTTGCACCGCGAGGTTGCGGGTTCGAATCTCAGTTTTGCACTCGAATTTTTTTCCTTTTCTAACCTGAGGCTTTGGAGGATTTTTTTTAAAAGGGAAATAAAGTCCGAATTTCATAACGTTCAAATTCACTTTTTTCCTTCTAATTTTATATTTTCTTGTCATGTTTTTATAAAAGTTGCAGTCTACCGTAACGATAGAAAATGGGAAATGCGTTACGGCTGCCGTAACAATAGCCACTGCGAAAAGGATAAGCGGCATCAGCAGCGCCCCCAACGGTACCAAGTGATCAACCTCAAATTTAGAGTTTTCACAGAACTTCGAGTTCGAAGGCAACTTGCAAAATTAAAACAGAGACAATTCACCTTGGAAATAATGACCTTCTCAACTGTGCACCTACCGTAGTTAGCGTACTCTCTATTTCTATCAGTAATATAAATTTAAGGTCATTATGTTTCTATTTATGTAAAAAAAAAAATAGACGTCAATTGTCAAACACCAACAAAATAATGCACACTCTGCACTCGGCCGTGCGGAAAATATGAGAAAGTCTGGTACCTCTAGTTTTGGATGGAGCCTTCCCCATAATACATTAGAGTCAAGGAACACGGCGGTTCTCCAAGTCTCGTAAATCCACGCGAGATTACGTCGGTCTCTTTTTCGTGTGGCAGCCAAAATGGTACTGTGTCGATACTGTGGTTGTCGAAACAATCCTTTTATATCTCTTACATCGGTCTTATTTAGAATGGCAGTTTCTCACTATTTATTAAGGAGTATTTTAACTTTTTAAATCTCTTCATTAGTTGGTCAATTATTTTCGAAATGTTATGATAAAACATTACAAACGTGACGATGATGATTTCAAAGGTTTACAGACACAAAACCCCATTTAACTTCACATGCACTGGGTCATACGGACACAAAAATAGCCTAAACTAAGTATTTAGTAGTGATTTATTGGGGGATTAAACTTTTGTTATTGATTCAACACACATGCAACTTACTTCAATACTTGGTGTGTTGTTTTTGAGTGCAAATTTCGCATTTTGCGTGAGCGCATTGAAATTTGCGCAAAGGCACGTGACGTACGTGATCACACTCACAGCTTGACAATGTTGTGCAAATTTCAAAGAATAAAAACTTGACAAACGGACTGCCCATTTAGCTGGGCCACGCAAATTTTCACGACGCAAAGTATCGTGACAGACGTGAGACCTCCTAAAATGACGTCCTATTTCGGCGTACTCGCATTCAATTTGCATTGGACAATGCGCGCGTGCTGCAAGCGTTCACCTGCGCCGTTCAACATTGATTTTTAGGTTTTCATCACTCAACTTCTCAAGATTGACAAAGATCGGTTGGGAGGGGAATTTGTATTTTATAAATTCCACGTCTTCTCTTTCAAAGTGAATTAAGGGGACAACGTCAGATAAACATAATAAAAATCGGGCCGGGAGTGAAAATCGAGGCGGGCGGTGATGAAAACCTAAAAATCAATGTTGAATGGCCTTATCAGTGACTCGAGGATCCGGATACGTCAATGTATGTTTGCGTGCTCATAAATCATATATTTGATATCCAACTCTCGGATATTTTTGGGGACGCATGATGATCTTCACGATACAAATTGTACTTTAGCCTTCACAAGAATTGTTCACTTTTGTGATAAATTTTTACATTTTATTTAAGTTTCAAATGTACGCACGCAAATTTGAGACTTGCGCGCAAAGCCAAGTTGCGCTCAACATTGGCATAGTTGCTGGTTTAGTGTTTCCATGCAACTTTTCAGAAATTCCCTTCTCTCCCCCTACCCCCCCCCCCCCATTCCCTGATTTTCCTGCAATGATGCTTTGAATTTCTTCACCTGAAGAGACATTAAGACTCTTTGTGGATTTACATAATCGAGCTTTTTAAATCTGAGCAGGAATACACTATAACAATCCAAAATATTACTGTAGTGAGTGGCGTAGGTTCATGGCAAAACCTTAATTCTAATTTACCCAACCATGCCCAACCTATGCCATCTCTACAAGCACAATGGAAAGTTGAAGAACTGCTATGAAATTGTTTGTCCAAAAAATCATGAAATTCAAAAGAATTTTTTTAAATCTTTACAGAAAAGAACCATTTGTTAACATTGCATGTATCATATTAACCAAATTAGGTGTCCCCCCCCCCCTTCCCCACCCCTCCTGGGCACCAACAATAATGTTTGGATCCATTTTTTCCCCTGATTATTTCCTAATCAATTACTGTCTCTTCCATTCGCAGCCCAAAACCAAGAAAGCACCACGGGGAAAGAAGGTGGCTCCGGCCCCTTACGCCGCCCGCCAGGCAGCCCCCAAGAAGGTTGTCAACCCCCTCTTCGAGAAACGCCCCAAGAACTTTGGCATTGGTAAGTAGCGCAGCAAGGCTTCAGTTTAGCTTCCATTGAAGAATCAGATATTCATGTTTGCCAAGGTAATGTGTTCAGCCGTGTGGTTTTCATATGTTTACCAACAACGTAATGTGTCAATCGTGTTAGTGTAAAAGGTTAACTTGTTTTGATGTGGGCTCCTTTATCTAGGCCAAGACGTTCAGCCCAAGCGTGACTTGTCCCGCTTCGTTAAGTGGCCCAAGTACGTCCGCCTCCAGCGTCAGCGTGCCATCCTCTACAAGCGTCTCAAGGTGCCGCCAACCATCAACCAGTTCACCCAGACCCTGGACCGCCAGACAGGTAAGCAGGGAAATTTCACAGGGCAACTAAGCACAGAATTTATAACTTGGCACTGAAAGAGTTACTTAGCAAATGTCATGCGGTGCATATTGCTTAGGACTGGTCTTCAGCTTACATACCTTCTGAGCACTCAAATTTGGTAGTGATAAGCTCTTAAAGGCATGAACCGTCATTTACATTTCATGCATTTTGTTGGTTTCCAATAACAACACCACTCAAAATCCAAAAGAAAAAATGTCGAAACTTACTTTGTTGAAGTTTCAGCTCAGTGGATATTACACTTTTGGAAAAAAACGGAAGCACCATGCACAACCTTTTTGATCACGAAACACGATTTCGTGTTTAGAACTCTTAATTTGCAAAAAAAAACAGTCGCTTGACAGATAGTTGGAAATCACCTACATTTCTTGATTTTCTCTAAAAAGTATGTTGACAATTATTTCTTGGCAGCTACCCAGCTGTTCCGCCTGATGAACAAGTACCGGCCCGAGACCAAGCAAGAGAAGAAGCAACGCCTGCGTGCCCGGGCCGAGCAGCGGGCCAAGGGCAAGGAGGATGTCCCCACCCGCCGGCCAAACATCGTCAGGTCAGGGGTCAACACAGTGACCTCACTGGTGGAGTCCAAGAAGGCACAGCTGGTCATGATCGCACACGACGTCGATCCCATTGAGGTATGGACAAAGAAATCTGAAAATCTACGAGTAGGATTGCTGGACCTGAAAGTCTCAATTTTGGACATTTGTTTTTAAGCAGTGACTCATGTCGGTCAGTCTGTTAATGAGTCAGTCAGTCGGAGGACAGAATGCTGGCCCTTTAGGTCCATCGATAAGCATTATTGTGTTACATTAGGGCCAGTGAAAACTACATGTATGTTAAAGTTGCTAGGACCCGATACCTTGTTCGGCATCATTTCTGCGTCTGTTCTGTTACCTTACATGGTGCCTGATTTCCCAGTATTCAGTTAAAGAGGTTGTGGAATGCTCGAAGACATTTCCGTCATTTTTCGGGTATATGTAGCCTAAGGTGTGATGAAATAAAAACGACTATTGTGTCTGTCATGAAATGAGTACAAAAGGTACTTTTGAGAGCTGTTTTTCAGGTCCTGTTTCAACCCGAATGTGCAATTTGCGTAAAAGTCGTCATTGGGGGCAGCAAACAAAACATAGTAAATCGTGATGTAATAAACAGGACTCGTTTATACTACGCTGCAGGAGTCTTGTTTATTACGTCACGATTTACTATGTTTTGTTTGCTGCCCCCAACGACAACTTTTACACAAATTGCACGTTCGGGTCTAAACAGGACCTGAAAAACAGCTCTCAAAAGTGCCTTTTGTACTCATTTCATGACAGACACAATAGTCGTTTTTATTTCATCACACCTTAGGCTACATATACCCGAAAAATGACGGAAATGTCTTCGAGCATTCCACAACCTCTTTAAGGTACCAGGAACAATTCTACTGTTTTATTCAAATTTCTGTTTTGTTTGTACATCACTTCTAAACTGATCAAGGTTCCGTAAAGGTCCACCAATAAAACTGTGATTCCTAGTAAGGTTGACTTGAAAGGGTTTTACAGACTAGGAGGGTCATAGCAGAGTCTTAGATTCTGGTCGACTCGGTAAGGTTCCCTTCAAATAACTTGCTTATAAATTTGATAAGATTTGCTTGAATCATATAGCTATGTACAGAAAGTACAAAAAGTCTGCAAGTGCGTTTTGTAGATACACTGAGTTTGCATTTAGTAGCAAATAAATATATTCCCCTGAGCAGATCTCATCTATATTGACCTTAGCTTTGTTCCTGCAGTGATGTTGTGAATTTCTTCACCTGAAGAGCTCCCAGGGCTCTCTGTGTGGATTAAACGGAGCTTTTTAAATCTGAGCAGGAATAAAGTTGTCCCGCGCTATGAATTTGTCGACCATCTCCCACAACGCTCTGGGAGAAATGAACTCTCTGTAGCAAACTCTTGGTGGCGCACTGCATTGTGAATCGCCCGAATTTCATGGAGGCGCTAAGTACAGAAATTTTCTAAGCATTGAAAATATTTGCTAAGCAGAAATGGGTTACCAGCTAAAATGTCACACAATGTCTATTGCTTGTGGCTGGTTCCCAGCTGTTTTTTTGGTGAGCACGGAAATTTGGTAAGCGATATTTTCTGTGCAGCATGTCTGCGAATTAGACCCTGGGCCCAATTTCATGTCTCTGCTTACCGTTAGCGAAAAATCCCTGCTTACTGAAGCAGAATATTCCCTGCTAACGGTAAGGGTATTTTGCAGGTTAGCGAGGAATTTTGGCATCTGCGTATGCATACATCCTGTAACTAAGGATTCTGCAGGGTTAGCGCAGAATTTTTCTGCTAGCACGATTCGCACAAAATGGCGATCTTAAGCATGGAATTCTGTGGTTAGCAGAGCCATGAAATTGGGGCGAGGTCTTACGTGACCTCAGGCTTAAGGCCCAAGTAGGCTTACTGGAATTGAGGCCCTGTCAGTGGAGGTGCGGTTGTGAGCACTGTGCCACAAGCTATGCACACGCGAATCAGTGAGCGCATGCGACATGCCCATCATGGGTTCTCATGAGTTGTCCACACAGCACCATCAGCGATTCCAGCGTGGAATCCATAGAATGCTTTTCCTTTTTAACCCTCTTTTTCCCGGTACTCATTGATATCGGTACAGATTGTCTTGTTCCTCCCTGCACTGTGCCGCAAGATGGAGGTGCCGTACTGCATCGTCAAGGGGAAGGCTCGTCTGGGCGCTGTCGTCCACCGCAAGACGGCAACGTGCTTGGCCTTCAGTCAGGTCAACAGGTAAGGCCCCCTTTCCCAACCCCCTCCCCCTCCCCAAAATAGAAAAAGGTCATTGACAGTTAAGCCTTAAGGAAAATAAATTGATCATCATGAATCTCGAGCTAAAAACTGCTTGGAATGAGAAAAATTTGGCATTGTTGAAACTCATGCGCGTGCTCTAAATTCACACCATTATAACAAGAGCAGGGGCCACTTTTATGGCCTTACAGTTAGCAGAAAAGTTGTGCTTACTGTAGCAGAATATTGTGCTAAACTTAAGTACTATTTCATGGCGTGGATGTGCTATTCAAACGGTTGCGCGTGCGTGGAGATTTCTATAGTTAGGTCACTAATTTAAGCAACTTTTCCCTCTGGGGTAAGCGTGTCTTTTGTTATGCTTACTGTTTCCAAGAAATAAGCAAAGGCTCTGTTAGCAGAAAATTGCGTGCTTAGCTACGCCATGGAATTGGGCCAGATGTTTTGCAGGCCCAAGCCTTTGTACCAAAGTTAAGAGGTAAAAGAGACTAAACTAGAGCTGACGGTATTAATTTCTTTTAAATTTGCTACCTTCACAGTGAGGACAAGGGCTCCCTTGCAAAGATTGTGGAGGCCGTGAAGACCAACTACAATGATAGATACGAGGAGGTATGTTGTAGTTGTTTTTGTGTTTTTTTTATGGGGGTTGAAATTTCGGGTTTTAGATTTCCTGCAGTGATGTTTTGAATTTCTTCACCTGAAGCATTCCGTGTTGAATGTATCACAATCGAGCTTTTTAAATCTGAGCAGGAATAAAGAAGACATACTCTTTTGTAAGTAGAATGATTTTGTAAGCTTTTGAATGATTTGTTGGGATTTAGGAAGGTCGAGACAAGCCGGTATTACTTTACACTGGGCTAATAGTGTTCCTTGAAGAAGTATGTGACCTTGGTTTTCTGGCTGTAGTGTATTTTTGAGACTCCAGTAGGAAAGAAAACAAATTTTGGGCGCTAGTTATTTGCAATGGGTCAATAATTTGGCTATTGCTCATTTGGTGATATTTTTTTTTTTTTCCGCTCTAGATCCGTCGTCACTGGGGCGGTGGCCAGCTGGGCAGCAAGAGTCAGGACAGAATCCGCAAGCTGGAGAAGATCAAGGCCAAGGAAATCGCCAGCCGTTCATAAACTCAACACCCAACCTCTTTAAACTGAACCAATGTTTTTTTCACGCTCTCGGAATCGTTGACTCCCTTATTTTCGAGGAAATATTTAGTCACCTGACCATGTTCAGGTCTCAAACACAAAAATAAGCATCAAAACGTGAGACAAATTCTGAGTGCTTGGGGTCCTCTGCATTACTTGTAAAGAAAAAAGTATTTGAGAGACAAAATAAACACATAAACTTGTGAGAAGAAACAAAGTATGGATTTCCAAGTGTTCTTTATTTTTGTGTCAAGTTGGCAGTTAATTGTGCTCTTAAAAATACAGCATGTTAGAATTTTATACTTTTTTCGGCATCTTAAAAAGAAACTTTTACACGAAACGGCTTTTCAGAAGGAAAGCATCAATTGTGAGGCTTTTAAAATGTTAGAAATACCACTAATAATATCCCTTCACACCAAGAGATGTTGGGGGAAAAATGACCATCCATAAGAACGAATTCTTTACGTAAAGATTTTAAATGAAATATATTTGAAATACTACTTGGCTATTTTAACACCCAAAGAAAAGAAAAAATTAGAAGAAAATTACCCTGCCTGTATATTATATATATATTTAATGGTAAAGTCCTCCAAAAGAGTACGGATAAAAAACATTGAAATATAGTTTTCATATACATGTACCTGAATCCAAGATATACTTTAAGATAAAAATTATCTGCACTTATAAATCTGAGATGCATTAGGCTATCGGCTTCGGTCCAATAATTGGGCCACCGGTATCAAATGATTGAAAAGAGCAATGTTCATAGCGATTTTGGCAAGGTATACACATCTAGAATTGGAAAATGTGTTATAGCTTTGTGGTGTGAGTGGTGGCAGTATCTTTAGTGTTATCACTTTAAAAAAAAATGTTTTCAAAATGGCCGCCAATATGCTTGAACCTGATTAAATATATGTGGTAACAAGCATGTTTTGGCCACCATTTTTACCTAAAAAGCTGCCACCGCTGCATTGCTATCACATATTTTCCAACTACAGGGGTGCATACCTTGCCAAAAATCACAATGAGCATTATTCCCCTCATTTGATACCGACCAAACCCCCAGGCTGAAGGCCTACATGTGCAATCTTCATATTTTGCTTGGAATATTAGATTTCATTTCTCAGTTAAAAAACAAAAACAAATTTTTTCGCCACAATTTCCTGAAATATTCTTTTAAAAAAAGATATACATGTAGTTACAATCAAAATTATACACACATTGAAATTGAATTGTCTTGTTCCTCTCTGGGCAGTTAAATGAGCTCTTCAAAATACAGCACGTTAAAACTTTAATACTTTTTTCGGCATCTTAGAAAGTTTTACACAAAATGGCTTCAGAGAAGGAAAGCATCAATTTTGAGGCTCTTAAACAGGTTGGAAATATGACTACTATATCCTTTCATACCAAGAGAAAAGGTATGCTGGGGAAAAATAACCACCCATAAGAACGAATTCTTACGTCGTAAAAATTTTAAATGAAATATATTTGAAATACTACTTGGCCTTTTAACATCCACAAGAAAAGAAAAATTTAAAGAAAATTACCCTGCTTGTATATTATATATTTAATAGTAATAAATACTCAAAGAGAGTACGGACAAAAAACATTAAAATATAGTTTTCACATACATGTTCCTGAATCCAATATATACTTTGTGATAAAAATTATCTGCATTTATAAATCTGAGTTGCATGTAAGTACATTCTTGAATTTTTTTTTCTTGGAATATTAGATTTTATTTCCCAGTTAATAAAATTTAAAAAAAAACCTTTTTTTTTGGCCACAATTGTCCTGAGATATTCTTAAAAAACGTATATAGTTACAATCAAAATGATACATACATTGTAACTGAATTGTCTTATTCCTCTTCACATTTTACCCCCAAGTACTACTGATTTGGTACTTGAAGACAAATTGCTGTAGTTCTATTCCTCCTCTACATTTGAACCCTGCGTATAAACTCCTTTGTGACTGTTATCTGGTGTTGCCAGAGCGTCTTTCACCGTTGATGTTAGCGTGGCTAGCAGTGCCTGAGCTTGTACGTTGACTGCGTGTTGGCCACTGTAAGCAATCTCCATGATTGGCAGGGCCTGCGCAAAGGATTGACAACACAGAACAGTCATTAACACAGAACAGTCATTCAGCTATAATATTGATTGCAACTTAGGACAGCAAGGAATTCTGGGATGCTATAAATGGGGCAAAAATGCCACCATGGGTCTTACAATTACAATTCATTGAATTCAATGACATTCGCCAAAGGGAGATTGTTCAAAAATGGCGCTCTCCAACATTTGTCGCAAGGGGGCTCTTGATAAATGGCAATCGTGTAAAATGAGCAATCATTAGAAAATATTGCATTGCAAGATAATATGTTCTTCCCGTTACTCATTTCCACAGTCCCAATTCTGCTTTTAAAATATCCATCCCGCGCATTGCAATCAGCAACTCCACACACCCAGCTTACGCCACTGCGTCAAATGCAGTCACAAGCACTGTGAGATATGTACGCATCCTAAAAGTGGGAGGGGTTATGGCTACATTTGGAAGGGGTCCTGCTTACGTTTCTAAGGGAGTCTCTCACATTGCACGCTTGAAATATCCCAAGGTGAGCACTGCCCAATTGAAGGGCACTGCCCAATTTGGAACCACAGCTACCACTGGGAACAGTTTGGGACTTTCCCCAAGTGGGAAGGTCTGCGCATGTTTGCAAACAACCGTGTCAATCACATATGTACAATTAGACTGAATGATGATAACATTTGATGGAGATAGTTTACATCATTTAATTCACATTGTACCGACCTCTCGGAGGGTGCGAACAGCCTCCAAGTTCATCCCCAGTTGGGCCTGTAGCTGGCCAACTTCCCAGAGGTTCGTACCGAGTAAAGTGACGCACACCTCCAGGTGATTTCTGACAATCAAAACATTACAGAAATTAAAATTGGGCCACTGCCAAACAAAAGGCCTAGATGCTAAATAAAAAAAAACTGCAGCAAGGGAGTCAATAGATAGAACTGATATTCCTCTTAAAACAGGCTAGATCATAGAATGGAGGGAAAAACGCACTAGGCAAGGAGTTCCAAAGAGATACAGAACGTGGGAAACAACTATTAAAGTAGATCTTTGTTCTACATCTTGGCACGGAAAGGGAGGTCTTACCTCAAAGCGACCTGACATCTAATTCCATACAGCAGAGCAGTCTCAGCTTGATCCAGTTTCAGGGCAACCTTGAAGGCCTTCTTAACAACTTGGTAAACCCGCCAGTGGTATGGCTGGTAGACGGCATCAAGACGTGCCAGAACGGGTCCGCATTCCTCGAGGAGCTGGCCCTGGTAATCATGTGACGGGGAATCAGTTAAGGAAGTAATTTCAAAGAAAAAAGTTTGGCGTGGAAGATAATTGACTTGTTTGAGATCACCAAAATAAAACCAAGTTTTTCACACCCAGTTGAGACTGGTATAAACAGTAACAGGAGAAACCAAACAGTAACAGGAGAAACTCAAATGGCCAAAATACACCTAACAGGGGAAAATGGTGCTTGTGTTCTTGGGCAAGACACTTTACAACAACTGCCTCTCTCCACCCAGGAGTATAAATGGTACCTGTGAAGGTGGAGACCACACTGCACATGAGCTGATCTCAAGGCCTGATGAACAGGGGTGGTATTGTGAAGTGCTTCGAGACCTTTGTATGAAGCACTATTTAAGTACCACATCATTATTATTATTCATGACGACGTTTAACAAGGATATAATTTTTTTTCCTGGACAAGAATCCCTCCACTTCCATCTCGGTCTGCCTGATGTTATCTGGAACCTCAGTTTCGTTGATGTCAAAATGACATGCATCACAGGCTAGATAGCGACCATCTGGGGACAGAGAAAAAAGAAGGTCATAGACAAACGCAAAATAATAGCAAAGTATCTTTAGAGAATCATTTAAGTGAAATAGGAATAATTCATGTTGAATCTTATTGGAAGTGAAAGTTATGTCATTATTCTGATGAAGAAAAAACCAAAATGATTGAACATAGACAATACAGGAAATGGTATTATGAAAATCTCTTGAGGGCGCTTGTAAAAGCTCATATATACACAAGAAGCCTACACACACACAAAAATTGAATCCTAGTTGACATTTCAAGTAACTTGAAGACCCAGGTACAATTTACAACTGACAAACTCAGTCAGTTATCTTGCCAACTGAAGCCTAACTAAGAGTTCTTTTTCAGTAACAAATTGCGTTATTTAATCTCTGATTAGAAAAACAAGACTCAAGAGACACACCAGTGTTGAAACAGAATCATACAATTGTGATCCACAGAGCAGCTCTGTAGACATAAATTATTGGGATATAAATTAACAATATTTTACACAACTGTACAGGGCGAGTAAAAAAAAACCCAAATGGCAGGATCAATTTTTGAATGAAGTTTTGCCTGCAGCACTTTCAAAATCTAGGATATGACAGCCCAGTCATTAAGCTTTCTTTTAGTACAAGAATCGTTCAAATCAATCATGTACTTTTCAAGTTACGGAATTTTTAACACAAACACCGTCTTAAAGTTCTATCCACGGATCACACAAAAACTAAGTGTTCTTTCAGCAAAACGAAAACAATTCTCATAGAACTAGGGATGCATGTGAATTGTTTTTGTTTTGCTGAAGCCTGAAAGAACACTTACCTTTTTTGGTGATCCGTGGACAGAATTTTAAAATGGTGTTTGTGTTCAAAATTCTGTAACTTGAAATGTACATGAGTGATTTGAATGACTCTTGTACTAAAAGAAAGCATATTGATCATGTCCTAGATTTTGAAAATGCTCCAGGCAAAACTATATCGTGCTGCGCGACTTTTTTGGATATGCTATTACTGTACAGCCCAGCGACTGTCAATGTACATGGGGCTTGATGCCCTTATTCAAAAGAATCTAACATTTTGTTACTGCTTAGTGTTTGATTTTCCCAAAATCCAAATGTACAAACAAAAGGGGATAAAAACTTTACGCACATCTTTGAAATACCTCTTGCGAAGACTGAAAACATGGATAACCAAAACAAGACAATATTCAGCATTAGAATGGTTTGCCACATCCCCAGTCTCACAAAATAAATAATTCCTTTCCAAAATTCCAGATGAGAAATTCATATCTCATTTCAGATCTGAAAAATCTCCTCAATAACTACGTTTCAAATACGTGTACATTTTTAGATTCAACAAAAAGGTAAGAAAGTTTCGGCCGAATATTTGTTTGACCAAAGGGTCATACTCAGAATATTTGAAGGTTTCCATGGCAACACAGACCCCCTACAGTTCATCTGCGGGCATTTTATAGCGTACATTAACCTATCCTGTTACAGAGGTAAGACAATGGAGGAAAAACAAATGTGTAAGAAAAGAAAACCGTTAATATTAGGGAATACTAGCACATTATGCCATGTTGCAAGACAAATTACCAGAAGTTAGCTTTGACAAAATAGTCGACTACTTTCATTGCAAGTTTTACAATGAACAAGTATGGAGAAAATAAATCATTTACAATTAAAAATCTAAAAAGAATCCGTCACGATGTCAGTCAGAAATGAATTTTAGTACTATTGTAGTATTCTAATGTAATATTTCAGCATTCTCCTATAAATAATCTTCTGTTCTGAAACTATAGAAATGTATGAGAGTTTTAGAAATAGCAAATTTCAGTAGGCCAACTTTGGAGACTTTTTACATCGAAATGGGGTTAACAGTTGACCATGAAAAACACAGCTTTGTGTAGAAAAAAAGTGAGAATGCGTTGAGTTCGGTGTCAATTTAAAGCAGGCAAAGCTTTCCAAATATACATTAAAAAGTGAAAGTTTCACAAAAAAATTGATCGTGCAAGAGGGTCACAATTGTTATTAGTCCAACCAGCCAGTTGAAGGTAGGCACATAAACCATTTTACCCTCAAAATGACTGACAACTTATTTTATTGAAAATAAAATTATCAATGGATCATCTTGGGAGGCTAGATTTTAGTCTACAACTCAAAGCAATCAATGGAAATTGATAAACTAGTTTCCAACAAATAAGAATGAAAAATTCAACATTAGCGTTACCACATCTGGTGTTATTTATTCAAAATGATTCTCAAATTTCAGATCATCGTAGCATTACCTCCTCTATGTCTTGTACGCAGCGCTTGCAGTCGCAGTCAAAATCGTACCACTTCTTCAGTTTTCTCTGACGAGCCTCGGTCGGCGCCATGACCTTCAGATAGCTGATCGTGCACTGTATCAGGAGATAAAATGAAAATATCCTGAACGCTTCCTGCAATATATGGGCAAGTTCGCGCAAGGACTATAGTTAACCATTGGTCGACTAACGCTTGCCCGAACTCTGTCTAGTCGACGATGGTTAACTACGCTAGTCGACTATTTGGAACCAACCTACTGGGGTTGGTTGCTTCGCTGGTAACCATAGCCGCGCGCATTCATAACGTACAGCAGGGAGCCAGGATCCAGACGTTTTGCAATGACATTTTGACCAGCGTTCGACTAGAGACGTTCGCACTTTGCTATTAGTGCGCAGGCGTAAGGTACGTCACAATCAACCACTAGTCGACTAATGGTCCTTGCGCGAACTTGGCCTCAGTAGCATGGAGTGTGAAAAATCATTTCTCTCTCAGCCTCAATAAAATCTGATGTCAAATATTCAAGTTATTATCACTGGATCAAAGTGTGTGATGTAACACCACAACGGCGAGGCGTGAATTTTTTTTTGAAATCCTTGAATTGTGACTTGGCCAAGATCTACTCAACCTCCTCCCCAGGGCTGATTGGCCGGATGCTGGTGACACTGATCTCCCGCCCATTGGATATGAAGACGCAGTTGGGATGACAGTTGTGGTTGAACATCGCCACTCTATAAAGGAGAAAATAAGAGCAAAGAGGTTTGAGACCAAGCTCTGATACACCTGAGCTCCTGCCTGCTGTTTCTTGTTGTGTGTGGAGGGAAGTGGAAAGTCATGGACGTGTTGTAATCAATTCCATCCCAAGTGTGGTCAACATTCAATTCAAATGTCCGACTTGTGAGGAATTGTTATGGCCTTGTGAGGACTTGTGATGGCTTGGCGGGGACTTGTGACAGCCTTGTGGTGACCTTGTTAGGACTTGTGGTGACCTTGTGAGGACTTGTGGCGGCCTTGTTAGGACTTGTGATGGCCGTGTGAGGACTTGTGATGGATTTGCGATGACTTGTGATGACTTGTGACGTACTTGTGAGGACTTGGTTTGGATTTGTGAGGACTTGTGTTGGATTTGTGAGGCCTTGAGATGGATTTGTGGTGGCTTGTGAGGACTTGTGATGGACTTGTGGTGACCTTGTTAGGACTTGTGGCGGCCTTGTTAGGACTTGTGATGGCTGTGTGAGGACTTGTGATGGACTTGTGAGGACTTGTGATGGACTTGTGATGGCTTGGTGAGGACTTGTGATGGCCTTGTGAGCACCTTGTAATGGCCTTGTGAGGACTTTGTGAGGACTTGTAATGGACTCCACTACAACTCACAGAAAATAAATGGTATTGGATCCTCCATTTTCAGCAGAGTTTGAATATATTTAAATGACTGCAACCAAAAGTATCGAACCAACTTTTCCACGAGAACCAAACTTCAAGGCACAATTTTCCTTTGCAAAGTAGACTAAGAAAATAAACAATTTTAACAACTACCCACAAACAAAGTGGAACTTATTTCTGTTTATGACCGTTGCATACCTTGTGTACAATCCCTCCCCGATTATTTTACATCTGGCATGGCTGTCTTCGACGGAAAACATATTTGCATTTAGAATCCCTTGGAATTTTTTGAAGAGATCTTTTGTGATGGGAAGATCCTTGGCTTTGACAAACTCCCACAATCTGTCCATGTCTGGCATGGGAGATGGTATCTCATCGGATGGAGGGGCGTACTTCTCTGAGGTAAATTTGTAAAAATAAGAAAAAAATTGTCCAATAACCAAATAAGCAAAGAAAATGACAGAAGCTGGATTTGAACATTAGACCATTGGGTGACTGGCTTGCATGCTACAAAATTAGCTATCCACCATATGTTGGGGGTTCCCCATCTTGTCAATGTCTTTGTTCAAGGGGCGCTAGTCAAAAGTCATAAACCCGTATTTGCCATGTAGCCAGGGATCACGCCTAAAGTCACGATGCTAGCAACATTAGCAATGCTGCAAACCTGGGAACTAGCAAACGGGGATCGCTCAGAGAGGATACGGCTTTTCATTTCAAATTTTCATAAAACATGAAACCACGCAGGGAAACTGACTAGGCGCATTACAATGGTTTTAAATTTGAACAAAGAAATTGACTGGAGCCGGGTTTGAACCTGCGACCTCCGGATTGCCGTTCCGGTGCTCTACCAACTGAGCTATCCAGCCCTATGTTGTCAGTTTCCCATGTCATCATGTCTGTATTTAATATTTATACAAAATTCAAATCAAATAGACCACTTTGGTTACAGCTCAAAGAGAATCATCCGAAGGAATTTAACTTACTCATATACAGCACCTCTGGAGTGAGTGGAAAACCCTGTGCATTGTGGGTAGGAACATTTCTTGACCGTTTCTTCTGCATTTTCTGTAAAAAGGACGATAAGTCAATTAAAAACCAAAAAGGAATAAAATATAGGGATGGGTTTGTCCATTTACAAGAAGGTCTGAAAATGGATGAAAGTTCTGACAGTTGCAAGTTGCATTTCTTTCTATTGTATCTTTCTCTCAGATTCAAAAGGTCTGATTTCAGAAACTAGCGTGATCGGAAATATCTCGGAAGCTGCAGGCCAACGAATTCGTGTTCATGCAATGCAGGGGTCAAGTGTTTGCGCCATGTAATTTCTGGAAGGAATAATGTTACGAGTAAAAAATGAAATATCTTTTTTGACCCCAGTGACCCCATGATGACCTTTGACCCCAGTTTGGTCATGTGACATGGTGGGGTGGACTAAATACTTTTGACAAAGTTTGATAGAAATCGGTCAAAATATGTAGGAACAGCAAACAAAGTCAACGTTGTTACCAACTAACGGACTAACGGAGCTAGACATGATGATTTGTTGCGCTGCTATTTCACAGCTAATTAAAGGCTGACAAATCTCATGCCTGGTATTGTCGCTAATTGCATAATGCATTATTATTTATATCAGGCTTCCAGCGGTAAAAAGAAATCAGCGTACTGTGTGCTTTCATAAAAAGTACCCAGATGACTACAATAATAAAGAACCCGGTTGACTACAATAACATTATTGTTGCAGTCACCCGGGCATTTTCGCTGGTTCCCGCTTGATCAAGAGCATAGAAAGTCACAGTTGTCAACCACTCAACAGAGCGTAGCGCGCGCGTACCGTCTAACACGGAACACGCTGCGCGCCTGCAGCGCGCAGAAGGCCAGGTATACGCGCACTGTTGTCAACAATTACAGCGGCAGCTTCAAAACGTTTGATGTAAACGAAAAAGATGTAATGAAGACAGTGTCTTGAATTGTGCTTCTTGCGGATCAAGTCAGCCTGATATAAATAATAATAATAATATTGGATGGCTTGTTTTCGGTGGATACAAGAATATATTGCACTCGCTATGACAATATATTCTTGTATCCACCTCAAAGCCATCCAATATTATATAATTATCTGCAAATCTTCGCTTGACAGAATAGTACACGTGACAATAAAAATTTTGAAGGTGTCCCCACAAATCACAATCTGTTGCATTTCTAGCCAATGGACTCACCAGATGCTTTTGAAGGGCCATTAGAAGCGTCCTAGTGCGTATCCAGATGTCACACTCTGGGCCGGAACTCTTCAAGTATTTGCACTCATACTGATGGTCGGAATAGTTGGAAGCCTTTTAACGAAAAGAAATAAAAATGGCATAATGTTGGTTTTGGCCTAGTAAAAAGAAAATAGATTCTTGCCTGGGCTTTTTGAAAAATGAAGGAGGCCCCTCCCCCTTTTTCCCCCGAAGATGATGATTTTCCAAGATGGCGGATAGATTCTTTAATTTTCTCGACTCTTTTGCTGTTCCAGAATTGTGTCCAAAGGAACCGACATGCGAAATAACATTGCTACAATTTTGTTGGAAGCAAATATAAAGACAATACATTGATAAAATTTGCAAATTACAAATGTATGAAATGAAAAAAAAACAGGCGGGCGGGAAAAACCAGAAACTGGATTTGTTTTTTGGAAAGAATTCCATACATGAACTGTGATGGACATCACTAATTTTTTCCTGCAGTGACCTATCAGCCATCAGAAAGTTTCAAGGAACTTAAGAACGTTGCATCCTGTTGCCACTTCAGCAGTTTTGTACAAAGTCTATGGAGAGCCAAGAACATTTTCCTGACAGAATTGGAAATGTTTCTCAGTTTTTGACCTTAATTGACATGACATAATGAAGAAAAAAGTGGCATCAGGTTGCAAAATTCTTTCCAAAGTCAAATTTATCAGGGAAAATATTGAAGCATTTACCAAGAAAACACTTGGCATTTTTCAGACCAGTCTCATAGTGTTTGTGCACAGGGTGTCAAGTGATGTCCAGCTATACATGGATTTCTTTCCATTTTGGTACTTGGCCTTAAGAGTAAACACTTAAATTAATAAAAAGTCTTTTTGAACAATAAATGGGATGAAGATCCCGACACTGTAAAGCCGTGGGGTGGTTCAGGAGGTCCCGTTCAAGACATTCCTTGAATTTGAGGGGTTATGCGGAATGCATAACAAATGACAAGCCAAACACAACGTAAATGATGAACAGTCCATCTTTCTCACCTGACATTGTCTATCGCAGTAATACACAAAGTTGCAGCCACCGCATGCTCGCAGTTTTTCTCTACTAAAAAAAAAGAAATGGAGAAATAAGATGACACACAACATGAAGCTGTACCTGTTCAGCATGTTCAGTCAATTTGGTCAAACACCATGACCACGGAAGACAGAATTTCACACCTCCTTGAGTTTCATTGTTTATAAACCACGAAATTCAAGTGTGGTTGGTCGTTGTTCATTATATCATGTATAAATACAAATCACCGTAGAAAAGGGCTGAGAATGAGATTATTGTAATATTAATCATGTTGAACCCATTAATGACCATCACCATTGATCATGATTTTATATCGATATAAAAGTAGTAATTCATTGCACTTTGTCTTTACACACGAAAACAAAACTCGCCATGCTTTTGCTTAATTACCGTTCTTTGCAGCAATAATTACACCTGTTTCGCCGGTAGTCTTCCTCTAAAGTTAATATATACGGGTTCTCAACCAACAGTACTGTTTCTGGCTCGATAAAAGTGGTGGCCCGGACGCCCCTTCCTCGTTTTTCATCCGAGAAAAGTTCGACTTTTTCACTAACTTCTGCCATTTTTATTCAGTTGTCGTCCGCTATTATTGCGCAATATTAAACTTGTTAAGGTCGCCCCGCCGGTGGTGATTTCGTATTTTCTCATTTTGACCACCTCATTTATTTTCACCGTTTGATATTATTTGAAACTGATACACCACGTCTTATTTCATTTTACCAAAATTTTGTTTTCATTATGCGACTGAATACTGAAATTGCGAAGACTTTAATACCAAGGTAGAAAATAGACAGTGATACGACTTGAACAAATTTGGTTCAAATTGAACAGCGCCCTCCACCCACGGCCACGTGGCCGTCTTCGTACGATCGTGCTAAGAGCGCGTAAGCGGCTAATTATCAGTGGCGTAACTCTAGTGCATATACACTTAGTATGAAATAGGTCCACGCGATGCAGGTATTATGGCGTAGTGTGAACCTTCTGTGGACTAAGCCAGGTCAAAACAAGGTTTCCCTCTCTCTGACACCCCCCCCCCCCCGATTTAGAGGCATTTTGGGGGCTAGGGTGTGTCGCAAAACTTGAAGAGGAACACTCAACGAATTCGAAATCATGATTTGAAAAGTGTGTGGCGCGTAGTCATGGTGTAAATCGAGGACACACAAGTGCAACACCATCAATGAATTGAGGACAGGCACCAAATCGAGGACTCCTCGGTTGGAAAACGTGTATGACAAAACCAATGAGAGTTGTTACGAAAAAGTTAAGAGTACAAACAAAGGGGAAAAAGAGGAACAAATAAAAACCTTTGATTTAACAAACGTGCTTGGGCGGGTGTGTCGGGGGGGGGGGGGAGGGCGGAAAGTATTTTTCACATTTACTTTGAAATAATGTCTTTTATTGATATGAAGCACTTAACAACACACAACACAAAATGAAAGTAACACACATTTTCCCAATGCCTACATTTTAAGCTTAGTAGAGCAATTTTATTAGTTCTGTAAGGTGTAAGGCCTAACATGAAAAACCGATGCAAGAAAAATGCAAACAACTTAACTTACCACTAGGGTTAATAGCAGTTTCATAGTCATGCAGTGATTTTTTTCAGAGACTATTGTTTCGCTTTATAAACAGGATTCGCAAAACGTTTTCCACAAATAGACTTCAATAGCAGTTTCATAGTCATGCAGTGATTTTTTTCAGAGACAATTGTTTAGCTTTATAAACAGGATTTGCAAAACGTTTTCCACAAATAGATTTCAGTCAGTAATTCATTTAGTGAACCGTCATTTGGTAGTGGCTAATGTTAGTAACTTAGTGCCTAGAATTTTCACAAAATAAGTGCATCGTGGTAATTGTCAGAAAAAAAATTTCAGATTAAAATCAACTTGACAACTTCCGATAAAAAAAATGTAGATTAGTAAAATATTTCTTAAAACATGGTTTACTGAGGTTAATACATTGTGTACACATATAACAGTGAAATTACAAAAATATACGAAAATAAAAGATCATTGATTTTGTACACATAAAAAAATGAAAATGGCAACACCTGTTAACCTAGATACTAATGTTTATGAAAGTACATTACACGTAAACTGCACTAATTGCACTGCATTGTATAGATCGACCACAGCAAAAATTATGGTTATTATTGCATTTACAATTTTCACAATTATATTTTTGCTATTTATGGAAGCCAAATAATTAGTTTTAATAAATGGTTATCAACAGATTCTTTGAATAGTTTACATTCCATAAATGTTATACATTCATGTGGCAACCGTCCAACCAATCTTTCAATTTTGGAATAATGACAAGAAATTTCATAATTTCAATTAATGAAGCACAAACACAAATGTCTTACATTATTTCAAGATATCAACTTATTCTTTCACTTTTTCTCAGATAACTGTAACTATGTTTGTACATTTCAGCATGTAATCAAAGCATGTTTGAAGATATTATTTTTTATGATCTTTTCGGCGAAGAAATGTTTTATAGCAGTACGAAAACAGTAAGTACTTTTGAAAAATAATTAGTATGAAACTTAGTACACTTTTGTTTAGTAGAAGGCGAACAAAAATGGGCGAGATATTTAAACCCTGTTAATACTGAAATGAATGAAAGAAAATTTGAAATTATCGGAAAAGCTTTATATCACTTTACAGTTTATACATACAAATTCTTACAATACTTTTTACCACAAGACAAGTCATAGTTCCCAGCAGAAAATCTATATGCAATATCTTGTTTTGTTTTGATAAAAACAATTCCATTGATTTTGGTTCTGAGTACTTTATGTCATTTGATTTATATACCCTTTTTCACTACTTATGCACACATTTCCTTCGCTGCTCTTATGACAAAATTCCAGCTCATTTAAGTTTATTAGTATGTAAAGCTCAAGTTCATTTCTTTAAAATCAGATTAAAAATAAAGCAGCAGCCTTTTTTTTTTAAACCTGTGGTATTTTGTTACATATTACACTAATCAAAAAAGGTTCATTGAATAATTGGAGTATAATCAAAAATAAGCATTTCAAGGCAGTTCTTCTGTTAAGATATGTAAATTAAATAGGCAAGATTTGCAGAAACATTTTTTTTGCCAAATCAGCAAGGGCAATGTATCTTTAAAACAGTCTTAAAGTTTAGAGGACAATACATTGAAAAATATAAAATTGATGACTATTTCAATTGTCAAATTCCTTCACTAAAAGTCCATTCGCTGGTGCAGGATGTTAATACATATTTATTTGTACAATCCTTCGCTAACATTTTGACCAATCCCTGCATTGTCAGCAATTAAGTGATTGTCCATAGGCAGGCCACCTTACTGCAATATCCACCCCTCCCAACCCCAGACCAAATGGCAGCTTGCAAAGGAGCTTTACGTGATGTCAGCTTAAGCCTTTTTCACACTAGACAAATCTCGGGGTTCAAGTTGACGCAGGGTTGAAGCAGGGTTGAAAACATGCATCGTTTCACACTTGAAGAATTTCAACCCTGCGTCAACCCTGCGTCAACCCTGCGTCAACCCCGAGATTGATTTCGCCCCGGGTTGAACTCAACCCTGCTCCAGACCAGGGTTGAGATTTGCAACCCGGGTTGAAATTCTTGCCAGGGTTCAAAACAGTAGTAACTGAGCATGATAAGCTTGATTTGCATGAAACAAGTGTGAAACGATGCGGGGTTGAACGCAGGGTTGAAAAATAAAAAAACTCAACCCAGGGAGGCACTGGGTTTGCCCAGGTTGAGTTCAACCTGGGTTGAGAGGATGTAGTGTGAAAAGGGCTTTAGAAAGCATCTCTATGATAAGAGTCACACTAATCTTCAGGCATCCCCAGCTTCCGCATGGACACCACACTGACACGTCTCACTGATCAGCCAGCAACCCCTGCTCAACTGTCGCATCCTTCACTCGCTTCACTGATTCCACAGTACACAACCTCCCACCACCGTGGGGATCCCTTCAGTTTCCCGACGACGAGCAGAGCGTACTGTTTCAAAACGTTTTGGCCCCCCCCCTGTCCTTTTCAGAACCTCATCAACTCATAAAAGAGATTTGTCACATGGTGCTACCGTAAATCCTTATCTTATTGCTGCCTTCTCAATGCAATCATTCACATCTTATAAAACTAGTACTTAAGAGCAATTCCAGTGTTATGAAAGAAAGCGTTTTGTACAAAACGGAGCTAATTCAGGCGATTCACAGTGCGCTACCAAGAGTTTGCCATGGAGAGTCCATTTTTCAAGTTCACGGTCGACAAAACATGGCCCATTTGAATGAGTGTCAGTAGACAACTTGAGCTAGTTTGCTATGGATTGGGGCATAGCGTTCTGCCGTCTTACAAACAACACCATATTGATAAAAAGAAGAAAAAGGCAAACTGATACTCGAATCATACGCTTACGAAACTACTGACCAGAAAAACAAACCATTTCAAATGTCCCACGCTGCGAATTTGCCAACCGTCTCCCACAATGCACTGGGAAAAATGAACTCTTGGTGGCGCACTCTGCATTGTGAATCGTCGGAATTGACCATGATATCTAACTAATGATTCAGAGAAATGATCCAAAACTCCTAGTCTGTAATCTCCTTGGCCATTACTGGATGATGGACGTATAAGATTTGCAAAATACATTTTCAGATTTATTAAAAAAACAGGTGTTTCATAACACTGGACATTTCCTTAACAGCTCTTGGAATTCCACATCTTTATAAACCAGTTTAAGTACCGTGATACATTCAAATATTTAAAGTCAACAGATGCAGAATCCCTTGACTACCAACAATGCAAAACATATACTTAGCTTCAAAAGATATTTTTTGGGGGAAACGTCACAAAAAAGAAATAATACAAAAATAAATAAATATGTAAACCCTGTTTGATGACAACACTCTTGGAGGAAAAAAAGGAGAACTTTGCAAGTTTCTTGAATATTCCTTGAAATATTAAGTAGGATAGCATGATATGTTACCACTGGGTACACCAAACATATTGTAGCAATAACCCTAACTATCCCCATCCAGTCAAAATCCAACACCAGGGTTTGTTGGAATCTGTTGGAGTGAGTACTGCACTAGCAAACTGATCATGTTTTACATAGGGTCAGACATACATGTACCACCATAATCAGAGTCCAACAGTTTGGGTGTAGAGTTTCCCATAGTGGTGTTGGAATTTGCAGGAATAGGAAGGTTCCTAGTAAACAGAGTTGTAATGACTCGAGTCAATGACTCGACTTGAGTCCGACTCGAGTCACATTTTTTGGTGACTCGACTCGACTCGAGTCCCTAAGGGTAAATGACTCGACTCGAGTCACTGCAAGCAATTGACTCGACTCAACTCGAGTCCCTCATCAGAAGACTCGACTCGACTCGAGCGAAGGCTAATAAGACTCGAGTCCCAAAAATAAAAGCAAAACTTTGCGAAAAGTATTTGCAATGACTTACGGTGCAAACTTTATGCTCACTTCACCTTGCGAATAGCAGTCATGTATAAATATACAACGTGTCACAGACTCCCACCTCATGGTTCGACTCGACCTTTTGACCTAATGGCTCGACTCGACTCGAGTCACTTCTTTAAAATGACTCGACTCGAGTCACTTCTTTAAAATGACTCGACTCGACTCGAGTCACAAAAATCAGTGACTCGTTACAACTCTGCTAGTAAATCACTCATGGGAGTTAGGGTTAATACAAGATGTGTGCTTAGTTGAGGTTGTATTTACAAAAGTCTAAATGCCACAGCCCAAGATCTTATCACAAGAAATAATGGGAAATGTTTGTACATGTACCACAATTGGAACGCCTCTGAATAAGATTGGGTTGTTTTACGTACACCGTGTTGAAGAACCGATCAAAATTCTGTGTTCTCGTATTGCGAACCGTTGGAGTTGGTCCGTGAGGAACGCAGAGAAGTGCTCCCCACCGATCTTCTGTCTACCTCCGAAAACGAGGAAGATTTTCGTACTCTGTCACCATCTGGTAAAATTCCTGAATTTCTACTTGGGAGGCTTCCGCAGCCATCAATCTGTATAGGGGATCCAACATCAGTGTTCTCGTACTGTGATGCATTGGAGTTTGGGCGCGAGGACCGGTGAGAACTACTGGCAAAAGAGTCTCGTCTGTCTGCCTCCGAAAACGAGGGGGATTTTCCAAGTCTCACTCCGTCCAATGAGATGCCTGAATTCCTAGCAGAAAAGCTTCCTGGTGGGGTACCGATCTCAGATGGCAGGGACCCGAAGTTGGTATTCTCATACTGGGAACCATTTGAGTCTGGACGTGAAGATCTGTGTGAGGTACTGTTGACAGAGATTCTCCTCTCTGGTGCGGAAGAGCAAGGGGATTTGCTGGTTTCTGAGGAGTAGCGTCTTGTTGTAGCGGTACTCTCAAACTCGGAGGCGTTGGAGTTGGTACGAGAGGATCTCAGTGAAACCCTGTCCAGGGATATGTTTGGATCGCGGGGTGGGGGTGGGGGAGGAGTTTTCTTCGCCCGATTTGTTTTCACGGCAGATTGGATCTCTTCATTTTCCGAGGAGCTTCGGTGTTGGTTCATGCCGGGAAAGAATCGCTTGACCTGGGCTCGATTGGCGGTGTTTGTGGGTGCCTGGGCACTACTGTGGGGTGGACTTGGGAGGGGTCTGTTGGCCACCTCTAAGAGTCTATCCCGGGCGGCTTTCTCAGCTGGTAAAACAGCTGGAGTAAAAGCAGGAGATTCAGCAGGACTCAGAGATTGCATTCTTGGTAGAGCAGCATTCACAGGGGTTGTTGGGGAACTTACACCCGGCTTGGCTGCCACGGCAGGCTTTGTCTTCGGGCTGGGGGACTTTCCCTGGAGTGGTCCCGAGGGGCCAGCTTTCCGAAATGATATTGCCTTATCGGAGGCAACGATTCCTTTCACTCCTGGTGAGATGCCTGCTTTCTCAACAGGCCTGGCTTCTGATAGAGAGGACTTACTGTTCCTCCGCTCAGATTTACTTTCATCAATGCTGCCTTCCATGCTGTTTCCATAGGCTTCTTCCTTGTCAGCGGATTTGCTGTTCTGACGGAAGATCTTGAGAGGGAAGTCAAACTTTCTCCGTCGGTTGACAGGGGCAGCGTTGGTGACGTGGCTGGCAGGTTTGACTGCAGCCGCGTTAAAATTCTTCTGCTTGTACTGAGGAGATGGGAAGATAGGCTTCTCATCAAGAAGATCTGGATTTGACTGAGAACGTTTGATCAAGGAAGCGACTGATTGAGAGGGTTTTTCCTCTACTGTGCTTCCACTGGTGGAAGACACGGGTATTGCTCCTTCCTTGGAGATATTTGGATTTGAGTTAGTCCGCTTTCTCAAGGTTGCAAAGAATCCCTTTGATTTGCTGCGGGATCGGTGTTGGGGTTTCTTCCTTCCAGTCTCGACGGCCTCTGAATGGTCAATGTTCAGAATGTCAGCTTCTGAGCGGGATCTCTTCATCTTTAAAACTGGCTCCAGGTAGCCTTCTTCATCCAACGAAGTATCCTGCATCTGGGCTTGTGCTTCGCTTGCAGATGCCACCGACTGCCTCTGGTTGTTGTTGTTGAAAGAATTCCGGTTTCCTTTGATCTCGTTATAAGCAGCATGGGCGCTGAAGGTATTGAAATCTGCAAACGGTGGAAAGGCTGAGCGGGGGGACCCGCAGTAGGCATTGAACTCCGGGGAACCAAGAGGGGGTGGGGAGGGCAGCTGGCGAGAACCCATCCAGCTGGGTATTCTGGACGACTTGGCGTAGTGTGCGGCCAGGTCGAGGGACCCTATTAAGGGTGATCCTACCGAGAGAGCTGAGGATATTGAGCTGCTTACCGAAGGGGTCCTATTTCTGAACAAGTGGTCCAGTGACATTGATCGGCGAAGGGTTCCGTGAGGAGTGTTGAAAAGAAAGACATCCTGGTACTGGTGTGGACCAAGCGTGCCCCCTTTGATGGTGGAGTAGCTGGGCAGATCTGAAGGAGACCTCTTCTTTGGGATTGCTTTCCCGCGAGGGGACATGTAGTTCGAAGCGGGGCTTTGGGCAGGTCCATTAATCCTGTGCTGGAAGTAAGTATGCCTGATCTGCTGATTTTGACCAGGCACACTGGAGTGAACGTCCGCAACCCCTGAGGTCCTGTGAGGAGGCTGGTACTTTCTTGGGGGGAACGGAGGCCCTGACTCGAGACTCCGTGGAGAGCTGACAAATCCCATGTTGGGGAATCCCGGGAACACTACATCCCCAGGGCTTGGGCTGATGAGAGGCGTGTTCTCATAGCTATTGGGCAGCAACGACACGCCCGAGTTTTGGTAAGGGTTGTGGCCCAGCCGAAGCGCCATTGCCTCGTACTCAGACATGCCTGTGTTGGAGCTAATACTCAGCATGCGTCGGAACTTGTCGGCTGCCAAGATGGGTCCGAAACTCTCGCTGGCCCTTGCCATCTGTTGCATGTCGCTCTCGGTGAATGACCTACGACCTCCGGACCCCCTGCCGAGGGGGTTGGAGGAGTTCATGACGGTGTAAGGATCGTGCCCCGGGGAAAGCGGATAGCTGTGCTGCCCCTCAAGGCTCCGGCCATACTTCTCCAGGCTATGTCCGCGCTCCGAGTAGGAACGCTTGAAGCTGGACGAAGGGGTCCTCAGGCCCTCCTGCCGTGGAGGAAGAGGGGGCCCAGATGACATCGGGGAGACTGATGGGTGGCTGGCATTGGCATGGATTGGGATGCCTTGCGTCCGAGTAGGTGTGGCACCAGGAAGCCTCTCTGAACGTTGCCGTGCAATTTCTGGGGAGGAATAGAAATTATAGCAAAACATTTACTGCGATTTAAAAAAAAAAATTCAAAGTGTACTTGAAAGGTCTTTGCCCTGAAATGCATTCACTTGACCCTTACTGGAAGGATATTGTTAATTAAAATTACATCAGTTTGATTATTATATTCCGAATCGGCAACAATTACGTCAGTTTCTCTACTCAACACAATTTGGTATTTTTGTCCACGAAGACACAACACATATTTCATGGCAAAGATGTACACAATTATAATAGCACTTATTTGACTGCTGCGAGAAATAAATTGGCAGGTAATTTCCATACCCTGATTATTTTTTTGGATAATAGATATATATATATAAGAATCCTAGTTAGGATTTAACATATCATTTGCATAAAAATAAGATTATAATACAGAGAGTGGCAAGGCATGAATAAGTACAATAAAATCTGTCTTTATCTCTTTCAGTGCCTTGTACAGTTCAGCTTTAGACCCCGGAAAACTGAACACCGAACAACACAGCCCATGTATGGCATGTATAGGATTATGAAAGCATTAACGCGTCTATAGTCTGTGTGTGACGACTGACAGAAAACACACTAAGTTAGTAAACCTGTGCAAGCAATGATAGCCACAAGTTTCAAACCCCTGCTCTGAAGTTTAATGCTTTCACACCCTCTACTAGGCGGCAAAGCAAGTTATACGCAAGTCAGCTTTTGCCTTATCTTCGGACAAAAATTTAAATGTTATCAAGTGTTCGTCATTTCAAACTTAGCAGGGTATTTTGTAACAGTCAAGTCTTTGCTTTAGTTTTTTTTTTCACAAGTGGTAGTTTGTTAGTAAAGTTTCAAGATATATGGGTCATTTATAAATGTAGGGTCAAAAGTGTGACATTTGTGTGTCCCTGTTACCTTGGTACTTTGTAATTTGCCATTTAAGTATCATTAAGAATGACTTCATATGATTTATTGTTTGTTGGGTAGGTAGTTTGATATTCATAATCACTCTTGGAGGACGACTGCTTTAAGAATGCATAAGAATTATAAAATCATAGCTGTCAGATGTAACAGGGACTGGGAAACAAGTGGACCCCAAATTTATAAAACGACCGATGTGCAGTTAATATTATGGGTTGTAATGTTACAGTACGTTGACATTTTGAAAGGCATTTGAGACTTTTGACACAAACCTTCTTGTCCTCTATGTAGGTGATCGTAACCCACTGCTGGCCCTCGGCTGTGGGGTACGGGAACGGGGACAGCCACGCTGGCTGAGGGGGTGCCTGCACTCCGAACTGATTCAGTAAAAAAGGTGTCAGAGAGGGGGGCAAAAGCACGGGGGAAAAGGGAAGACAGTCAGTATGTGTTAATGACCACAGCAAAAGGTTAAATGAAGCTGTTCTGAGTGAGGTTTGATAAGTGCTTACTGCTTGGAAAGCTTTGCTTAGAAATTCTGATTTGTTTTTTTGCTAAGCAGTCTGCACCCTTTTGAATATCTTGGTAAGGCAATTGGACTCCATCTAGGGTCTATAGAGGGCGCCGTTCTTTACATGCAAACAGCACAAACACAGCAGGGATCATGTTTTTGAAGCAGCGATTATTTATTTGGGCACACTGCGGTCAAGTGAAATGCGAGGTTGTTTTAAAGGTGTTTTCTGTGTGATGACAAAAAGATGATTGGTAAGATGGCGGTAGTTGTGCAAAAGTGTGCATGTGTGTGAAAAATGTGCACCAGTGCAAAACTCTTGCCCAGAACCCAAAATCCCAAGAACACGAACAACACACATTTTTTTTGAGTTATTCTGCTTCGGGATTTACCATTTTAGAAGAACACCACAATATTATTGATTGATGTGAACGTAACATCACATGTGGTTTCCTAACAGCTGTGACAAATACAGGGTTCTACCAATTAACTTTCTCATCAAACTTATCATTTTTGAGAATATCTTGAGTTTACTAATAGCAATAGCTATCATTTTATACATATTGTTAAGTTTCAAAGTGTAAAATGGTGAGAAAAGAAGATTTTTTTGGGGGGGGGGGAGAGGTTAATTGTTAGGGGTGCACGTAGGAGCGTCCATCCCAAACGACCCCACATTTTGACAACTCTTTGCTCAATTTGAAAACTTAAAAACACTGAAGCACATTGAAGCACAGACTGGGCCAAGCTATCGTACTGACCTGATGATGATCTTTGGCTAAGCAGGCCAAACGTGGCCAATCTCAGCTTCTCATATTCCTTGATCACTTCTTCCTCTGTGGCTGGCTGGTTGGGGTCAGTCGACCCGTCGTTCCTCTGAAAAGAGACAGAAAAAGAGCAAGATATTTTTTTTGTAAAAATCAAACTAACATCAAGGGTCAAGCAAGTGTTCCAAAAATGGAACAACCCGAAGGGAAAAGGAAGGTTTAGATTAAAGTCGCTCCCTCAAAACCAATTTGTTTGTTGCGACTGAATTTGATTGGATATCCTACTGCTGCTTTTAGAATTTTCCCATATCTATACCTGTTTCTGCATCTCGGTGGTAAACTCATCCAACAGGTCGTACATGCGCCCGTCCTCCCCAGGGTTGGTACCAAAGAGGTACCGGGCCTCCCCCATGGGAGCGCTACGGCCCGCCTCGAAGGAGAACGCCCCCGTCTCCGAGCTCTCAAAGATGCGGATGCTCTTCAGGGGCCACTGAGCAAGGAGAGACCTGGTGCGCTGTGGACACAAAGGAATAGAACACAAAGATGGTAGTAAAGTATATTCTGTAACGACCCAATATGGCCCACCAGGCCGACGTTTATCTCTGGTTTCAGTAGCATGAAATGACTGAGAATATTTCTATTCCCCCCCTGGATGGGATGCTAGTCCATCGCAGGTTACTCCCCAGCTAATGCCAGTACCCATTTATACTCCTGGGTGGAGAGAGGCAAGTGGGATAAAGTGGCTTGCCCAAGGACACACATATGGCCAGCAGCTGGATTTGAACCCCTGACCCTCTGATCAAGAGTCATGAATTCTAACCACTAGGCCACACTCCCCAACAATTTTAAATAAGATTTTTGGGACTCTAACATCATATGACAAAAAAACAGGGCTCCATAATATTGGTGGATTCTGGCAAAATTATTTACTTGACATTTTTTATAAAATGGTGCACAAATGTAGAGCACCCACTTCATTGAATCCCCCAAGGAAAGAAAAAAACATTTTGCCAATTAATTCTCATTTTGTGACCAAAACTCCGTAGGCATGTTTACAAGGAAGCGTTCAACATTTGTCAAATCATGTCCCACAAGTAGTTAATACAGGCTTGACTCTGTCTCCCTCAATCCTGCAAAATCGCCCAAAACGTCCCCGTAGATTTTGAAGGATCGTGGAAAGTTAGAATTAAAGGTAATATACAACATTTGCAAACGTCAAAAAACAAAAGTACCACATTATTTTATAAAATACGTTACTTGACTGTAAGTGAATAATTGGATTGTTCGTTCAATTTTTTTTATACTGCCCACAAATAGCTAGTCCACATTTTGTTTGCAAATACACAATCCGTGAACGGGTGCAAGCCGGCTAGTCCGGTTCCCTGACCTGACAATTCCCCTACATCTATACGTTTCTCTGTTTAGTCTGAAGTAGGGTCAGGGAACAAGACTACAAGAACCGCATTTTTTTCTTGTCAGTATCTATATGAACACAGAACTTTAAACAGGTCAGTGTAACAATATTTGCTATGCAATGTTACCCCCAAATCCATTCATTTCTGAAAATTACCGCAAAAGAAAATGTTGTATATTACCTTTCAGGCAAGCATAACACGGGATAAATTTGATCTCTAATGAGCTACAGTGTCTCCCACGTGGAACAAGAGTCTTCTCAAGGTTATGCTCCAGTCGTTGTCTTACCTTGAGAGCTAAGGTTAGGCCCCACTTGGAGATGTGTAGCAGACACTTGGACCCCTTGGCTCCTATTCTGCTCATTGGATGCGACTCGTCTGGGGTCACCTCAAAACAGTAACCTTTGACAGAAACATACAATAGTTATAAAAAGTTGACGTCTGATGGAGATTGAGAAGGGCGTGGGGATGGGCTGGGGAAGAGGGTATCATCTATGCTGCTTTGTGTTACTAACATTAACCCTAACTCCCTAGCATTTTTGCTAGGATGTAACCTCAATCCTGCAAAATCCCCCGACTGCTTCCATGTAAAAATTGTTTATAGCTTCAATCCTCCAAAATCATCCGTTATTTCTTGAATGTGGTCCTCGGAGGGGTGACCACTGCCTCAATCCTGCAAAATCCTCCAGCAATCACTGCCAGTATGTTGAGGCAGAGCCAGTGACATCCTGGAGCAGTGCGGAGGATTTCAAATATAATTTAGGCCTTAATTTATGCACGGCTGAGCAGGTCCAGCCTAAGACCTTGACATAGTGCATCCTCCAAAATCAGCCACATCTTTTTGACATATAGCCTCAATCCTGCAAAATCCTCCATTTTGCAAAGAGGATTTTGGAGGATTTGGAAAGGTTAGGTTTAATTCTTTCTGAGCACACAAAGACTGAAACTAAAGAGGAGACAATGAAAAACTGTTTCGTTTCAATGGTGGGAGGAAAACCTTGAAATGAGATTTCAGGGGAAAAAACACAGAAACAGGAAGGGAATGGAAATCTTATAAACTTTCTGCTAGGGATTGATTCGAACCCACCTGGAAAGTCGTGCCTAAGTTTGGTCTGAATTTGCAGGTAGAAGACCCAGAGGTCCATGTTGGTCTCCGACTCCGACATCAGCCGCAGGTTTTCTAGCGGAGTGCGGACCTCAAAGATATAGTGTTTGCCGGACTCATCATGCTTCTTGTCCACGCGGTAGTGGGGCCAAAGCTTCAACAAGGCTGCAGAAAAATGAAGATAAAACACTGATGACCTCCCAACTTTACGTTTCTCTTTAGCAAGTGGAGGTTTGACAGCAAGTTCTCTCTTGAAAAAAGAGTTTTAATATTGGGGAAAATGCATCTGAGTTTAATAGATTCCACATTACTGAAACAATGCTTCATAGCATCTAAATACATGTGTTAATAAAAGATTGGGAAAAAATACTACTTAAAGGCCCATGTAATGCCATTTCTTTCAGTGAAGTCCTTGAAAATGCACCTTTGTGTCCTATTTAACCTTATTTTTAATTTTCATTTTGCCATTCTCGAGGGTAGTTTGGTACGGTACCTTTTTTTGTTTTAATGCTAATGCAAACATTTCCAGATTCATGAGCAAAAGTGTGATGTCTTTCCGGGTAGAAACCTCAATGATACAATGTTTGAGCACCAAAAGTTGCCAGAATTTTGGATAATTTGCTGTCGTAAATGTTCTTCTCTTTGGTGATTTGTTGTTGTGTCGGCACATGTCAGTAAGCAAATGAGGAAAATTTACTCACAAAAGTTTTCAATGAACACATTTTTGGCTTTACAAGTTTGAACAGAAAAGCCCTACACTGAACAATGTCTTCCTGAAATGACGTCACAGCAACAGCGCCCCCATTTGTCGAGAAAAGTATGGAAAACTTTAAATGTTTAAAGAAATGCACTTTTCAAAGAAATTAAACAAAAAGTGATGTCAAATAGTTTTCATACATTTAAGAGGATAAGAAAGTTGCATAAAATGTGTTCCTAACAAAAATCCATCGCATGTTCCCTTTAAGTCAATATAGGGCTTGCACGCTTGCACGGCACCGGCGTGAAGGCGTGAAGTCAAACTGGATGATGATGCCTAGCGGCGATATCCAGTCAACTTTCTGAGATTCTGAGATTCTGAGATTCTGAGATTCTGAGGGCTGTCAAATGATGAAAGGGCGTTTGCTTAACTCTAAATCAGTGTAAATTTGTCTTTATGATGACAGTCCTCATGTCACGCATTCCATTTCCGACATGAAGTGTAGAATTTATCCTTCTTCTATTTTCTCTTACCCTTGGGCGTTTCTGTCTCTGTTGTTGGTTCCTTCTCGTAGGTCCAAACAAATGGGCATTCCTCCTCCTCTTCTTCATCATGCTTACGCAGCAGCACAAAGTAATACTTCTTCCACGGCGTGCTGCTCTGACGATTGAGAAAACTCTTCTTCTTCTTTTCGGAAGTGATGGCTTTTTTTAGCCACCCCTTTTGCAAAGCAAAATAAAAATTACATTATCGTTGATCGTGGCCATAATCAGGGCAAATCCATGCAAAAGGTGGACATGCGTCATTTCGTTACTGATCTCACGTTAATTTGTAATTCGTAAACGAACAGAAGTAATCAAAAAATTAAAGTGGAAATGAAAGTGGAAATAAAAGGTAGGCCTAGTAGCCTACTGCTACCTTTTATTGCCACTTTCACTTTTTGAAACACTTCCTCCACTTTTATTATTTGAAAAACTTCTGGGAAGAATTCCAGACATTTTTCAGACCAGTCTCATACTCATAGGGTTTGTGCACAGGGTGTCAAGTGATGTCCAGGTATGTAACGCTTTCCAAACTTCTTTTCGTTTATGAGGTCGGTAACAGAATGATGCATATCCACTTTTGCATGGAATACACCGTAGAAGTGGTTACGTCATACACCACCAAGGTCACGCGTTACTCGTAACGACCGTTTCACACAAACACGGGGCCCACTTTTTCACCATTTTTTTTACGCGTTGGAAAATAAAAAATAACGGCATCCGTTTCATTCCGAGTGATGAATACAGTCAGCTACGAAGCCCAGTCTTATTTATTCTTAATGTCTGAGAAATCTTAACTGGAAAATGTTCACCTAAATCTCTCATAGATATGTTTTGCATGGTGAAAACTGTAAAACAGACATTGTTTGGAATGGTAGCTACAGTACAGGAGACGACCCCGCGTGATGTCCGTATTGCCCATCATAAATTCACGGAGCAAGGACAAATAAGATTAAAATTATTGATTAATAATAAACAACTAACTACTACTCTTTTACTACATGTCATGCATGTAGGAGACTGCCCCGCATGACGTCAAGTTCTACAGCAAACGTATTGCCCATCATAAACTCACATGGACAAATGATGGAGCAAGGACAAATAAGATTAAATATACTCTGTAGTTTGCAGTGAATAGTGGGCGAAATAACAGAATGACATGATAAGTAATAAGTTCACAACATATTTCCTAAGTGTGTCATATACGGCCATTAGTTTTACTGCATATGCATTTGATTATTCGCAGTGGCTATCGTAACGGCAGCCGTAACGCATTTCCCATTTTCTATCGTCATGATCGTTACGGTAGTACTGCAACTTTTATAAAAACATGAGAAGAAAATATAAATTAGAAGGAAAAAAGTGAATTTGAACGTTATGAAATTCGGACTTTATTTCCCTTTTAAAAAAAAATCCTCCAAAGCCTCAGGTTAGAAAAGGAAAAAAATTCGAGTGCAAAACTGAGATGCTAACCCGCAACCTCGCGGTGCAAAATCCTACCCTCTATCGACTGAGCTGTCGCACTGCTCGCTAAAACGTGGGAAAACAAATAATTATATACCGTAATTTTCGGAATATAAGCCGCGCGGCGTATAAGCGCGCAGCACGCAAAAATCTGCAAATTAAAATTTGAAGTCGGCGTATAAGCCGCATCGGCGTATAAGCCGCACCAACCGCAGCGGTTCAATTTTGTAAGGCCTCCAAATTCTAGTCAAAATGCTCTGAACCAGTTCCATTTGCACTACGAAAGCTATAAAAAGGGCCACAAATGTTTTGTCAAATCATTTACAGTCGATTACTCTTACAAACAAATATGGAAATTGATGATGAGAAATAAAAAACGGGAATTGCTGCCGGCTGGCTCGTCAGTGAGCCTGTGCCGGCGAATGACATTATTTTCCCCCAGCACTTGAGAGAGTATGCAACCCACCATGTGTTGTCTGACTGGAGCGCTACAAATCCTGCTTTGTGGCAACAGACGCTGAGTTGTTTTGTCCTAAAGGATAAACAAGTCCGTTTTTACAGCAAAACTTATCAAATTGTTGTGATTACTAACGAGTAGTAACGTCCAAACTTCAAGTTTGGATCGTAACTTTCTTTGAAAACAGTCAACGCGATGCCGAGATTTTTATGGACGAATCCATTAATTTTGTAGGGGTGGTTTCACCCCTGTTTTGAGTTTTACATCGTTTCTTGAATACATTTCAAGAAAAAAAATTATATTGTGACGTTGAACAACTGATTATCAAATACATATATATTTCAAACTCCATAAAAAGTATTAGTTGTCTTTTTCCTTTTTTGAAACTGGGGAAATAATTATTGGTAATTATTGTTCCCAAGAAAGTGCACCCCTTTATTACCACAAATGGTGTGGTCCATGGGGAATCCATGCAGCATATGCATGCAGCATGGGCAGCATCACGGCCGGTTGTCGATGTCCAAGGGACAGCTTTCACCAGCCGTACTTTTTACCGCTCGGTATCTTTTTGTGGGACGTGCTTTCGGTTAATAATGACTTTCTTAATTGATAGTTATTTCAGCAACACATCTCTTCTTGTACCAGTACATTAAATACACATGTAAATCTCATTTTTATTCTTCAAGTCTCGTTGTATAAGCCGCCCTGTGTATAAGCCGCAGTAAACATTTTCATGGGCAAATTCAACGTATAAGCCGCGGCTTATATTCCGAAAATTACGGTACCTGCGTGCGTATCAAAAAAGTATCGTAGAGGGCGCTAAACAACGGCTGCCGTAACGATAGCCACTTCGTTGATTATTGCAATGCACTTGCAATGCAAATTATGCAAGATGCAATTGCACTTGATGAGAGATCGAGAAGCGCTTCGAACATCGTCAAATACTACCTCATCGCAAAACTGGCACACTACAATAAATAACCAAGATTCCGATTGACAAATAATGTGATTTCTCTTAATTCATATCTTTTTAGAACAACATATGAAACGAAATAAAACACACCCACCTTGTAAATGACTTCCACCGTTCCGTCGGCCATTTCTCATGTTTATGTGACCTTTGCCCTTTCGGTGGCATTACCGAACGTCTTAAGCGGGTTTTGCGTGCGCAACGAGACAGATGTGATGGAACCAGACTATTGATGATGGAGGAAATAAGAGTTCGTTGACCTTGACCGTGGCATTTCAGAGGCTGCGCAATGTGTGACGTCATACATTGTTATTCTTTAGGACGTCAAGTATGTATTGTAATCAATAATTCGCGGTATGCAGCATGTTTCCTTTTTTATCGATTATTCTTAACGGATGGATATATACATATTAAATTCAAAATTTCCCTCTGGAACCATGGAGAGACTACAAAACGTTTGAAAAGATGACGAATCACATTTTTTTTCGGGGGGGGGGGTGGTTGCGGGGTAGCGCACGTGCACGCGGGGGGGGGGGGGTCTCTCAACTTTTGCAAGTTCCGATGTTCAGCGCGTCTGTCTAATACTAGTTTATTATTACACGTAATTATTTAGAGTATCATTAAAGATGCTATTTAGGGGTTTCATCCTTTTCTAAATTTCTATTTTTCTAGCAATACAGCACAAATTATTCACTTAATTCTGAGACATTGATCTAAGGAAATCAGCTCATGTTTAGGTATTGAATTATTTATTACTTTACAATTTCGAATTATTGGCTGGCAGACAATAATCCTTTTTGCTTGGAAGGCTGGTTCCCGCCCAACGATCAGTATATTGATAATGCGCGGACCGGTGTCCGGGAACCAGTCTACGGTTAAGCGGATATCCGTTTCTGCCCGAAATATTGACCTTTTTATCCCTAGAGGTTTGCAGACGCCCCCCCCCCCCCCACCACTACCCCCAGCTCCTACCTCCTCCCCCCCCCCCCCGAAAAAAGGGGGAGAGGTTGGAATAAAACATAAAACTTGAAACATTATTTAGAGAAAAATAGTTTTTCGAATTTGTTGCAGAGCACCTGGGAAAGAACTTTTTCCAAGTTAAAAATTCAATTGCGTTGTCAAGAATGTTGGATGGAAAGGCAACACAAAACAGTGAGTGGGTTTATAAAATTTAAATGTCTACTAATTCATTCCTGATTTCCCAAAATCTGCATTAACTTTGGGAGAAACGAAAGTAACATTTGGCGGTATACAGGTGCAATATAATAGTTATAAGGTTATTTATTAGGGCTGTGCCGAATATTCGGATATTCGGTTATTCGATCGATAAACGAATATTCGAATATTTATTTTCGAATAAGAATATTCGGTGGTGATGTGCAATGAAATAAAAAGGTGGAAAAAACTTTTTTTTTTAACAATAAAAGTGTATTCTCAAAGTTAAGTTTCAAGTTGCTGCCAAAAAAACCCATAAAAGTAGCTTGTATATATGCCAAGTAATAATGCCATACATATATTACTTCTGCTTTGGGAGTGCTTGCAGTAAAGCCAACCCATTTTTTTAGTGCCGGACTGCAACACCAATCGCTGATGCTTCCGACAAGATAAACAAGACATTTTGTCTTTCATGTCTTCACAAAACACTTCCTGACACCTTTTCATATCAAACTTCTAGCATGAGTAGTAACGTTTCCGTTGTCCGTATTTTTGTTTGTTGTTGTCCTACTTACAATCCCTACTTTCAAAAGAAAACCGCCGCTGTTTTTCCCCGATGTGATCCTGGCAAGTTTCCCCGCGCGTTGGTGTTACATGTACATGTGTGCAGCATAGGAAAATGCAGCGTGGCATTGGAGAGGAGCACGTGTTAATTTGCCCACGTGCGCAGTGGGAGGGGCTTACTGGATCGGCTATTGACATCGCGAAAATGGCATGCCAACATCGATGTAGAAGACCTCTGCAATCTCATGCAAAGAACTTGATTTCTTTTTTCTGTGTGGGCCTTTGTATTTTCCGTTTTCATGTACTTATTTTGAGGACGTACTGCTCGCACAGGGTCGCACAAGAAGCGGTACATTACACTGATACAGCGAAGCCAATTCCCCCAAAGTTTTCCATCGCCTGTTCAATCGTGTCGAATGCACGTGGTTATAGGGAATCGCCTTGCACGCAGTATGCTGCTCACAGCACGTGGCGGTGTTGTAGAAAACTTGTCATGAACCCCAACATTACATTAAAACGTTTTGAAAACCTTGGTTCATTTACGTTACGGACTCTAGGATTTTTCTAAAAGAATTTCTTGTTTAATTTTAGGGGTAAATTTATTATGGCTGTTAGATGTTCGCCTCAATGCCTCCGTAATTATATACATGTACATGTGCAAAATAATCTAGTTCTCTCAACTGATCAGAGCACCCTTTTATCGAACACATTTTCGTTCGCTGTCAGTCAGCTTTGTTCGCTGGGTTAGTCTGCTAATTGCACCCAATATTTGCACAAATAAAACATACATAAACACTTCAAAAACTAGTTCAGCAATTATACTTTCAGTAATAATAGCGGGAACCTCTGGCTTATGTCCTCCAAGTTGAGCAAAACGCAAGAAAAAGTGCAGACAACAGAGAGGATTTCAAACTCAAAAGAGCTCTCATTTATTTCGCCAGACAGACTTTGCGGTCAACTCACCGCACCGTACCCCTGATTCCCAGCATAGAAAACCACAGCTAGACAAAATGTATCAAAATGTTGCAAGTTGGAATATCCAAACCTTTTAGTGGCCTATTTGTTAGAAAGTTATCTCCAGAGCACGCACTTAGCCAGACAAAAGAACCGGGTCAGCGCACCTGTGCCCTAATTAGCCCGCCAACAATGCGCCCGCCGGAGCTCGGCTGGCGATTTTTAATTTTTTTTTGCTGAAATGTCTCCCTTCGTGTTTTGGGTACACAGCTTATAATACATCCCCTGTGGGCAAACAAGGAAATACTGCTTTGCACGTGTCAAGCTGGGGCGTGTGTATGCCGCGCCCACGCCCATTATTTGCATAAACTTAAATATGCATTTACAATTCAAAGACCCATATTTCATTGAATAAAGACATTAAATATCATAGGTTTTTTTCTTTGAGTTTTTGGTTGTTGAGAATAAGTTTATTTAAAATGATATAAAATCATTTCCTCAATTCTTGGTGACAAAAGTGCGAGTTATTATTATAAAAGTGATTTTTTCCCCTCAATACTGTGACTAGGAAGTACACCGTTTTGTAGACTTCAAGAAGCTTCCAGTAATGGATATACTCGGTTCCTGTTTGCGAGTTAAGGGTCGGAGAGTCACAATAGCTGACGCCACCCGCCGTGTTTGGGGTTCACGGCTTAATACGTCCCCCATGCAAACAAGGAATCCTTCACTCTAGCTTCTCTGGTTATTGTTAATCTTTAAATTACTGATGACTGAAGAACAACTGATTGTTGTCAAATACCTGACTTACCTGTGAAGAAATCATGCATGGCATGCTCACGTACGTTGACTACATGTACATGTATGGCATATTTTTGCTTTGGAGGGAATTTGGAATGGCCAAATAACCGAATATTCGAATATTCGATCGATTGGAAGGTCGAATATTCGAATATTCAATTATTCGAATTGACTCAGCCCTATTATTTATTCGGCCAAAACTAAGTACATGTGCAAAATTGTCGGATCTTATTAATAACTATGTGTACCGGTAGTGTTTTTAATTTTGAGTTTACTTATTTTTCTCCCATATCCATAGTCTCCATTATTAGCAATGCAGTTTGCTTTCCATTGAGATTTTGAAACAAATTAGATGATTGAATCCACTATTTCTAACATTAGGTCAACAAAATCCTCCATTGACCAGTCTAATGACCACCCCCTCACTACATCACTAGCCACCCCACCCCGATTGGACATTTCCGCGTGACCATTAATCTTATATTGCGCCCTCATTCGTTCGCCGGTATCATTCATCGTACGGGACGGATACGGTGGATACGGCCACGGTCGATTCCAATCGCAGTCGCGTCGACGTGTCACGATGACTTAAACTCCGAGCCAGATTTTCCACATTTCGTCGTCATTTCGAAGACGGGGAGGGGGCCAAGATGGGGCCAGGGAAAGCCTTACAATGTCAACTCCTATGGATGCTTCCTCTGTTCTCAGATTTTGTCTTCACAGCCGGGAAAACTACCGTCAATAAATCAGCACTCAAGTAAGCCTTGGCCTACCGAACTTCTTATCAATGATCTAATGCAATGTTGTTTTGTATGTACAGTCATTTGACAAAATGACCTTGCTTTGTGGAATTCTATAGGCAGGGTCTCAGTTTTAGTACGTCAAAGGACATCATTTACTGTTGAATTCAAGTGCTTGTTGAAAGGGGCATAACATCCTGACATTATTATTATGTAATTCTGTGGTTGTTTTGACTTATTTGAATGTAAAATCCGATGTTTTTGTTGGCAACCAAATGGTCAGGTTGGATAGTTAATTATTTGAAACGCTAGTAACATCAACTTGTGCTCTACTACTATAAACATGTAGTACTAATTACCATCACCAGACCACACCCCAGTTACTCGGGCCATGTCTTAGGCCTATAATACTACATGTACAAATACGCACAGCAACAATACACGTTATTTCCTGCATGTCTGCAGCATGCGATGTAGGTCTACTGGTGAAATATGTGCGACAAGACAGTGCGACTAGCACCCAAACAGCTCGATTTTTGAGAGTCACAATTTTGACCCCCGAAATCCGCCCTCCCAAGAATGACACAAAACCGGCCAGTTTTGGTCAGTGTTGGTTAAGTGCGAATGTTTATATTGTACAGCCAGGCATGCAACTTTTCCTCGGATCCGCTGATTTCTTCATTTTTTGTTTCTCATGAATGCCATTACAAATTGAAAAATACTGTACAAATAGTCTTGTGTGGTTTAGAGTTTCTTCGATTTTCCTAAATTCCCAGTTGTATTTTTAAATGCTCTTTCCAATCAATATCATTTCACTTAAATTAAAATGCATTTTGTAGCCCAGTTGGGCACTTTCTAGCACGTAGTGTCCCTTTAATCCCTACATGTATAACCATGACATTTATTGATATATGATAATGTGAGGTTTCCTAGTCTTTGCATTGGGCACGGTGGGCATAGCCAGAATTTTGGTGTGAATGTTTTTGGGACTTAAATTTTGTTACCGTGAGGAACCGTTGTCTGGTTCCGTGCTTGCATTGTTATTTTGACTTTTTATTCAGGAAATGGGTATCACTATCAGACTTAGGCCTATTGCAATTTTGGACTTGAGGCTACTTCCCTTAAAAAACAAACCTCAAGAGTTACGAATCAGAATTTCAATACTGAGTACGAGAGTCCCAAAACTTAAGATAGTTAAAACATTCAATACAAGAAAATAGACTGGCACATGAAACAACCAGTCCAACACCCTTTAGTACTGCATTAATCAACTATGACAAAAGAAACATCTGGTACTCAGTCTCTATTTCTACACATTTCCATAGTCTTGCCACCAGACTACTGTCTAGTCTTAGGCTTCAAATAGAAATCGCTTGGCTTCACTCTCAGGTGCAAAATGTTAAAGAAAAGTCGCCTTTAAAATATTGAATTGAGACCTCAAACTGGCGGATAAAATACTGAGGGCCTTGTCTTTGCCTAAAGAATATTTTGGAGAATTTTGTCAGCTAAAGGGTGAGTAAAATTGGCCTGAATTTGTTTTGCATGTGTTTCTGCACTCATGGTCCGAGTCTGGAAGTACAGTACTGATCTGTGTCCATGTTATATCAATGAAAGTATAATGTAAAACTCTTAACTACTTTTTTCACTGGTTTTTTTTTCAGGGAAGAAGTACTTGAGATGTTCAACCATGCATTTAGCTCATACATGGTGAGTGTCATTGAAAAACTACAAAAGAAGAAAGTAGATGTATTTTGAAAAGCATTATATATGAAAGAAAATTGTAATGTTGAAAGAAAACAACAGAAATTAAACAAAATATAGGTATTTTTACACCGGTCCCTTTGAATTCTTACAGACATATGCCTACCCAGCAGATGAGCTGATGCCTTTGAGCTGCAGGGGGAGGGTACGGGGGGTGGAGCCTAGCAGGGGGGATGTTGACGATGCTCTCGGAGGGTAAGTGAAAAGCTTTAAAAAATAAACCTTAACTAGACTTAGAAATGTCTGTCTTACAATGTAGTTGAAGAAATGCTCTCAAAAAAATCCCTTTTCTTAAACAAAACACTGTCTTAGAATTTTAATCTAAGAAGCTTTTGTTCTAAGTTAGGCCAAAAAAAAAATATTCGGTCTCTGGTCAGACCAAAGTTCCGGAATTGACGCGGCCACGCGGCTTTTTTTTTTTTTTTTTTTTTTCTTCAAGCTTGGATTGTACAGACAAGGTGTCCTCCATAATTTGCCTTGGTGCTTTCGATCATTTGCCTTGGTGCAATTTCCCATTCCTTGGTGCTCTTTGGTAAAAAAAATTGAGGAGGTGCGGAAATAGAGGGCGCTGTTGGAGCTACCGCGGAACATTTTGGAGAAAAAAAAAGATCGACACGCATGATTAAAATCAACGCGCGCGCTGACCAGAGACCGACTTATTTTTTTTTTTGGCCTTATCTGAATGATTATTTTATTTACTTATTTATTTATTTGTTAAATTTTATTTCTTTCTTTTTTGGCCAGGTTTTCCCTGACTCTCATCGATGCTTTAGACACCTTGGCTGTCCTGGGTCTGGAGGAGAAATTTGAGGAGGCGGTGGAACTCGTCATCCGCGATGTCTCCTTCGACAACGACGTCGACGTGTCCGTCTTTGAAACCAACATCAGGGTCTTGGGGTAAGTTGCAATGGCAAGAACTTGAGAATAGTGTAACCCTAGCCTTCCCCCATCTTAAAAGGCATTATAAGAACATGATTGTTTTTCTTGGTTTTTCCAGCATCTACGAACCTTCAAACTTCAAACAAGTCAGTGTAACAATATTTGCTATAAAATACTAACCCCCCAAATCCATCCATTACTGAAAATTACAGTAATAGCAATTGTTGTACATTTCCTTCAAATGTCACATATTAGTAAATGTATCACATTCACTTTTCCAACATACGTCCAGTTTATGGAATTGCCCTAAGGTATTTGTATTTTCCTGCAGGGGTTTGCTTGGTGGTCACGTGGTCGCCTCGGACCTACAAGCCAGGGGGAAAGGGATGCAGTGGTACAGGGACGAGCTGTTGGAGATGGCACGAGACATCGGCTACAGATTACTTCCAGCTTTCAATACTTCCACAGGAATGCCTTATCCTAGGGTAAGCGTGTTTCAGAAAGAATTCTTGTTATGTATTGTGAAACGTAGAACGTGAAATGATGGTCGGACGTTGATATTTTCCAACCATTTACCATGTGGGTGGACAGAAGAAATTTTACAGTGTTTTTATCACACTAACATCATAAGAAAATAGTCTGGACTGTGTTTGCACTTCCCTAGGGATCTGTTACACCGTGTCCTCTGGAGACATGCACACAATAGGGAACACAAGATTGTATACGTCTCCACAGGGCAATTTCTGTAGATGAATACGTCTCCACAAGGTTTTCACGAAATATATATGTGGATTTTACTCGAAAACTAGGAATTTCCAAGGTATGTTGATCTGTCGCAAATGGAAGAGTTTTAGAAAAGGGATATTAAGTCCCGAATTTCAGCAAAGGATATTAATTCTGGTAAAAATAAGAGCATTTTGAAACTGTACTTTCACACTCGAAAACTTTAGTACACGAGAACAAAGAAATGTCTCCACAAGGATACAAATTTCAGCATGTGTGTGCGGCAGTGTTTCTCACTCTCGATAAGCCTTGTTTCTTGTGCCCCTCTCCCATCTCTGCTAACATTTTCTTTATTTACTCCACGAACACTGATTAATTTATTTGTTAGGTTTTTAAACTCAGGGAGGAGCTTCTACACGTCAGTTGGTGGTCAGTTGGTCGGTTGGTCGGTCGGTCTGTCCCCGGAAAATGGACCAAAATAGAGCCCCCTAAGTTTCCCATAAAATACAACTACCCATTGACAAAAAAATGACCAAATGCAATGTCGTCGTCAGTAAATGCACTCTTGGCGAAACTTTTGGGAACACGTCAATTTGTCTGGATCGATGCGCATGCGCGTCTATTTTGCGTATGAAGTGAGACATGAACCAGGCCACTGCTTATTGTGCACTCGCACTTTTTGTATTGTACTGAAGTGGATACCTACTGTAATTTTACTTTTTGCCTTGAAATGGAAATAAAGTCAGGTCTGTTATTTTATTCTTGTACGCAAACGGATGTGTCCATTCTCTCATTCAACTTTCAGTTTCTGTTCCTTGATTAAAAAAATCATACTAACTTTTAATTATAGTGTAAGCAAAATGTAGCATTTCGAAACGAAAACTAAATTAAAGTGCTGGCATGCCAGGATGGACAAAGACAATTACTAAATTTGCATGCGGGCAGTGGAAATGCTAATTATAATTACAAAGACTGGACAGACGCTTTTTTAAATGCTTAACTCAAGAATTGTAGAGAACCTGTGTGCTTTTCTCCTGTGTTGGTTGCTTTCATTTATGTGTGCATGTTCAGTTTTGAAACAACAGATTCCATAATGATATATTGTTACCATGGTAATTTAGCGTTGTCTATGAAAAGCTTGAAACAACAAGTTTCTTACAGACTGCACATGTACAATGTACGTGCATAACAATACACATTGTTACTCCAAGTCTTTCTTGAAAACAATCATTATTAAAACTTTGAGCTTGAAAAAAACAAAAATATCTAAAATTTCCCGCTATACCTTAAAGAGATTTCTAGGCTTTTTATTCTCTGATTTGTTTGCTAGCAATAAAACAAGCGTTTGCCTCTTGCTTTATATTAAGACACTTTCCTATTTCAGACCTTTTCTTTCAATTTTCCAAAAAAAAAAAAATTACAGAACATAAACGTAGTGAATATATTTTCAATTACCATAAAAAAAAAATGCTATGCGCATTTTGCCAGACCAATTTTTTTCACAAAAATTCATGTAGGCTTATTGATGGAAGATTTTAACCATTTCTTCCAAATACTCACGACCCTGGCATCTCAATTGTATTGCATTTGGAAAATTATTTTATTGGCACTTACATTTTACGATGCTTTTTATAAAAAAACAAACCACAACTTGTGGTAGTGGCAATATTAACCTTGCAAATACAGTACATGTACATGTGCATGAACAAACTACATGTAATATAATATAGTATGCATTTGGTGTTTTACGCAATATTTCTTTCACTTGTATAATCAACAGGGCTTTTGTCTGCTCTTAATGGGAATTTTACCGCAATCTCGTTTCGGGGGGAGGGGGAGGGGAGGGGGGATATACAACCTGGCAAGAGTACATGTATTTGTCATTTTGTACAAATTTTGTACTTGTGCAATTTTTGTACTTGTAAAGTCACAAGAGAAAAAATATTAGTCATGCATGTCATTGTTGTTAAAATTAATGGTTTGGCAAGAATGTAAAATTTGTCATTTTGTACAATTTTTGTACTTGTGCAATTTTTGTACCTGTAAAATTACAAAAAGAAAAACTATTAGTCATGCATGTCATTGTTGTTAAAATTAATGCTTTGGCAAGAATACATGTATTTGCCATTCTGTACAATTTTTGTACTCGTGCAATTTTTGCAATATTAGTCATGCATGTCGGTGTTGTTAAACTTAATGGTTTGTAAACTTCATATTCTTGAACATGTGATGTACTGCCATTCATATGAATATTAATTCTAGAATATTAATATATATAGAATATTAATATAATTAGAATATCAATTCTTGAACATGTGATGATTTAAATTATCGACAGATGTATTCAATCAGCAACGCATGTACAAAATCTACAGCCATTCACATTTTCAACATATACACCAGAATTGTAAATTACATATATCTAAATGGTAACAATGGTAATAAATTTTTATTACAACAGTTTTTTTATGACTAGACATATGGATTTATTCAAATTAAACACTATTAGTCTGTTGTCTGCCCTACATGCAAATGTCTGAAAACATATTAAGTTATGTCTTTCTGGCTTGGTGTCCTTGGGCAAGCCACTTTATCCCAATTTTCCCTCTCAACCAAGCTGTAGACATGGGTACCAGCATTAGTGGTAGATTATTCCAAGGGCAAAATTTGTGAGGCTGCTAACACGGTCAGCTGACTTTTCCATGGTACATAAAAAAAATACTAAGCAGCTTTTGCTTGCTGAGCAGCTCCAAGAAATTAGACACTGCAGTGGACATAACAGAGTGACATTTGGTCCAGGGCTGTGTTTTTACCGATGAGCCGTGCAACCGTGATTTACACGGCAAGATTTTTAAAAACTCGGCCAATTTTTTTGTCGAGCATCCAAGGCGTGTGCAAGTTCGTTTTTTACAAAGTGAGAATCTTTTTATAATGTAAATAGGCTTAAGTTAAAATTATCGTCAAAGTATCATGATAACGCCACTCTGTTCGCAACCGTGTTTTCAATGTACATGTACACACATGTTTACATTACAAACCTAGTGTGGACATTCTTTGTTTTGTGTAGTTAAGAAAAACCTGTTAAAAAAACTCATTTTACTCAAACTGTGAAAACTCTTTCAACCCAATTTTTTTTCTATGATTCCCTTGAATGTTTCTCTTCATTTTGCAATGGATAAACCTAACCCAAAAATGCCACTAACCCTGTTTGTTAGAGAGGAGAAAACCTTGTGTGGATGTGTGCAGGTCCACACAACGTATCTGAAAACTGGCTTTTGTAGACATTTTTTGTTTAGAAGTCCACACAGTTAATGTAATGCTTGTCCATGTATACCATAATGTGTTTTTATTCAGAAACACCGTCCTGCACTTTTGTTTGCATTGTGTGAGGCCATGGAAAGTTGCACTCACATATTTTTGATTTGCACTCCTAGTTTCCTAAATCCTGGCTAAAACACTGGACTCCACGTGGAATAGAAATATTGTCAGTGGCTTCATGCCTGTCACATTTCAAGTGTTGTCACATGAGGGCGCTGTGACATTGTCTGCACCTGTTGTTATTTGCAGGTCAATTTGAAGTACGGTCTAGGGAAAGGTCGTAAAGAGAAAGACACGTGCACGGCTTGCGCCGGCACCATGATACTGGAGTTTGCTGCCCTCAGTAGGCTGACTGGTGATTCTATCTTTGAGGTAAGACCGACCACAAGAGATAGAATATTCACTCTAAACTTGGATTTAATCTTGGCATTTGGATATGTATTTATTCCCCGATGTTACAGCGTTTGAGATTAGGGTTTTGGAATGGTTACCATCTGTGAAAAGTCTGGCTCTTATAGGAAGCACATTTAAAGATGATCTGACAAAATTCCCAAGTCTACATTGTGACTTTGAGAGTGATCCTGGCATATACTGGCTTATGGCTTCTGACTTGCGTCCCTTGAACAAAGACATTGACGAATTGGGGAACCACTGACATGGGGATGGATAGCTCAGTTGGTAGAGCACCGGAACGGTTATCCGGAGGTCGCAGGTTCAAATCCCGCTCCAGTCAATTTCTTTGTTCAACTTTTCAAAACTTTAAGAGACTTAAAAAAACAGAAACATCTTCAGCAGTGCACTAAGTTGTTGGAAGTTTTGTTAGAATATATTTATTAAACCAACCACATTTCTAGAATGACTTCACTGTATCAATAGAAAGAATCCCTTTATTTCTAGTTGAAAACACTATCTGAAAAGTATGGCAAAACCTCTGAACTTTCTGGTGAATTTCTCCACAGGAAAAGGCCCAGCACGTGATGAGAACTCTATGGTCCAAGCGTCAGCGCCATAGCAACCTAGTGGGCACGGTCATCAATATTCATAACGGTGACTGGGTCAGAAGAGGTCAGTTGTCTCTTGTGTCTTTCTTCACCAATGTTAATTTCAGTAACATTACCGATAGAGGGCGCTGTTCAGTAGCCATTTTAAGTTTCAAAGTGAACTTTCTTTATTAAATTAAAATCCAGTGGAAACTTTTGAGCTGCTCAAATATTTGAAGATAATTTTGCTGTAATTAGAACTTAAGAAGTTACAGAACTGAAAATTGTGTAACGTCATCGTAAGTGTCGTTTTTGTAAAATTCTGTTCGCAGATAGTGGAGTCGGTGCAGGCATCGATTCCTACTATGAATATCTCTTGAAGGGCTACATCCTGCTTGGCGATGATAGTTACTTGAACAAGTTCTCAGCAGTAAGTGGGCCTTATAGGTGGCCTCCGGTCGACCTGCGTTTTGGTTGCGCCGTGCCAGAACTAGATTTGGCCAAGGCGCTTGTCGATCATCCGTGACGGTATATGGCTGCAAAATCCATAAACACTAGCAGCGGTGCAAGCAAATCTCAGGTCGACCAGAGGCAGGCTCTAGATTTTTGCTTTCTTTTAAAGTTTTTATCTTCACTGTTATTCGTAAGAAGGAACAGTATAATTTGTTCATAAGAAAACAAACCGGACTTTCTCCGCTGCAGATTTGTTTTGTTATGCATGTACATGTTTTTATGTGGCACAGTTCTACAGCATTCTTGAGATTTTACTTTTAGGACCCTTAGCCCGATATAGTGCCCAATTTTTTGTGAAGATGTGAACATTCGTGATTATATTCAAGAACCTAAAATTGTTCAGATGATTTTCATAGTAAATGGTACCAGTATTTACCTTGATGATGTTGGAGGCCATCAAAACATGATGAAAGAATTAAGGCAACACTCCTACAAGAAATTGGGAGAAAAGTTGAAGTGTGCCATGTTATTTTGTGACTCCTCTGTTTGTAATACTTTGCAGCACTACGATGCCGTAATGCAGTACATCAGCGATGGCCCCATGCTACTTGACGTCCACATGCACAAACCTAACACAAGGACCAAGGCATTCATGGATTCTCTGCTGGCATTCTGGCCTGGACTACAGGTATGTACTCCGTTCACCTCAGTGCTCAAAATGTCAGACTTTGCCGTCACTGTAAGACATTTTCCTTGTGTCATTTTGATTTCTAGAATGTAATGAAGGGACCAGTAAACCAGCCTATCTCACTTTGCATTTCGTTGTTAAATAAATTGACAACATGCATGAAATTCAAGAGCACTTCACTGGTCTTCATTTTTAACAGGGATGAAACTTTTCTGATTTTAATTGAAAATCCAACTGTTTCAAATTTATTTCCAAAATTCTGATTTTTCTAACAATCTTTAAGTGATTAGTGATGCATTTTACTGGTAGTGTTGGAAGTAAAATACGATAATGCTTGATTTTTTTTCCGCGTACATGTACAGTGCCATGAAAGGTGTCTTTCAGGATTGTCTTTCAGAGTTTTTCCTTGACTTTCTCAAGTATGAAGTGAACTTCTTTGTTGATGAGTCTGTTGCTCTAGCCGGAATTCAGGCTTTATAATTTTATTGAAACACTGAACATTTTTCTCATTGTGAAAATTTTGTTTGGGTCTAAAATAAAACAGAAGGCGGCGTCCGGAAATTGGGCATGAAGTGTATTGTACATACGTATGTGTATGCTGCGCAGCCCAGATTTCGGACCCAGATTTTTGTTCGGCCTATTTTCCGATTTTTTTCCCCCCAAAGGCCAGTTTTATCTCTGTTTTAAGGCTCAAAAGCATCCACTTTAATAGTGAGCACTGGGTCTGTAGCAAAGATTCCATGTAAAAGTCTACGACAGTTTGTTTAATCTATGCTCTTTACTGTAAAATACAAGTACGTTGTAATGTGCCATCAGTTTCATACTTGGTGATGAGTAAAATGACACACGTTAACACCGATTGGATTAAATGTCATACTTCTGTGTATGTTTGTGGTTATCATAATAGTAATTTTTTTATCATATAGGTATTATTTGGGGACATCAAGCCCGCCATTGAGACTCACGAGATGCTGTACCAGGTCACGCAGAGACACAACTTTCTTCCAGAGGTATGAGACACTTTAACAAGAAAATTCTGATTTAGGGTTTCAAATTGTACTTTCTCAACTTTGACTCATATCATATAAACATAAATAATTCAAATAAGTGTATGCTGACTGCTTCATTTTCCAAAATTTAACTCCCTATCTCATAAAATCTTTCGAGTACTGGACCATTTGCTTTCATTACTTTCCCCACTCGATTGCAAATCTTTAGACGTTTTCTTGGTTTATCTCGTTCTTTTTGCAGGCTTTCACCACCGATTTTGATGTCTACTGGGGCCAACACCCTCTCCGTCCTGAGTTTGCCGAAAGTAACTACTTTCTGTACAAAGTAAGAGTAGTCATCTTTCTCATGAGATAATGGATAATTATGTCGTTTTCAAGAAAAGTGGAATTTTTCTATCAATTTCCAACGATGGTGGGCCGACCATCGTTGGAAATTGATACAAAAAAAAGACTGACTTTTTTCAAATTCTGCCCCTAATTCACCAAATTTAGTTTGTCCCCATTTTGTTTGCAATCAGTTACACATCCGTGAACAGTTGCAAGCCAGCTAGTCTGGTCCCAGACCTGACAATTCCCTGACGTCTATAAGTTGTTTTGTTTCGTCTGAAGTAGGATCAGGGAACCAGACTACCAAAACAGCATTTTTCCAGCATCCAAGAACACTTTAAATAGGTCACTGTAACAATATTTACTATTAAATACCAACCCCCAAATCCACCCATTTCTGAAAATTACAGCAGAAGCAAATGTTGTATATTCCTTTTAAGCTAATGAATTGTCATCTGTCTGTATGTTTCAGGCCACCGGTGACCCTTACTACCTGGAAGTAGGCAAGGAGATAGTGGAAAGTCTTCAGCTACATGCCAGGGTGGGCTGTGGCTTTGCTGGTATCAAAGACGTCCGCACTGGAACTCATGAAGACAGGTAGGATGCCAGCACCCTGAACATTAGGCCAATTTCCTGGGGCTCCTAAGCTGAAAACATAATGTGCTAAGCGTTGAATGCAAAGAATGAAATGAATTTTTCTTAGGAGATTTGTGCAACTTTCTACTCTTCTTAAAATGTATGAAAACTATTTGACATCCCTTTTTGGTTAATTTGAGTGATAAGTGCTTTTAATTTAAACTTTTAAAAATTGTCCATGCTTTTTCCATACAACTGAGCGCATTGTTGCTATAAAGATGTCATTACAGGAAGACACTGTTCAGTTAAGGGGTTTTCTGGTCAAACTGTGAACCCAAAATGTGCTCGTTGAAAAATATTTGTGAGAAAAGTTTGCTCACTGGCTTACTGTCATGTACTGACACAACGAATCACCAAAATTCATGCAACTTTTTGTGCTGAAACCGCTGTAACATTGAGGTTTCTGCCCGGAATGACGTCACAGTTTTACTCATGAATATGGAAATTCTCATTAGCATAAAAAACAAAAAGGCACCAAAATATCCTAAAATTAACTAAAAATTAACCAAAAAGGGACGTCAAATAGTTTTCATACATTTTAAGAAGAGTAGAAAATTGCAAAACGAAATTTGAAAATAAGGTTAAATAAGATTGAATGTCAACACACTGACTTGTTTTTCTTCTTAATTTGTGACTCAGTGTTCTTCCTTTATTGCTTTTTGTTCACAGGATGGACTCATTCTTCCTTGCCGAGACTTTCAAGTACCTCTACCTCCTCTTCGCCGAACCTGAGGACCTTCTGATACCCATCGACGATTACGTCTTCACCACGGAGGCCCATCTGCTTCCCCTGACCCTATCCAGGGTCAAGAACCTCGCTAACGATTCCTCCGTTAACAGCACGGACCACGAGGTAAGGGCTCAGAACATTAAGCATGACTTATTTTGAATGATAGGGTGTGCATAATTCAATTACTGGATAAAAAGTAAACGACACTAATAACTGTGGCACAAATGTGAGGCGTTTTTGCAAAATGAAACAGAACTGGGCAGAGATCAAAATTGGGGTTTGCAGGTATTAGGAAAGAGAATAAAATGCTGTTCGTTGCACTTCATTCAGACATTCCGTTGACAAGGTATGGCTGTTTTAAAGTTCACATTTATTGACATGTCAACAAAGTAAAATGCTGAGATAAAGGCCTTAAAGTTCGTGTTTTGTATTCGTGAAAATGAAAGATGCCAATTGTTTGTCCTTTAAAAAAAAAAAGGTTTTTTATTCCACAATCGTCACACTATGTCTTCAAAATATGTGTAGTAGGCATATAAATGGTTACAAATATCAATGAATGTGAAAATCGAAAAAAATCCCCCCATTCAGTTTGCATTTCTCTCCACTACGGCCTGTGGCCCAGTTCTGTCTCATTTTACCAGAACGCCTCACAAATGTTCAAATCTGCAACCTGGTAGTTGACTTTGAGCCCTGTAACACCTTGTATTTTGTCTTCATGCCTCCAGGAGGAGCACGATTCTCCCCTAGTGGCTACCGTTGAGATGCAAGCTTGCCCCAACCACAACTACATGATGAGTGACGGGCAGGGTTTTGCGGAGTCCGTCCGAGCTGCCTTGCAGCTGAAAACCAGAGAGGACAAATGCCCGACAACCATCGGCAGAGGAAGGTACTGTCATTAACATTGGCTTAAAGATATAGTCCATCATTTGTAATTTGTGCATTTTGTTCGTTTGAAGCAACAAAAGTGTTCAAAATCTAATGAAGGATACTGAACAACTAACCTGATGAAGTTTCAGCTCAGCTTCAGCTGTATATTCCTACGGTGCTTTTTAAGAAGCACCGTTGGAAATGCCTTCTTTCGTTGATTTCTTCAAAATGAGAGCTTGCCAGAAAGGATAATTTCACAGGGAGTTTAGTCCCCTTACTATCTTTCAACCAGTATGTTTTTCAACAATAATTACGCCAGTTACTTTTTTGGATAGCTGCAAATGATGGACTCGGGCTTTAACTCTCTTTGTCTTCTGTTCTCCACCATCCTTCAAGTTTTGCAAAACCACTTTTGCCCGTAGAGTTGGCACCCACACTTCAAATTCCTTTGAGGTAATCTTCTGTAGAGTACAGAATACTTCAAATCCCTGCACACCAGGAAAGCAGGCAGATTCAGTCACACTTCACTGCTCTCCACAGTGCTGTTGTTTTTTGTGTGCAGTGACTCTCTCTGTGACACAGTTACTTTAACAGTTCATATCCCTTCACCTGAAACTGACCTGCAGGGTTTTGAAAGGGTTTTACATATTACTCTGAATATTGACTTCCCACTAAGAAGTCGTTGTTACTTTGTTATTTCAAGCTGGTGTAAACACAAAAAGAGACTTTCGTTTGAGTGACAGGCAGAAATTTCCTTAACCCTAACTCCCTAGCGTCCTTTGTTAGGAACTGGACCAAGTCCATCACAATCCATCAATCACTGTGCTTCCAATACAAATCTGTACTTGAGAGAATGAAATCCACCACTGACGCACTGGTTGTCATTCATGGACTTGCTACACATGGCTTTTATTACAATAGCAGTACAGGAAGCTAGGCAAAATCAATCAGATAACCCCTAGCACTGCTTCAGGCCATTAGGCCCAAGTCCATCATACTCCATCAATATTTAGTCACGCCAGGCCTCCTGGACCAAGTCCCCCAAAATCCAGCAAAATGGGGGATGAATTTTGATGGAGTTGGGGCGTTTAGGGTTAACAGTGGCAAATTCCGGATGTGATGCTAAAGTTTGGGAAACTTTCAGCTCGGGAAACTTTCAGCTCGAGAAAGTTTTCAAATTTGTTTGTTTTTGTTTGTTTTTGTCTCAGATCTCGACTGCGAGCAACGCACTTTGTCCCCGGCAATGAGATGCACATGAAGCTACTGAAACGGATGGGAATCAGCCTGATGACCATGAAAGACGGCCGCGTCCAACTCATGCACTCAGCTGCCCAGGTCAGAACTGGGACCATATCCCAAACGTGTCTGTGGCTACGACTATGCACTGTATCACGCCAATGGGAAGACCTGAAGCCATAGTCGCAAAATACCGGATTCAGATTGGGCCCCACTCACACCCTCAGCTCTTTTCACTCAGAATGTTTGATTTTGGGTCCTCGATTCAGGGCCCGATTCAGGGCCGGATTCAGTTTGGGATGCTGCAGTAAATTCCCATCACATGAGGCTGGATGTGGTCCCTCATTGACAGACATGATTCTTGGGCCAAATTTAGTGTAAGGATCAGCTTAGAAAGTTATCGTCAAAAATGTGTGTAGACATCCTTCAAAGAAATTTTGCATTGGTTTTACAAAGAAATTTTGCATTGGTTTTTACGGTTTTCTAAAAACATTGCACCCACTGAGCTGACTTTGAGTGCTGCTGTTCCTAAAAGTGTTAAAATGTGTAATTTTTTAAAATGTACTACTAAGTCAATTGGTTCAGCTTGTTTCTCTTGCATGTCCTCGAATGTCTGAATCTGTTCTTATCCATTTTGACCTTTTGCTTTGTTGAGTAGGCAGCTACCACGGAGGATGCTGAGGATGGCATGCTGTTCATGCAAGAGATGATCGAGTTGTCCAAGACGCAACAGGCCGAAGGTCAGTCCCTTATAAACTTATTTTAAGAACACACGTAGCCCCCATCTACAAGTCATACACGTAGAAGATCATGTCTCTAACTTCATGCTTATTTTGCAAACAGACTTGAGTTTTAGTTCTAATCATCGTCATCTTTGTCAAGTTCGGAGTCTGTGTTGTCGACCAATTTCCACAATGCACTGGGAAAAATGAACTCTCCATGGTAAACTCTTGGTGGTGCACTGCATTGTGAATCGCCTCAATTTACCTGACAAATTTACCTGTAAAACTCGTGAGTAGGCCACACAGTTTCTTCATCTACTGAACATCTACAAAGTCCATACGTGATTTGATTTTTACCCTTCATTTTCGTCCATTCCTCAGTGGAGTACCAGCCCAGGGTTGTCCAGATTCTCTCCCCAACGTTCCTGAGTGGCGTGACAGCCACAGCCGGCCCTGCCCAGTTTGGTCTGGATCTGACCGGTCACGAGGGGGTAAGTTGGGCCAAGGCTGGCGTTAAGGTTGCCTTCATCCAGTGTTGTAGTTGATTCCATTACAAGTCTATTCACAAGTAACAGGGGATAAATAATAACAACTGTATCCTGCACTTCTGGGATGTATTCAAGTCCATCACAAGTCCTCAAGTCCAAATTCAACTCGCAAGCTATTAAAATGAGCTTTGATAAAGGCATTCCTTTCTTACTGTTGATCCACCTTTACTTGTGACTGGACTTGTGACTGGACTTGTGACCTGACTTGTGATGGACCTGTGACTGGACTTGTGATGGACTTGTGACTGGACTTGTGACTGGACTTGTGATGGACCTGTGACTGGACTTGTGATGGACTTGTGACTGGACTTGTGACTGGACTTGTGATGGACCTGTGACTGGACTTGTGATGGACTTGTGACGGACTTGTGACTGGTCTTGTGACTGGACTTGTGATGGACCTGTGACTGGACTTGTGATGGGCTTGTGACTGGACTTGTGATGGACTTGTGATGGACCTGTGACTGGACTTGTGATGGACTTGTGACTGGACTTGTGACTGGACTTGTGATGGACCTGTGACTGGACTTGTGATGGACTTGTGACTGGACTTGTGACTGGACTTGTGATGGACCTGTGACTGGACTTGTGATGGGCTTGTGACTGGACTTGTGACTGGACTTGTGATGGACCTGTGACTGGACTTGTGACTGGATTTGTGACTGGACTTGTGACTGGACTTGTGATGGACCTGTGACTGGACTTGTGATGGACTTGTGATGGACTTGTGACTGGTCTTGTGACTGGACTTGTGACTGGACTTGTGACTGGATTTGTGACTGGATTTGTGACTGGACTTGTGAATGGACTTGTGATGGACTCGGCTACATCCCTGGAAGACTTGTGATTGACATGTGAGGAACTCGTGAGGACTTGTGATGAATTGCAGAGCAATGTAAGCAGTAAACATTGGGAGAACCTTTTTCACCATTTTTTCCCCCGATTTGTACTGCATGTTCATTTTTTGGTCTCCTTTTTGACAGGTGCCAGGGGCTGTGGTGATGGTGGATCCCCTCACTGCTTGCGTTGAGCCCAAGAACAAGGAGGAACTACGGGGAAAGATTGCCCTCCTACAGCGAGGAGACTGCATGTTTATCGATAAGGTTAGCTCCGAAAATAAAAAAACATCCCCGATTAATTTTTGAGGAAAACAAATGACAGCAATAGGATGTCGGCCACAAATAGGCAGGTGGCCACAATAGAAGGGTGGCCACAGTAGACATGCAACCACAATAGGTGGCCAAAATGGACAGGGTGGCCTCAATAAAAGGAAGACCCCAATGGACAGGTTGCCTCAATAGACAGATGGTTACAGTAGCAATTGGCCAAAATAGACAGGTGTTCAAAACAGACTGGTGGGCACAAACGACAGGTGATCACAGTAGACCGGTGTTCCTGAGTAGATTGGTAGCCAAGATGAACAGGTGGCCACAGCTCACAGGTGGCCATTATAGACAGGTTGTCACAGTAGACGGGATCCGCAGTAGACAGATTGTTACAGTAGCAATTGGCTGCAGTAGACAGGTGTTCAAAACAGACTGGTGGTCACAATCGACAGGTGATCATTGTAGACAGGTATTCCTTAGTAGATTGGTGGCCACGATAGACAGGTGGCCAAGATGGACAGGTGGCCAAGATGGACAGGTGACCACAACAGGTTGTGATAGTAGACAGGGTCCACAACAGACAGATGATTACAGTAGCAATTGGCCGCAGAAGACAGGTGTTAAAAACAGACCGGTGGTCCCAATAGACAGGTGGCCACAAAGGATAGTCACAAGTGACAGATGGCTACAACAGATGCATAACCAGAATAGATGAGGAGCCATAATGGACAAGTGACCACATCATCTGGTACACATAGCACTTTCCGACAATCACAAGACTGGCCACAGTAAGCAAGTGCGTACATCCTTACATCCACGCAACCTTTAAAAGTCCAGATTTGACTTCACTCTCAATTCCCATCCCACAATTCCTTTGCAGGGAAAGGTCATCGAGAAAGCCGGGGCTATTGGCGGCATTGTCATGGACAATGTGGGCGATTCCAGCAGCGAGAAGTCCGCCATGTTCTCCATGTCCGGTGACGGCAGCACCGACGTAACCATCCCCATGGTGTTCCTGTTCTCCAAGGAGGGGGCCTTCATCAAGGACATGGTGGAGGGCAACGAGGGGGAGGTCCAAGTTATGCTCCTGGACAAGGCTAAAACTGCAGGTTCGTTGAAAATGGATTTCGGGGAAACTCTTGAAAGTTGACATATGTGAGGAAATGGGCACAGGCTGTACTGGAGAAAAATGAAAAAAAAAGTGAATGGGGTTGATCTATATTTTTGATTTTCAGATTTATTCATATTTGTAATCTTTGATATGTCTACTACACATTATATTAAAAATATACTATAAAATATCTGGAATATAAATGTTTTTAACAAAAAACAATTGGCATCTTTCATTTTCACGAATACAAAACTCGAAACCTTAAAGCCCTTTTTCTCAGTATTTTACTTTTTTTGACACGGCAATAAATGCAAAATTGAAACCGCCATAAGTTGTCAACAGAATGTCCAATTGAAGTGCAACAAACAGTACTGCAAGGAGAATTATATTCTTTTGCCTAATACCCGCAAACCCTCCATTCAACCTCTGCCCAGTTCTGTCTCATTTTTGCCAGAACGCCTCATATATAAACGTCAGAGTTGTAATATAATGGGGATACCAACTGTTACTAAATTGCAGACAGGTCATTGGCGCCATATCCTTTTCTTGTGTAGCTCAAATTTCTCTGCATAAAGGTCAGAGCCCTTTTGGCATCCCTGCAGACTCTTACACCTGCAGATGAACTCTGGGAATATTTAGAGGGCATGTCTCAACCTCCTACGAGCATTTTCAAGAAAGGGGAGATTTGATTTGTATTCCTTGACATAAGTACAATCCCTTCATCACAAGTCAATCGCAAGTCACATCGCTAATCCATTCTCAAGTCAGTGGCAAGCTACACAAATGAACTGTGGCAAATGTATTCCTCTGTCATTGTCATTGTCATCTTCTACTCACAGTATTTTTAAAATCAAAACATGATTACCATGACAACTCTGCTGACCTCTGTGCAACCAAACGCCGTACAAATAGACAAAGTGTTTATACAATGTACATTGTTTTGTTTTACTACGCAATGAAAGGTTCATTTATGCTTAACCTTTTATTTTTACCAAACAGAGGACATAAAGAAGTACATGGAGAACCTTGCAGCATCTGGCATCAATCTGTCCACTCCACCACCCAAAGCAGACACCAAAGAGACTGGGTTGCCCACGGCCTCGGCCCAGGGAAAACCCTCGGTGAATGTCCACGTTGAAGTCCTGGTGGACGATCAGATTGTAGAGATCAACAAGGCCATGTATAGCAAGGATTGGAAGAGTGAGTTGGGAGAGGAGATCGGGCAGGAGAGCTGTGTAGCAAAGAGTAAGGAAGAGCAGCTGCAACAGCAGCAGGATCAAGAGTGTCTGCAACAGCAGCAGCAGCAGGAACAGCAGCGGCAGCAGCAGCAGCAAGGTCAGCAGCAGTGTCAGGATCAGTCACACGAGCGGTCAGTTCAACAACAGCAGGAACAGCAACAGCAGCAACAGCAACGGCAGCAACAGCAGAGCGGTACCTTAAAGATGCAGGCAACCATCCACTACCCTCAGGTTGTCACGCACACACAGCAGGAATTGGACCAAGAGGCAACCAAGTCCGCAGCTGACAATATTCTTGAACCTCAGCAGCAGCAGCAGCATGAACAACCACCTAAACTCTTCGTTGAAGGTGCCGAGGCTGAGACTCTGATCCGCACCTTGATCAAAGAAGGCAAGATTTCTCTTAACGGTGCTGGCGACTCCAAAGTGTCCGAGGAAGAGAGTCAACAGATCCGCACCACTCTCGGGATAGAGGAGCTCCAAAATCATTTTGACGGCCTGATGCGGGACTACCTGAGGACTGAAAACGGGCAGCTGTACCAACAGCGGCGAGCCGAAGCCGCCCTGAAGCACAGCATGGACGCCTACACAGGTCCAGCAACTGGAGAACAAGAAGCCCAAGTACCGAGCAAAGACTTGCAGGACCAGCTTAAGCAGATCCAAGAAGAGTTCATGAAATTCGAGAGCATACGGCTGGGTCTGGACAAACTAAACCCCCTTCATGCTGACAATGAAGGGATTGATGGAGATAATCCGCTAAGTCTAGATCAGCTTCCAGAGGAGCTACAATCTCTATTAAATAGTATCGAGCCACTAGTAGGAGCCACTCAACAACAAGAACTGAACACAAACCAAAACAAAGAAACCGGAAGAACTAGTAGCACATTCCAAGAAGCTGATCAGCATATACGAGTGCTGCAGCCGACTCCAATCCCATCTCAGGAAAAATCAGGGCAACAAAGTATTGAGCAAACCAGTGCTAGTGATATGCCAAAGTACCAGCAGAGGAATATTCAGCCAGGAGCACCTGTGCAAAGGAATGCAGTGGCAGGTGTCCAGGAAGCTACAGGTGTTTCTCAGGAGAGTAGTATACCAAGGACTGCACCTGCAGGTGCACAGGGGCAGACTGCACCTGCAGGTGCACATATGCAGGCTGGTGAGCAGGTGCAAGTACAGAGACAAGGGCCAGGTGGCCAGCCTGATGCACGCCAGCTGGAGGTGCAGAGGCAACTGCAGGAGGCGCGGGAGCGCCAACAACGGCAGCGTGACATGCTGCAGCAGCAGGCTGCACAGAACCAGGCGCTGCAGGACCAGGCGCGACACCTGCATGATGCGCAGATGCAACGTGCTCATCAGCAAACAGCCAGCTCTCAGTCGTCCCCTGATGGTTCCACCCAGACAAAAACAGTGCCAGACACCCGGACAAACCCCTCACCAGACACCCAGACGGACGACTCCAAACAGAACAAAATATGAAGCCTTAAAAAAAAATCAAGTATGTCTTCGTTTTAGGTCTTTGCCTTGAAAAAGTGTGGTGATCCAAAAAAAAATTTCACACAAGTGTAAAAGAATGTAGATTATCTTCATTTAGCGAATGAGCATAAATGTATCGTGAAATTTATGAGAAAAAAAGTGCCCTTCCAACTCGGTATCCAAAATTTACTTGGATTTATAATCAATTATCATCGGACAGTGATACTGAAGTTAAATCAGAATTTGACTGAAGTCTCCATCCAATTAAAAGTGCATTTTAAGCTTTCGCTTTTCACCCTAACTGTAACACCACCTCCTAAAAATAAATTGTCTTCCTTTGAACTGAAAGAAAAAAGTAAGTGCCAAAGTTTTGAGACCTTTGCCACTTTGGTACAAAAGTGTGCAAGATCAAGTGAATGGGCGTTTAGTGATCAAAGTTTCATGTATGCATGAACCCTAACAATCCCCATCCAGTCAAACTCCAACACCAGGGTTTGTTGGAATCTGTTGGAATCTGTTGGAATCTGTTGGAATCTGTTGGAATCTGTTGGAGTGAGGACTGCACTAGTAAACTTATTATGCTTTACATGGGGTCAGGCATACCACCATAATCAGAGTCCAACAGTTTGGGTGTAGAGTTTACCATATGGTGTTTGATTTTGCAAGAGTGAGGAAGGTTCCTAGTAAATCACTCAAGGGGGTTAAGGGTTAAAGATGTTTACCAAACTTACACTTGGAAATCTATTAGAAAAATTGGTGGTTGGGTACCCACAGGGCAGATGCCCCCCTTAGTCCGAAAATCTGGGGTCTTTTTTTTTAATCAATCACTTTTAATATGCGATCCGCATATTAAAAGTGATTGATTAAAAAAAAAGACCCCAGATCTTCCATTACTAGGAAGATGGTTTGCTGAACGGATGGTTGTATGGGCTTTCCTCAAGCAGTCCAGAATTGTGCCTGGACACTCAACCAGTATTTTAAACAACTTTGAGCTTTTAATCATATTTGAAATGTAACTTTAATCTTTGGGTATTTTCAGAATTTGCCGACTGTGTCGGCAGTTTTGTGGAATGAAGTCTTATCCATGTTTAATGTAGCCAGATGGAAATTTAATTTATTGCATTTTTTTGGTAATAATAATGACATCATTTCAGTGCAATGATTAAGGGTAATGTGTACAATACAACAAAGAGTATTCTTTTCTTTTTGGGGTACATTTTTAAATTTAAGTCGAAATGTTGCGTGATTGTTTTTGTTTTATTTTAAACTTTTTGCTAGCTGTTGAGTACATTTTAGAACAAATTGGTTCATGTGACATACCAAGACCTGTACAGATTTTTTTTTTTTGGGGGGGGGGTGTGGTGGTGGGAGTGGGGATTGGAATAAAATGTTTGGACCAAGTTTAAAAAACAAATGTGACATATATCCTTGTTTTTTTAAGCATGATAAGAAAATGAGAATATTCCTCAGTTTATGTTCGAACAGATCAATTAATAAAATAGCAAAACATTATTTTTTTTTGGGGGGGGGAGGTAGGGTAGGGTTTGTGTTAGGGTTAAATCAGGAGTGCAAAGCTACTTTGTTGGGTTTTTGTCATTTAAAAAAATATCATGCATAGTACTGATGTTCTCTAGCTGGTATATGTGACACAACTTCATTTGCCTGTCTTTAAAAATAGACAATAATCTCCAGCGCCTTGAGTACCTAATTGTTGGTAGATATGTGCGCTATATAAGACTCCGGTATTATTGTAATTGCCATATACGTCAAGATGTAATGTTTTTCAAGTTGCCTTTCTGGGGAGGGGGTTGCTTTTTGTGGGGGAGGTGAAGCAGGAATTCGCAGGTGTGTTGAAGTAAACTGCATGTCACATGAAATGTCAAAAGTATGAATAATTTATTTACATTCACACGTTTACTCCATGTATTATTCTTACAGTGAAGGGAAATTATGTTTTGTTGAAATGCTGTAATTGCACATATCACACTGTAATATATTGTGTAAAAAATTGACTGAAAGCAGAGTTGTGGTCTAGTTTCAGATACGTCACAAGTCGAGTCACAAGAACCAGTGGATGAACAGTAACTATGGAATGCCTTTCTCTAAGTTCATTTGAATAGCTTGTGACTTGACTTGGGACTGGAGGATGAATTGTGACAGACTTCCCTACTCGACTACTGTAAGGGTCTTATCGGATGACCTGCAGAATTTTTACGGTATTCAGAATGGGTGACGGATAAACGGGGACGTCTCTATAGTCCGAAGTCCCATTGGTCTGAAGTCTCATTGGTCCGAAGTCCCATTGGTCCGACGCCTCATAGGATTAGGGTTAGGCTAAGGGTTAGGGTTAGGGTTAGTCAACCTGAACAAGTGAAACTACACAGTATTATGTTTCATCGGACCAATGGGACTTCGGACCAATGGGACTTTTGACCAATGAGACTTCGGACTATCGAGACTCAACTGGATAAACATGCAATGAGCGAGGCTGGAAATATCTGCCTGATCCGCTCGCAGCGAGCCAGGCCGGAAATGGCGGGAATGCTATCCTTAGATGACAGCCTGAACCCGTCTTGCATCGAGGTTCATCAAAAACAATCCCGCGCCTGGGTCCGGTCATGTAATTCCAGCGCGAACTGGTTAAGTTTGAGTGAAAGGTTATATTTAAGTCTTATTTAGTGACATTTACCTTTTTGAGTACAAATGTAGTTATTTTTTGTTTTAATATTCTTTTCAGGTGAAATTTTTAATTTCCAAGTGTACGTAACTTAAAGAAAACGTTAAGTTTCCAATTTGTTTCAATTAAAATCACAGAGTCTTATTTTATCTATAGTCTTATCTATTAAAAACAAGCGTTACAGATTTTTGGTTGAATTTTAAATTTCGTTTAAAAATTTCGGTTTAGCATTCTGTAAATATGTAAAATTATATAAACAAAAAAAATTGCCATTTTGCAGTTACATAATCATGGACGTGGGTAAAATTCCGTTTGTAATATATTCTGCTAATATGTACATGTACATTCTAATGTTTCTAGCTTTTCATAGTGTAGAAATTTTTCACTGAAAAAAGTTGTAATATGTCAACAGCTCCGAAAATTTTAGCCAGGCAGAAACTTCCAGCATTCGCAATGCATATTTTGGTCACTTGGAGTAGCATTGCATTATTGGTTACAGGTGGTATACAACATTTGCAAACCTCAAAAAGCAAAAGAACCAAATTATTTGTGAAATGCCTTACTAGACTCTAAGTCAGGCATCCTGTAAAAAGTCTTGGCACCTGGTGTGCTGTCATCATCAAGGAAGTGGAGTATCAATTTCCAATGATGGTCGGCCGACAATTGTTGGGGCTAAATAACTGTTTTTCTTTTTCCAATACTGCCCCCAATTTACCAAATTTATTTGTCTTTATTTTTGTTTACAATCAATTACACATCCATGAACGTGTGCAAGCCAGCTAGTCTGGTTCCCTGACCTGATGATTCCCCGACGTCTATGAATTGCGTTGTTTCGTCTGAAGTAGGGTCAGGAAACCAGACTACGAGAGCAGCATTTGTTTTGGGGTGTTTTTTCCAGCACCTATGAACACAAATGTAACAATTTACTACGTGTAACCCCCAAATCCAACCATTTCTGAAATTTACAGCAAAAGCAAATGTTGTATATTACCATTAAGGATGAAGCTTGGTGATTGTGAGGATATTTTTTAAAGATGAGTAAATTTACTCAAATAGTAACTTCTGTTTCAAGACCAAATTTTTAAATTGCCAGTGGCTGTCAAAAATCGGTATATTTCCAAATTTCTTCATTGCGTTTCGAGATTTCTCTGTTTTTTCATAATTGTTTGTTGGGCATCACACTCGAGTGATAATTTCAAGAGAATATTGTTTGAATCCCTTGTATTTTGGCCAGTTCTCGTTTTAGCAGTTCATGCTTGTTTTAGTCCTGTTGCTTTTATTATTTGAAGATGTTTTTCTTTTAACTGCTATATGTATATTGTCAAGATATATGCTCTATTATGCATTCAATTTACTCACATTAATGTGATCAACTTTTATTTATATAGCTGTTCTATTTTGGTAATATGGAACCCACCTCACATAATTAAACAACGTGATGTAGGCCTATGTTTTTATTTTTTTTGTCTCGAAAAACATATTTTTGTTTTTTTAATGTAATACTGCATGTGGTACACCAGTTTTGTGTTGGGCCAACAAAAAATAGTTCTGCTCCGATTACATGACATTTGAAAATAGGGTAAGAAGGTATGGATTTTTTGGGGGGCAATTTTTTTGTGTACGATCATATGGAGGCGTCTGCGAGTAGTCAAGGTAGTAATTGATGGTTTTGAGTGGTTTTTTTTCTCATTTTTCTAAACAAAAAGTTAGGATAGGGGCTGTCAGAATAGGGTAGGTAGGGAAACCAGAAGCAGAACTATTTTTTGTTGGTCTTGTCATCTAAAACACTGTGAATTTGAAGAAAAAATGTCTGTCTGTGAATTACTGAAGTGGAAAATGGGATCAGATAAAAATAAATTAACTAACAAATTCTAACCTTGTGCATTCTGCAATTTGTTTTCTGTACACAAAACGTTTGTTTAAACCTTAATTAATATATTTTTGAGAGGATTTGTGTTAAGTTATGTGTTTGACCACCTATCATCCATCGGCTTTTGAGATCCCAAATTTTGATTTCAGCAGTATTTTGAAAATCAGAAACATCTTCTTCATTCATTCATATTCATGACGACTTGATGAGTTGGGCCCAACTGTCCGTCGAGCATAGTGTTGGAAAGAGATGGACCACTCATGTATCTCGCTGCATAACATTCTTCAAAACCCATTAAAACATCAACGTTCAAAATCCCCCCCCCCAAAAAAAAACAAAAAAACAAAACAAAACAAAACAAACAAACAAACAAACCAAAACAATTATTGTGGTCAATTGCGCATTTGTCAATATTTGGAAGCTCGAGTTTCAACTTCTGGAACAAAATCAATAATACTTTTACCATTTATTTCCGACCAGTTAATACCAATCATTTTGCAAAGACAAAAGTTGTATTAGTTCTGTTCACAAATAAGTTGCTCATTTTAATCATGGATCCAGGGACTTGCACACAGCTTAAGTATTATACTGCCAATTATCTTGTTTTCAAAACAACTTGTGTTATATCTGTCATGTTTTCTCAAAGTTTGATTTGTATTGAATTCAAAAATGCAAAGCATGCGTCACTTAGATAACTTTATATGAAATTGTTCAAATCTTGAACAAGTCCAGGCTATTTTAACGAGTTATTTGCATCAGACTTTGTGGTCCTGCAATCCCAACAAAAATACTTACAAATCTGAAAATTGTAAATAAATAGTTTTACGTCAATGATCGATGTCCTCCCTGGCATGCAGTGGAAGGGGAAATATTTCATATGTTAGGCTCATAATTATGTCATGCAATTAAAACTGAGCTGCCAACGGATGTCACAGTGACGGCATTGTGAATATTTTTCAGACAGAAAAATAACTCTTCAATGAAATCCCAGAGAAAAACCCCTGCCCTTCCCAGGTTTGTCCTAAATATTGCAGACCGTCAGACTTCTAGCCCATCAAGGGGACAAATTGATCCTGCTTCACTCAGCCATGTGTCGATGCAGTTGCTATGGAAGACATGTTCACATGGCAACCACTTGACAACCTCATCGGCATGGTAACACTCCATGCAGACGGCGCAGGTTGCACCTGCGAAGTCCGAGTTCATAATGTCCTTCACGTCTTCGTCGGTCAAGAGTTTGGTTCGCAGGCTCCTCAACCGGTTGGAGCCAAAAGTTTTCTTGGAGATGTTCTCATCCAGACGGAGCAAGAGGTCGTAGTCCTCCGGAAGCAAGTCCCGATGTTGTATCAGAGCCAGAACTGTCAGAAGCTGTGCCTCGTCCTCGGAAGTCGTAAACTGGGAGATGTCACCCTCTCTAAGTTCGTACTTTACCGGTTGTGACTGCTGTTTCTGCTGCGCTAGATTAACTGTTGCTGTGGTATTAACAACACAATTCTTCGGTGGTCCTCTCCTTTCTAGCTTCAATGCTTTCAGCTTCTTCTCAATGTTTTCCTTCTTTGCTGCGAAGGCATCTGCTAGTTGTTCCTTCCTTGCTGCCTTCCTTGCGCTTATGTCTTGCTTCACGATGACCATTATAAGAGGATGCCCGGTACTGCCTCTTAGGATGTCCTTGGACCTGAGTTGCTTCTCCTTGGCTGCTCTCTTTGGCCTGTTGTTCCTCGGCTTGTGTCTTCTGTTGCCTGTTGAGAATTTATGACATTTGTACAACCTCTCAGTCCATTCTTCAGCTATCGTTTCAAGCTCGTCATCATATTCAGCAAAGCTGTCCAATTCATTGTCACTGTTGCTGTCCTTTTCCCAGCCCGTGTGCCAAGAGCAGCACGGGCCTGTTTCCTCGGATACTATGGCGAAATCACGGCAAAAGCAGGTGAAACAATCGCCGCAGAGTTCGCAGCGACGGATGCAAATTTTTGACGTTGGGAAACTTGCCAAGGTAAATTTCTGCAGCTCTGGAGCTTTCCTGAAGCCTTTCTTTTTGTCCTTTTGGTGAGTCTCTGACGTGTTACTGTCCTCTGAGGAGGTCTTTGGAAGCGAACCTTGCAATGGTTTTCCTCCATTTGAAATGAATTCTTTGTTGGCCGAGCAAGCCTCTTTCTTTCGAGCCCCGCACTCTGCTGCATTCGGAAGCTCGGCGGCAACCATGACAGAATCACCTTCAGCTACCATTTTCCCGTTAACTTTGTCTTCACAAAATAACAACAGCAACTTCCACTCCACAATTCGGGTAGACCAGCTACTGATGTTTTTTTGCAAGTGAAGCTGTTTTTAAAGGCTTGTGTGATAATTTAATATTGCACAACGACTTTCCGAAACCTGCAATATTCCCGTAACCTGCCTTCTATTTCGGTCACATGCTGTAATGTTTATGTTTACAACCATATGTAAATCAGGTGGCTTGACGATTATGATTGGTGGATGGGGATGATAATGTATGACGTCATAATTAATTGGCAAGATGGCTGCGCCCACGGAGAAAGAAAGCAGCTCAAGCGGTGGAGAGAATTTCGACGAAAATGAGCACTTGCAACCGAAAGCAAATCGGTACAATTGGCTCACAGAGCACCCAAAGGTATTTTCTGGCATTTAAACCACTGAAGTTCTTACTTTAGTCGTTTTTTTTAAAGGGAATGTACATCATTGGCTTTTGCTGTAATTTTCAGAAATGAACTATTTGAGGGGTTAGTATAATAGATCAAATATTGTTACACTGACATGTTTGAAGTTTTGTGTTCGAAAATGCTGGAAAAACCAAGAAAAACAAAAATGTTCAAGTAGTCTGGTTCCTTGACTCCACTAAAGATAAAATGGATCAATTTATAGATGCCGGAAAATTGTAAGGTAAGGGAACCAGTCTAGCTTGTCTGCACCCGATCGTGAACATGTAACCAATAGCAAACAAAATTTGGACTGAAAAAAGTGTAAAATTGGAGGAGTAGTTGAAAAATAGTTAGGTTTTTCCAACGGTGATCGGTCGACCACCGTTGGAAATGTATACCAAAATACCATTTTCTTGAAAATGACTTCACACCAGGTGCCATAATTTTACAGGATGCTTTAGACTGTCATTTACCAACATCCTAGTAAGGTATTTCGTAAAAACTTGGTAGTTTTATTTTTTGATGTTTGCAAATGTTGTATATTCCCTTTAAAGGTAAATTATCGATTAAATCCTCGCTTGATTTTCCGTCATGTCCGTCCGTACGTACGTACACGAGTCGAGTCCGCTGAAAATACAATACATGGTTGCACGTGGCTGCCAAGTACTTAGTCTTAGCCCCATAAAATAATGTGGCTAAAGTGAAATGCTGGACTGAAATACAGAGGTAGTCCAGTATTTCGACCACATTTACGGGGCTACCAAGTACTTAAGTTGCACCATGGTCATGGAGGAAGGAACATTCTTTCCTCCCATGTAAAGTAGTTCCTTCCCCTTTTTTTCAGTTTGGGATTATAAGTAAAGTTCCTTCGCTTAACTTTGTTTCTTTTCAGTACGTTGAGATGAAGTCGTGGAAATTGGAGAATGATGAGCAGATTTTCATCACCTTGATAGTTTATCTAAATTTGTGTGAAGGTAGGCTATGCTATTTAACATTGTGTGAAAGCTGAATTTTTGTTTTTAATTTTCATTCGTTAATTTTTCAATTTCTCGACCATTTACTAGACTATTTCAAAACATAGTTTGCCATTTTAATGCTAAATTTAAGTGACATGATCCATGTGTGAATATTTACATATTTTGTCATATCTGTGCCATGGCCTATTGAAATCTACATTTGGCATTTTGTGATCTGTTCACAGCCAAAGATTGGTGGAATGTTGAAATCCACCCATGTAGAGAGCTCCAACTAGCTTTCATAACCGGAAAGCCCAAGAGGAAGGCAGATAAGCGAGCTGTGCTGCCCATCTCAACAGAAACACATTTGAGTCCAAAGAGGTTTGTTAACATTGTATCCCACTGCATAGTTTTCCTCCTTTCCCATTCAATTCTAAATTTTTAATACAAAAAGGACAATTACTGAAAATGTATGAAATATTATTTACAATGGAACAAATAACTTTCATGATCCAGAAAGGTGCAAAACTTTGTTATCATGCGTTATAAGTGGCGGCAGTTAAAAAAAAGGGGGAAATAACTTTTTTATTGAGCATGAAACTCCGTTTCCAGTTCCATTATTATATCAAGTTAATAGAAGACGTACCTCTTTTGTGTCAGGAGCTTGCAACACAATCACAATGTCTTTATCAACTGGCGTTTTTGATTGCCGCTTTTGAAAATTGGTAAATTATGTTTGAAATATGTTTTTTCCCCTCATTTCTGGCATAGATTAAAACAATTTCTACAGCACATCTGTTTACCTGGGCTTCCTTCAACAAGCCCCTCCTCCCAAGATGAAGCGGAGGTAACTTCCGAAGAAGATACGCCTACATCGCTGATACTAGCCATCACAGAGTCTGGCTCCACCATTGTGTATTATCAGATCAGTGACGGTCTGGTTCCGCCTTCAGATCCCCCAAAGGATGATGCTGACGAACTTGAACCAAGCAGACACCCTGTTAAACAATCAAGGAAACGTCAGAAAAGGGGCGGGCCTACAGGGGTGCAAGAAACTGTCACTGAATATGCAAATGAGGAGAGGGATGACTTTATGGAGGAGGAGCTTTAGTATGAAGCTTGAATGATGCAGTATGGAAGGGGGAAGGGCATATGTGAAGGGAGCAAAGAAGGGGGTGGGGTTACTGCGCTGAATATGCAAATGAGGTGAAGGATGACTTGATGGAGGAGGAGCTTTAGCTTTAGTATGAAGCCTGATTGATGCAGTATGAAAGAGAAGGAAGGGCATTTGTGAAGGGAGCAAAGAAGGGGGTGGGGTTACAGTGGTATATTTTGCATAATTCTGGTTCTTCTCACTGCTTATTTGCAAATTAATAGGCAATTCCTTTGTAGCTTTACAGCAAAGCTTGCCTACATCTTTATATATGATAATTATTATTTAAATTTCTTGTACAGATATTACAGCCTAAGAGTAAACAGCAGTTATTAAACAAAGTTTTTAAAGAAATTAGCAACATAAAGAAAAGAAATAAATTGGGACCATATGTATTGGTTGAAACTCATAAAGGTTACCTTCAATATTTTTCAGTGAGAATTAATTTCATCCATTTCCTTTTGAAAGTATCTGCTCATGAATTAGAAGTTCAAATCCTTTTCAGTTCAGTTCAATTCATTGTATTTCCCACAGTGTTCACAAATAGATAAAGTATTTCTGAACACATTTAAAAGTAATATACAACATTTAGGGATGGACTTGGGGGTTATAGCAAATATTGTTACACTGACATATGACCTGTGTAAAGATTTGTATCCATAGATGCTGGAAAAACCAAGGAAAACCATGCTGTTCTTTTCTGGTTTCCTGACCCTACTTCAGACGAAATGGAGCAATTGATTGACGTGTCAGATCTGGCTTGCACCCATTCACGGATGTGTGACCGATTTCAAACAAAATGTGAACTGAACTGAATTTGGTAAATTGGGGACAGAATTTGAAAATACAGTCGAGTCTCGTTATAACAAACTCGTTCGGACCTAGCCAAATTGTTTGTTATATCAGAATTTTGTATTAAAAGGAACATCAGTCCCATTCATTGGGCACATAAATGCACATTCGGGACCAAGCCTTTATGTTTGTTATAACCAGAATTTTGTATTAACAGAGTTTGTACTAACGAGAGTCGACTGTACAGTTTTTCTTCCAATGATGGTCGGCTGACCAGTGTTGGAAATTGATACAAAAATTCAATTTTCCTTGAAAATGATAGCACATCAGCCTAGGTGCCATTATTTTACAACATGCGTGAGAGTATTGTTAACTTGAACAGTACAGTCCAAGAAAGATATTTCAAAATAATTTGCTGCTTTTGTTTTTGATGGTTACAAATGTTGTATTTTAAATAGAGGGACTATAGCTTGTAAACATGGCACCCTTGCTTACGGTGTGTGATATGAGAGAGAAAAAAAATCTCAATTTTATTTCGGGCGCCACCCCCCCCCCATGATATCGTCTTGACAATGACCACACCCCGTCTCCGCCCACAGAAATGACGTCACACACGTACATAAAAAATATAAACAATCAACCGAGAGAGGGCGCTATTCATCATAAATACGTCAACAAAATACAAGATGGGGGAATCTTTGGTGGTAGGCCTGGATGTGGGGGCATTTTTGCCCGCATTATTTAGCCTAAGTGATGGCCAGGCAAGGGTAAGAATCAAGCTTTTTCACATCAGTAAATGTTAAGGAATATAATTTTTGCCGAAATGTATTATTACTTATTTGCGATGTGTTAAAAAACGAGGCTCAAAGTTCGCCATCTTTCCATAAAAAGTAAAACAAGTTGACCAAAACTACCAGTGTTTTCCCGCATAACATTTGCATACATTACTGTCATTAGTCCGCCTAAGTACTAGTAGTAGTAGGCCTACTACGCGAACGCAAAAGCATAAACAAATTAAAAAGTGTGATAAGATGACTGCCCGTACTGAATAATGTATTTTTAGTTTAATCGTGTAATGTCATGAATGTATAAAATGTAGATTTGATTATTACAGACATGACTAGTCCGAGTAACTTGGACCCAACTTATCGCCTTTTTAAAAATTTGGACATGGTCTGGCGATAGTAGGGTCCAAGCCCATTCCGAGACCTAGACAACACAGTCACTGACAGTCCCAAAAACCAACATTTTCCAACAAAAAACATCAGATTTCACCTTCAAAACGGCCTCCAAATTACTAGATATGCCACCTGAGGTACAAGTAGACATCGATAATTAAGATGGTTGTACTGAAGTTTACTTACGATCCGGAAAAAAAGTGAAATTTTCCGTTCATTTCGGAGAGCTCCCCTCGCGATCTTGAACACGTTAAATTTGCGATCGTGTTTAAAGTTTGAACGACGCGATTTCTTCTACATGCCCAGCGTACATTCGATGGTCCCCGTATCCCGAGTGCGATTCCGTTACCGAGCGCGCGCGATGCATCGATTATGATAATGATCACGTTTGTAAACACATACATGTGCATTTTGAACTGTAAAAGGGAATCGGGAACCAGCTTGAACTGGTACCCGCTATAAAAGCTGCGCTAGTTCCCGACTCCCTATTATCGTTTGAAATGCACATGTGTTTACAAACGTGACCCAGTCTACTCATTATCATAATCGATGCATCGCGCGCGCTCGGTAACGGAATCGCACTCGGGATACGGGGACCATCGAATGTACGCTGGGCATGTAGAAGAAATCGCGTCGTTCAAACTTTAAACACGATCGCAAATTTAACGTGTTCAAGATCGCGAGGGGAGCTCTCCGAAATGAACGGAAAATTTCACCTTTTTTCCGGATCGTAAGTAAACTTCAGTACAACCATCTTAATTATCGATGTCTACTTGTACCTCAGGTGGCATATCTAGTAATTTGGAGGCCGTTTTGAAGGTGAAATCTGATGTTTTTTGTTGGAAAATGTTGGTTTTTGGGACTGTCAGTGACTGTGTTGTCTAGGTCTCGGAATGGGCTTGGACCCTACTATCGCCAGACCATGTCCAAATTTTTAAAAAGGCGATAAGTTGGGTCCAAGTTACTCGGACTAAGACATGACACAGATGAAACTAGACTGCCCAAATTATAAACATGATGATCATGATAACATGATGATTGAAAAAGAACTCGGTAAATGGTAAGGAAAAAATGTTGCAACCTGATGCCACTTCCGCGATTGTGTACAAAGTCTATGGAGAGTCAAGACATTTTTTTCAGTATTTTCTAACGAAATTGGAAATATTTCTCAGTCCCAGATTTTTGCAATTTGAATGACCTTCATCGAGATGATATTTAAAGAAAAAAGTGGCGTCAGGTTGCAACATTTATCCCAATGGTAAAATTATCCAAAAAAATGTTAGGGCGGCCCTTGGCCTTATGATTTGTTTCCAGAGTTTGCTAATTAACCATGGCATGGCATGACATTAATTATTCTTCATATGTTAAAATTCATGACATTGCCTGAAAAAAAAGAGATGGAAATTGCTATTTGTTTTAATCATGTCACCAGCTTTTATCAATGACAAAAGGTGTCAGAATATTTACGCTGATTCTAAAATTTACGGAAAGAGTGCAGTATTTATCCAGACGTCATTTCTTTGGCTGTTTACAAAGTCTATGCTATGGAGTCGAGTGCATTTCAAAGTATTTTCTAGCAAAATTGGAAATGTTTCTCAGTCCCAGATTCAAGTTTTTTCAATATTTTTGCAATAACTGACCTTCATTGAGATAAATATATGATGAAAAAAAAGTGGCGTCAGGATGCAACACTCTTTCAACATATATATATCAAACTAAAAATGGTCCCCAGAATTTGTTGACCCTCATGTCAGTCATTGAGCAGTGCATCCAGTATCCACTCCCATTTGTTTCAACAAAATAGGTTTATCTTAGGCCCATCCCCTCTGCCCGCACACGAGCAAGCAATGATGCAGGTAATTGCATCCAATTTTCACGCAGGTATCATTCACATCTCATTAGCATTCGAGGAACCTTGGACAATTTCCCTTGTGGGCACAGAGACTGAATAATTCAGGATTGGAATGACTCATGTCCACGGTGCATTCAGTACCGTCTGATCATGCTGTGCTGTGCGCACAAGACTCTGATCGTGATTGTAGTGTTAAATCCAAAGCATTAATCTTGATACTTCTGACTAAATTCTAGCAGCAGTAATAATGCGGAGGGGGATATGTCTGGCACGGGCTATGTAAACCACGTCCGCATCTGGCCCAGGTCCGGACTGTTCTGCCTGTATCTAGGGGTGTTCTTGCTCCTCCTGCATGCTTTTTACAAGCTCCTATCATGGTATTTGTATGTCACCATGTTGTTGTCCTTGTACGAACAGACGGTCATGACGGCTGGGTTGATCGTTGTCGTGCTGGTGGCGGCCATCTTGATTTGTGCTATCATACGGCACAGGCGAAAAATGAAATGTAAGTAAACATCAGTGCAATTCCGTTTCTTCTGATTTTTGTGTTCCAGTGGGCATTTTGGTCCAGTTTAAGTGTTTGTCATATTTGATGCCTTTATTAACCGTAACTCCCCAGCCTAATTTACTAGGAACCATACCCATTCAGGCAAATTCCAACACCCACATGGGAAATTGTACACACACACTGGACTTAGTTTCTGGAGGTATGCCAGCCCTAGTGTAAAAGACCATCAGTTTAGGGGTACTGTACCTATCCCAACAGATTTCAACAAAACCTGCTGTTGAACTTTGATGGGTTGAGTTCGGTTAGGGTTAATCGATTGGTGAATATGAAAATGTAGGCGTTGAATTAAAAATATTCTTGTCTAAGTAACTTGAAGGATTTGTAATGTTTTTATGTGTTGTCCTGAAAAACTTACCGTCTTACTTGCAGCTTACATTTTATCGAAAGCTGGCTATAATTAATTTTGAAGGAAAATTTTCTGCCAGAGCAGTTTTGACAAGTGTTTGTATTGTTTGTATGCTGGGTTTTTAATAACCTGGTTGTATATTTTTATCAATAATATTCATTGATAACTGCTGTAAAGTGATTTTTTTTCAATATTGGCAATAATAAATGTAATTATAGCTTTTTTACTTTCAAATGGTGGAGTTGAATAAGGGGGAGGTGTTAGCATTTTTTTTTCAATTTGAATCACGTTTTTATAAAATTTGATGAAATTTTAATCAATTATAATTTTCAGTCATTGATTATTTTGTTGTACTCAGTAACTAATACAGCTCAGGCAGCTGGCCCGAAACCTCGCTTCAGAAAGAGGGAGAAATTTATGTTCTATGGCCGTAAGATGCTTAGAAAGGTATGTGGGAATTTCCTTGATACTTCAGAGAAGTTGTGTCTGATTAAAGTCATTATGTTATCTTAGTCATGTTAGTTACATTTTCATTTCTTGATCAGATTTTTAAAAAATCCAATTCAGGCATGCAACTTTTCCTCGGATCTGCTGATTTCCTCGTTTTTTACTTCTCATGAATTCCATTAGAAAAAAAAAAATACAAGACAAAGTCTTGTGTGGTTTGGGGTTTCCTCATTTTGTTTTGAATTTCTAGCTGCAAACCAGATTACATTTAAAGTACATATACTTCAAACAATATTGATAGATGTACAATATTTGATAGATGTTTACATTTTGTCACAGGTCCGTTCAATATCTGGCTCCCAGATTCACTCTGCCCGTCGGCAAGTCCGGAAAAGACGGGATTACATCAACTTGGCCAGAAGCTTGAAAAAGTAAGTCCAAGTTGCAGCTTAAGCTGTCACTTGCGTTACATTTTACAATCAAAGCAGACACTGACTCTGTCATGTCGATAGTAATAACCCCAAGATCCTTCACTGAACCATCGTATGTTGGGCTGGATACACTTGAAAGTTTAAATTATATGACTGATTTAGTAAGATTCAGGAAGATACCTGGCTTCACTAGCAGTGCAGGGTTAACGGATGATTATTTTTGACCTCTGACTGCAGCATTTTGCAGACGGACGATGGAAGCATGCAGCCAGTGCTCCAGGTCAAGGAACCTCCACCGGCTATCCTGGAGGCTGACCCTAATGAGATGCAACTACCTCCGGAGCTTCATATACCGCCGGAGGTACTCTACATGCTGAAAAATATCAGGTAAGAACCAGACAAATGCACAGACTGACTGACTGGCAGACTGAGTGGTGTAAATACCTCCTGAGTATTTACAGGAAGACAGACAGGTAGCACAACTGACCGACAGATGGCTCAACTGAATGAATGAATAAATGAAAAACTGCTTGAATGATGGACAGACAAATGTTGACTCTACATAGAGGCAAGCACCTCTTAGAGCTTTACATTCCAATGGAAGTACTGTAGATGTTGAAATTATTAGGTAAGCTGGCAGACAAAAAGGGACAAACAGTCCGACTGACCAACAGGTATCTTCTTCCTCCAAAATACTCCATACATTTGATGCAGTTTTAACTGGGAGACCATTTCAAAACACAATGTTTGGAACTCTCCCTCTACTTGAAGTACCACTGGTTCTTGAAAGCAATTCACACTGTTCTCAAATGGGAACAGTCTGGAAACTCTGACTATTTCCAACTTGGGATGCTTGAAATTGCTACAGCTGTTTCATCAACTAACAGTGCTTGTTCCCAATTTGGAATGTGTCATATTCCATATGATTACTTATATCAGACTTCCAAGAAGTAAAAATCAGCATATTGCATACGTTGGGAAAGCACCCAGATGATTGCAATACCTTTTTTTTTTTTAATTGTTGCATATGTAGACATCTGGATATTTACGCATTTTGTAATTTCCCGCCAAATCAAGATCGTAGAACCTCACAGTAGAGTATTCAAGAATGAACACAAACATACCAGGCTAGCTTGGAGACACTTCCTTATCTTGACCTTTTTGGTCGTATTGTTTGCAGGGTATTTGGGCATTTTGAGCAGCCACTCTTTCTGGAGCTCTGCCGTTCCGTAGAGACCAAGTTTGTTCCTGCCGGGGCGTTCCTCTTCCGCAGAGGCCAGCCCGACGATAGCATCTTTGTTGTCCAGTCCGGCAGGCTGTGTGTCTTCATTACAGAGCCGGTATGTTTCCACACCCATCCCCCAGGTTTTAGTGCTGTGCAGCAAACCCATTCCATCAAATTCTTATGAAGGGAAAGTCATTTTCCTATTGGAATCCATCAAATTCTTACCTTGGACGTTTTTGGACCTGTGCTCATTCCATCATAACCTAACAGCCAGTTGTGCTGTTAGACTTTGCTAGTCTTGACTCCAGAAACCATTCACATAGTCTTAATTCAGATCTTAACTGATTAATTCGGGAATTAATTAATTGAATCCATCAAACCCAACATAGTCTGATTGATTTTGATGGATATTTTTGGTTCTTTGAGGCAAATATCAAGACTAGTAACTATAATGATTAATTTCAGATAATGACAAATATTTTCCAGTTTTCAACAACTCTTGATACATCCATCTTGTTTTTTGTTTAGGATGGCCATGAGTTTGAGGTCAAAAAAGTCTTACAGGGAGACAGCGTCCATAGTCTTCTCAGTGTACTGGATGTCATTACTGTGAGTACCTTCATTACCCAACTTTCACTGATCTTGATTCAATGTAAGCTTAAAGCTATAGTCCATCATTTGTAATTTGTGCATTTTGTTCGTTTGAAGCAACAAAAGAGTTCAAAATCTAATGAAGGATACTGAACAACTAACCTGATGAAGTTTCAGCTAAGTTTCAGCTGTACATTCCGAGAAAAACAGCATTCTAAGATCTCAATTTCAAATCAAAAGTTACTGAATCATGTTTTGAATTGTTTTGAATTGCAGCTATACGCGACGTAGCGCACTGATCCGACGAATTATAACAACCGCGCGTGCGTGTGCGTCGTTCCAATACTTGTGCGCGCTGCGCTGAATAACAAACGAACTACTAATTTAAATTTTCCTACGGTGCTTCTTAAGAATCACCGTTGGAAATGCCTTCTTTCGTTGATTACTTCAAAATGACAGCTTCCCAGAAAGAATAATTTCACAGGGAGTTTAGTTCCCTCACTATCTTTCAACCAAGTTTGTTTTTCAACAATAATTACGCCAGTTACTTTTCGGATTGCTGCAAATGATGGACTATAGCTTTAATCGCACTCCCAATTCCTGGACAAGAAATCCAGAGTATCCTTCTTAATAGTTCTTTTTTGCCTAAAAAAAAATCCTAATAACAAAAAGAGTTCTAAGTCCTGTAAAAAAAAACCACTGCTCAGCCTAAATGCTAATATATAAAAACTTATGCCATCATCAAGTCTGTCAATAATTTCCGTTTACCTTTCATGAGACTTTTCTCAGTGACGGTCCATATTTGCTTCGTGTGCAAGTACCCCCTCAACGGTAAAAAGGGGAGAGTTGGGGAAGACCAATTGGTGAGACATCGAATGCGTTGCCGACAACATCTGATGCTAACACAAAGACGCTATGGCTTTACGTACACTCAGACTAGTATTAGTAGTGCATGCTTCGCGCCATACGCACGCCAACCTGTTACGCACACGCGGTGTGTCCCCCCACTGGACAGCTCAAAGTGGTCAAACAGCGCCCTCTCTTGTTTGCGCACGGAGCCATTGTGTTGGTTTGAAAACCAACCTTCCTGGCTGTTTAACTCTTTTAACTTTTGCAGTGAATCTACCTCAATTCAAGAATGATAAAGTAATTTGGTTCATGTTAATGCAGGGCCACCCTAACCCATACAAGACAGTGTCGGCCAAGGCTACAGAGGACACCATGGTCTTGCGGCTGCCGGTCAGAGCGTTCCAGTCGGTGTTTGAGCGGTATCCGGAGAGTCTTGTCAGAGTGGTACAGGTAGGTACAACAACAAACAACAACAACAACAGCTGAGACAAAAATAAACCGGCGCAGTAAATTTTGACCTGTCTGATTCATCGAGAATGCACTTGCGGTTCAAAATTCATTTGGACAGTTTTTGTGAATGGTCTCTTAATATCCATAACTGATATCTGGCCATCATTTGAGTCTCTGCTGCAACATCTTGTTTGGCAGTTACAAGATACCAATAACAATAACAACATGTACAAAAACAACCAAGTTGTCATATTTTGGTGTTTGTTTTGCACATTTAGCTTTCAAAAGTATGATATCTAATATGGATGTGGACAGTGTGATTGATTTCAAATAAATAATCTGAAATTTGAAATTTGTTTGAATTAATCATTTTGCCAGATGATGGTGGTGAGACTGCAGCGAGTGACTTTCCAGACACTTCACAATCTACTTGGTCTCAGCAGTGAACTCATCAACATGGTAAATCTTAATTTCATTCTTAATTTTTCTAATTCCTCCTGTGTTCTAACTCTAATAAAGTATCTGAAAAAATCTTTTTAAATAGCATCAGAAAATTGACATTCAAAGAGGAAATTACAAAAAAAATTAATAATCACGATATTAAGAAGAAAATTGGTTATTTCATATTTCCAAATCATCGCGTCAGTGCAACAAAGTCGTAACTCGATTCTGCAACAAAGACGTATCTCGCGCGAATACGATCCGTGCAGCAAGGTCGTATCTTGACGTCCATTGACTTTGCGTGTACATCCGGGTTATTTTAATCGAGATACGACCTTTTGACATTCTAAAACTCACGTTTTGCGTTCATGCCATTTTAGGCGATAGGCCTTGTTGCATTGGCACGACGAAATTGTAATTAACAATACAGCTGACCAAGAATTGAACCAGATTTTTTATTTTCTTTTTCAAAGTAAATTTTGCAAAAACATTTCTGTAATTCAAAAATTATTTTCAAATTTGCATCCACCAGTGTGAGTGGATATTTCCACTGATGGCTTTCCCCCCAAATGTGAGATTTTCGAATTGAAACAGAATAAATGCTCGGGCCACATCCACATCTCTTGTCTAGAGCTAGTGGCTAGGTCTTCCCCCATTAGGACTACATGAAAAACAAGCTGACAATAGACCTAGCCGTAGCTCTGGAAACCAGGATCAGACACAGCCTTAGGCCCCAAATCCATAAGTCCATTTTCTTTGTGCGTATTGTGTATTGTGTTGTGCGTTTATCTGTTACGTATCCAAAACTCAAATACAAATACGCAGCAGTTTTGCGAGTGGAAAAATCAAGTCCCAATAAAATTTGGATTAGCTTTGGCAAACTACACCTTTTACGAAATAAACATTGACAAAATTTAACTTCTCAATGAAAAAACAGGGTATGAATATTCAACGTTTCATTAATGGGTAGTTTAAAACTTAAAAGCAAGGCAGGCCCTGGTTTGTTTAATAACATTCACATACAAACTGCTTCCTTTTTAGGCCATCCATTAATATTTATCTTTTTTTACCCACCACTTTATTATTTCATTACATTGTAGGCAACAAATCCCATGCGTATTGGATGCGTCATCCATTTCAATCACTACCTGAAGCATATACAATTTCAACTGATAACGCAGTACGGATAACGCAATGCGCAAATACAGATACATGGACGTATGCACCTTGCTTACCAAACAACTGATTTTTACGGATCACGCAGTGCGCACTTTGCGTAACGCATGATGGACACATGGATTTTCAGCCTTATTCCAGCGTCTGAACTCTTTTTGTTGGCTGATACTTTTCCAGGGGGACATCAGTGATCCCAATCTGAACATCCACGTGCTGAACCGAAGGACCTGCAGCCCCGTTAAGAAACCCAGTACCGCCTCGCTAGGATCTAACTCCAGTGAGGAGGCTGTCACCAAGGTTACCCATATGGACAGCGAGAAAAGAGGTAAGGTGCTCATTGGTCAAAGGGCAAAAGTCAAAAGTTGTAGTATGGAATTTCCTCATGCAGTGTTGCCAAACCTCTTTGTTGAAAAGCTTCAAATTCGTTCGGTTAAATAATGTTACTGTTACTGTAATAATGCATTCTGCAGATTCCTCGTGAACGATTTTAGTGTCATGAGATGTAGTCCGAAACTTAAAACACAGTGGCATCCGGAAATTGAGCACAAAATCGGCCGAGTGTTCCCTAACGTGGCGCACATAGACCAATCTCGGGAAATTCCCAAGAGAACATTAAAGAATTTCTTTAAAGTTGACCAATTCTCACAAACCATTATTATCTCCAATCACATATCGTGCATGCTTGTCAGAAAAATGCTTTCTTATTTTTGATCGCATTTTAAAAGGGTTCACTATTAAGCAGACATCAAAATAAAATTGCTAAAAAAATCAAGCAAAAGTTAAATTTCTCTATTAACTTTCGAACAGGTAGTAAACTCAAGGTTTTTAAGGGGAATGTTTAAAGCTTGATGAAATTTCACATAATGTAAAATTTATAGTAAATCGTTTGCTCTAGCAAGGCACTGGAGGCAAAAAATTGAAGTGTGCCACGTTAGGGGCCACACCACGTTAGGGGACAGCAACAATAGTGATTGCAACCAAGGACTGATTTTATAGAGCGACCCAGCAGAAAACACTGCTTAGCAAAATTTGGCAGAGTACCAGTTAAAAGCAATTTTCATTACATGACGCCTTGGCTGGTAACCTGTTCTTGGAAGTTGCATGAAGTTGGCGTGTACATAAAACGTCCCTTAGATTTGGTCACATGGTGGTGCTGGAACAATTACACCTAGTCCGCTTTTTCTTGAAATTTAAGTGAAGGACATCAAGACTGGAATGTCATTCTGTCTGTAACAATTCTTTTCTCATTTTGGTTTTCATTTTTGTCGTTAGAGCGGTCCGGCACTGCCAGTGCATCAGACAGCGATCAAGAGTCCAGAAACAGGTCCAGCTCCACTGCTTCTAGTAAGTATTTCAACTTTGCCATGTTTAGCCGTAGCCTTTAATTTACGTTATCCTATCGGTTTCTGGCCGTATTAGTAATTTTAGTGATTAAATGTAACAAATCAAACCAATATGAAATCTCCATCTTCATGAGGAACCATTCTAAGTTGGGGATACAGGGCTTACCATTGTCAAAAGAAGTAACCATGTGTATGCCCATGGGATGCCTACTGGAACGTTTATTGAGAACAATACACAGATCCACTAACCCTAACAATCCCCATCCAGTCAAACTCGAACACCGGAGTTTGTTTCAATCTGTTAGAATGAGTACTGTACTAGTAAACTGATTATGCTTGACATGGGGTTAGGCATACCACCATAATCAGGGACATTGGGGGCAGTATTTGAAAAGAAAGTCCCTTTATTTTCCAATGATGGTCGACCGACCATCTTTGGAAATTGATACAAAAATTCCACTTTTCTTGGAAATGACAGCACACCAGGTGCCATGAATTCACAGGATGCTTGAGACTATATTTCACTTGAACAGTCCAGTAAGGTATTTCATAATAATTTGGTAGGATTGTTTTTTTGATCTTTGCAAATGTTGTATATTGACCTTGAACTGCTCTATGCGCCTGTAAGTATCTGCTATTATATGTAGATCATTGGTTTCCTCAGTGTATTTTTTGCTTAACCCAATCTTCATTGATCCTAAGCGAGCGTCGTGGGACGTATCAACCCTCTCACAGGCCGACCGCGATCTCATTCGCTGGCTGTTATCAGTGAGTTGTGTGCAAATATAGAACCCCAACCTTATGTTCAAACAAAGTTACAAACGCTCTCCCACCTTATTAGTCAGTCTGTGGAAACAGTGGGAAACAAGAGCTGTTGCTGTGTAGTTGCAGTTTGCTTTGTTTTTTGGTAATTTTTTTTTTTAGTCCCACGATTTTACCTTGGTGATATGTATGTGGCCTATTTTCGAGTAGTATAATAGGGGTGTAAGTGGCGCCACCAACGTCAAAATAGTCCGCCCTCCGAAAAAAACTCCAATTTTTTTCTGCAGCCAAACATTTTGGGCACCATTTTTTGAAAAAAAAATTGAGCCCCCCCCCCCAACCAAATCCTGGGTGCGCCACTGTGTAGTTGTGACAGCGTTCCACCCCGGTTTCAATTTGTTGTAGCCTAGCTTGCGGTATATGAGGATGCTGCCGTGATTGGTCATTGGCTAGCTTTTGAGTGACGTGATTGGAGGATTTAAAATTCACTGATTGGTCATTGGTCAATGATCATTGCTGTGAGCCTCCTTTTGCTTCATGGGCAAGTGGTTTATACTCACATGTGCCTCTGAGCTAACTTTGGTTAAAAATATGAAAAGTGTGTTGTTCATTGTTGTCATAGAAATCAGCGATCAGATTAACTTATTTTTTTGGGGGGGGGGGGCAGAAACTGGGCAAACCTTGGTTTATGTATACTTTCAGTCTTGGCTTTCCTCTTAACTAAATAAGTTGATCGGACGTTATTCTCTTGCTTTTTGGTATGCAATTTGGGTAAAATAACACAGTACAATATGATTGCAGTGTGTTGCTAAATATTGCACTGTGTGCAAGTTGTTATTTGTATCTAACGACTTTCAACTAAAAAAATATGAACTTTCGTGGTATAAATGTGAACAACAGGTGCTTAATAGCTGCCTTATTTCCAATTAGCCACCCTGACTGAGAAATAACCTTTAAAAAATTCCTGTTTTTGAGATGCTGTGTTTTTTATGCAAGTTTAGAAAATGTCGTTATACGAGTCATAGCAGTCGATATTTGTGTTAGCATTGGTCTAGACTAGTTCCCGCTCTTGTTTATTGTGAACTCTAGCTAGAATGGAGGTTGTCTCGGAACCAGCCTATTGCACTTTGCTGTTGTTGTTAGGGTAAACCCCACTTTCACTGGTATGCATGAATTTCAAATGTAACTGAAAGAATTGTGTGTGAACCAGTTAAATATGAACACCCACCTTCCCCTTTTGGTCAATTGTAGAAACTCAACACCCTTCTTCCCCACGTGCACCGTCACATTTTCCTTTTGACAAAACATCCGTCCTGCACACAATTTTGAAAACTTTTTTTTTCAGTGGCCCCTTGCAAAGTGTGGTTCTTCTCGTTTTGTATTAAGGCATGTTTCAGAAAGTCAGAACATTTTTCAGATTTGCCTCATACTATCACCAGAGTTGGAAAGGATCCTAGCAAAAGGAGATAAGGTTCGAGAAGTACTAAGTTTATTTGCTTGATATGTTATTTTGCTGAGAAAAATTAACCTAAGCAATACATTTTCGCCGTACAACTGGTGTGCAGGCATTGCTAATGAAACGCTGTACATTTTTAGCATCCATAATGCTATCCATTGCCATAGCAACGGGGCTCAGTTTTGTTAAGCTACGTACAAGGAAAAGTAGCTCAGCAAGTTTTGGTACCAAGTTTTAAAAAAAATAAGAATCAATCACAAGCACTTTACACCAATCGGATTTTTGAAATTAGGGTGATGGTTGTGTTTAGCCATTAATGAGTTGCTTCCATGCCTGAACGCTCATCATGCGTGTGTTCTGTTTAGCGCTGAACAAGTTATTAAATACATTGTGTGAAATACCAGAGCAAGCTTTAGAGTGTCTCAGTTATGGTGGAAGGCCAGACCAGTAATCACAAAAAGTGAGCAACTCGGATTTTGCCTGGAAAATCATTTTGTTTGTTTGCGTGTGAAGTGAATACTTTCTGTTCTTAGCAGGTTTCTGTGCTGTAGCTGTTACACAGAATTGCCTCCTCTTTATCACAGATCATTTATCTTCTACATCTTCAGGCCTGAATTTGCCGTCGGGACAGAAGAAGCCCAAACCCACGTCGCTAGAGGTGGACACCACGGGACGGCTTCTCATGAGCGCCTCAGACTTCCAAGCGGCGGCCGGACGGGCCCGCGTCCAAGGACTGGAGGACAACAAAGCTTACAAAATGGTATGAGCACTAAGAGCCTAATTTCTTCCTGTTCAGGCCCAATACAGTATTGTGTATGATGCATGATAGGTTACGTATTGTTACATTGGGCTTGATGTCTTGTAGAATTTGGCACAGAATAATTCATGGCTTTTACGCATGAAAAAAGAGGGCTACAAATCTATGCTTATCACATATGTGTTGTTTTTGTCCTGAGTGTCATGCAATTAAAAGCAGTTTCAGTTTTAGCCATTCAATTGTTTGACTGCTTGATTTTTGATTCCAACTCTCACTACATTCCACAAGTCATGCCAGTGTTGAAAGTTCCACCGTAAGGCTACATGTAACTGTTTTCTTGCCACATAGTGAACTGTCGATGAGTCATCAGGTTGGCGTAGCGGTACTCTCCTCGCCTTCCACCGCTGTGGCCCGTGTTCGATTCCCGCCTGGGGCCCATATGTGGATTGGGCTTTCTCAGTCCCTTCCTGATTGTGTGGGTTTCCCCCAGACTGTCACTCCAGGATTTTCCTTCCTCTTTTCTACCAAGGTACCCCACTGGAAATAAGTCTAAAGATTTTCCTGTGTTATCACGGTCAATCGCTGAATAATAATAAGGTATTCTCCCTGTGTTAACACCACCTTCCCCTGGAAAAAACTCTACCACCAGAGCTCAGGCAAGCGGTCTGACTTAGCCCGCTCCTCCAGTGAGGACCAGGGACCTGATTTCTTGACGTCCCCTGGCTGCGATGCTGTCTTCTTTCCCCCTAAGGGATGCCTGATGTCATCCTCAGACAGCAAGGTGACAATTCAACACGTTGCAGTCCAACGAGTAGTCGAAGCAGCATGCATCCTTCATTTAGTTTCTCATCTGTTCTAGCCCATGTTTATCTCTGTGTAGTTCATGTGTAGTGATTGACCAATCCATACTAGAGCCAATTGCTAGGCATGCTAGGAGCTGATGAGTGTAGAATTGTGCTTAGAACTAAACATATTTGCCGAGCAAAAATAGGTTATCAGCTAAGGCCAAGTTCGGGCAAGGACTATTAGTCGACTAGTGGTTGATTTGTGACGTACCTTACGCCTGCGCACTAATAGCAACGTGTGAACGTCTCTAGTCAAACGCTGGTCAAAATGTCATCGCAAAACTTCTGGATCCTGGCTCTCTGCTAGCGTTATGAATGCGCGTGGCTATTGGTTACCAGCGAAGCAACCAACCCCAGTAGGCTGGTTCCAAATAGTCGACTAGCGTAGTCAACCACCGTCGACAAGACAGAGTTCGGTCAAACGTTAGTTAACCATTGGTCAACTATAGTCCTTGCACGAACTTGGCCTATAATGTAACTGGGTCGTTCTATGGGCTCCTTGCGCACACAAGAGCTTTTCCACCACTTTCGTTCTTGTTCGTGCTGATATAGCGCGAAGTATGCACGACTGATTCTAATCTGAATGTGCACAAAGCCATAGCATCTCTGCGTGTGTGTGAGGCGTCATCGGCAATGGGTTCAAATGTCTCTCCAAGTGGTCTCCCCTAACTCTCCCTTCCTTACCGTTGAGGGGGTACTTGTGCACGGAGCCCCTAAATTTAGGGTCCAAATTTTCCCTGTCCCCGTTACCTTGGTACGTTTTAAGTTGCCATTCAGGTGGCACTAAGAATGACTTCAAACAGTTGTTTTATTCATTTGGTAGGTAGTTTGCTATTCATAATCACTCTTGGAGGACGACTGCATTAAGGAGTGCATCAGAATCATAAAATGTCAGATGTAACAGGGACTGGAAACATGGACCTCAAATCTTTAGAACGACCCACATTACTTGTGACTGGTTTTCTTTTGAATTTAATGAGGGCAGTTCCATTAAATTAGCCCCTAATTAGTTCATGTTGTTTTTGTTAATTTCTCATAGTTAAGTTTCAGTTTTACCCTTGCTAAAAGCCAACATACCATTTTTTTAACAGAAAAAAATGCATTTTTGGTGAAATGTGCATGTAGCCATCAACTGGAGGTACAATGTCTAACCCTTGTATACATGTCACCTTGCTTGTTATTTTTGTTTTTCTTTATTGCTTTTCCTTTGTTTTATATCAGTGATGTACCGTAAGTGCCGCTTGATAAGCATGAAACAGTCACATGTGGCTTTGTTATCCTTTGGTGAGCTCAGATCTACCGTACTCTTTAACCAGTTCACGCCGGGATTATTTTGACAAGAACGGAACGTGGAGCGGGATTAATTTTCACTTGACCTCAAGCCAGGCGGGTTGAAGCCATCACCCTCGGGCAGCACACTCATATTTCCGGCCTCGCTTGCTGCAAGCGGGTTGCTGACAAATATTTCTGGCCTTGCTCCCTGCGTGTTTATCCCTCATCCATTCTGAATACCCCAAAACCTTCGCTGGTGTACACGTCATCCAGCCCGAACTGGTTAAGCTGTAACTCCTTGAAAAGTTGCAATTTGTTTGCTTTTGGACAAATTTTTTTTTTTTTTTTAAATGGTAGATAGTTTAAGCATTTTTTGGAGCCATCAAGCAATATTAATTGTATTTTCTAAAGCCTTTTTATACATGTGCATTTTTGTATGTAAAAATTACCATGTTGTGTCCAAATTGTTGCTACCCCTCATGTCATTTGACAGATACTGAGCTCATGAGGGCGCCATTACAGCCTGAAAGGTAATGCAAAGACAGTGGTAGCAAACAGCAACAAAACTATGCAACATTGGTCATGGTATGATATTGAATTCCTGAGGGAAGTTTTAATTTCTAAAAATTTTATTTTCTGAAAATTCAATGTTTATCTTCATAACTTCCATCCCCCTTAGTCTGCCCAAGACGACCTTCCAGGACCCTCGGGTACAGACAGCGGCTCAGAGGTCAAGGGCTTAGCCTCGGCCAGCCCCAAGGTCCAGAAACGGGTCACCATCGCCGAGGGTTACACCACGAGCCCCAGAGACAAGAAGCGGCACGTCTCGGGAGACAACACTGTCTACTCGGATGAGGAGATCCAGGAGATGGCCAGGAAGGACCTGGTCAGGATTCTTGGACTGGAGGTAAGGAGCAACCAACTATTTTCTCCTCTTTTTTTTCTTCTGAAAACCTCAGGGGCTTATTGGAATCCGTAATGACTGTAATATTAATAACTTAAGGTCAAATAAAATATTCACTCCCAGTGAAGATTAATTTCATTCATTAGCAGTTTCTGGTTTGGTGCCTACACCCCCTGGAAAATAAAGCCATTTTGGTTTAAAATCATGGTTCTTATGTAAAATAACAGTTCTTTGCCATAACACAATTTGATGCTTTTAAATTTTTTTTCTGTGACAGGATGGCAGCATTCTGGACGAGCATGCAAATATCGCTCACATCCAAGCAGGCAGTGTGGTCATACGGGAAGGAGATCAGGTAAAGTATACAGAAACTGTTGCCGATATTCCCCATTGTGTTGTGAAAACCTTGCCGAAGTAGCCTCACGACAGGTTCCCCTCCTTTCCTCTCAAAGTAAAGCATAACAGATGATGGGCCGAGTGCATGTGCATTCCTTCACTTACCAACCCTGGACTTGTAAAATACGAAAAAACACGCTGATGGACTGCTCGGAGCATGCTGCGTGCGTCTTTCGAAGACTGCACGCCCTATTTAGCGCTTGCGTTATCTCCTGTGCGTCATATCACATAGGATCATTTTCTCAAGACTGCGCGATGCCTGTACGACATGGAGTCTGGAAGCCTTGTTTTTCGCCAAAAAAAACCCTGTATCTTATGTTGTAAAAGGGACAGTAGAGGTACGCATATGTAGTATAAATCCTTGCTCTATAACGCGACATCGAAGTGTCATCTTTGAAAGGATTGATTCTACACTAATATAATATCGCATATATGTAATTTCGGGAATTTAAAAGTGTGGGAATGTGGACTGAAATAAATCCAGATGAATGTTGTTTTATTTACTGATTTGGTTGGTTTTGTTTGGTTTTGTACTGTTTGGTGTGGTATTTCAATGTCACCTCCCTCACTTTTTCTCCATTGAATAGGCCTCGTGTTACGATCCCCTAAGCCAAAGAGTAAGTCCAGTCCCGAACATAAATTGTACTCCCCAGAAAAGGAACCAAAACAAAGCGGACATGAATAAGGACAAAAAAGTTTCCACATTGAATATATGAACACATAATTATATTTAAACAAACAACACAATGTATTAAGAAATGCAGGTGCAACGAAATAAATAAATACTTTCGGTTACTGGTATGTTTCAAATGATAACAGTTGGCGGGGCAAGCAGCACTAAAAGCAAACCCGTTAGAGGAGCCCCCTTTCCTATAAAATGTTAGTTCCGTTCTTGTTTGGTGTCTCGGTGTTCCGTGATAACTCCAGGTGATGAGCAGCAGGAGGAGGAAAGGGGGGCTTCTCTAACGGGTTTGCCTGTTACATGCCTTAAGTGATTAACATGGCCATTCTCAATGAGTTCATGCTTGTCAGGCCACACCCATGAAATGACTTCAGGATCCGGTGACTTGGATTCAAGTCCCAATGTGGGACGACGTCTCCAGACCGGACCAGGCAGCAATATAGCACTGCAAAAGTCCAAGTTACTGTCAAGATCGCAGAGCGAAACCCCAAAACCGTCGGACAGCAGACTGAAGTACGTGTAGTACATGCACAAAGGATAGCGCGGGATGTGGTGCTATGCCTCTACTGGGGTCAAAGTTCATAATGGCGATGGGATTTGTGCAATACTCACTGGCACAAAAGTCATAAGTTTGTCCCCAAATACAGCAGTTAATTGACACACTCGTGAAAGTCATGGTCTGTTCTGTTCTGATGCTGAGGGAAAAAGGCACAACCCGAAAATTCATCGATCCAATTTATATTGGGCCAAGCATTCCACGCTGTCAATTCTGGTTGCTCTGTCACCCTGAAATTTGACGATTGTTCAGTCAAATTTGCATAAGTTAAACTGCTCGCTTCAATTGTGTTAATCTGCTCGCCCCATTTAGATGAATTATTTATTTGTTGGGCCCACGCCACTATTTCCTTTTCCGTTAAAGTACCAAATTAGAACAAAAGTACAGGAGTAAAGATCTTTATACAATGTACTGGCATAGGTGGTAAACAATACAATAAAATTCAATATAATTTTTTTTTTTTTTTTTTTAAATATTATAGCACAGATTATTACAATAATAACTGGTTGCACTTCAAGCCAAAAGCTTCATGCACACTTGAGTGTGTCTTTTATTCAACGCCTGAATAAATCCCTGTCATCTGAGTGGTGGGTCGTTGATCACAGTAATATTGAAATATTCGTCCTAATGCATGACTCAACTGCACTGCAAAATGGAAGTTCCTTTTTCACGGTAATTAGAACTTAATTTTGTTTCCATATCGCCGGTAATCTTATTCAGACTGTGCAGACAGTACACGGAACCGTCAGCAAAGATGAACCGGGATAATTTGCGTTTTGTCTGGGTTGTCGTTGACATTTGTGGATGAAATGTTTCCATATGTCTGCGTTGCAGTTGGGGTCTTGTTTGCGTTGCTCTCTGTGTTTCTTATGTCGATATGGAAACTATGCTGTATATTGCAAGGCCACACTATAAGTTATATAAGTACTATATGCCATAAGTATCTGAATTGTTGTCATAAAAATAACACAAAAACCTATATTTATGAACAATTTACATTAAGTTTTGCATACGTAAAGTTTTGCATGCGGGTATATGTTGTGTTAAAAAAAAAACCCAGTAAAATGCAGATAATTAGTGGTGCTTATGTGCATGTAGCGCTTTATGCCAAAGGTCTCAAAGCGCTTAACAGTTGTTACCCTCTTTTCATCAAGCCATTAGACCATTTTTCTGTGGAAGCTCAAGATCAGTGCAATCTGGTTGCTACCTTCTCAGGTACCCATTTATACTCCTGGATGGAGAGAGGCAATTGTAGTGAAGTGTCTTGCCCAAGAACACAAACACCATGTTTCCCATCAGGGTTCGTACCCATGTACCACGGCACATGAGTCGAACACTGTAACCATTGGACCACAGCACCCTACAGTTACTTCAACACTTGTATCTGTCAAATAGACCTTAATATTCATGAGGAAGCCATTTTGGACCGTGTTCCCTGAGTGTATTTTATAAATTGTAAACTGATGAACGGGATGGTGCCAGACTACTTATTCATTCCAAGCCTCACTTTCTAATTTTTTTTTTTAATGTGGCTTAAACCATTAGGGTGTGTTTAACACAAATTTTAAAATTATTCATCAAAGCAGACTGACATTAATTTGTAATTAATTTTATGTCATTGCTCTCATTTGTATTCGCAAGTTCCAACATTGAAGATTTTAACTTGCTTTCAATTTAATATGGCCGAATTGTGAATGAAGCCTATTCCATGGAAATATACATTAATTTCATTCCAGAACACTGTTGGGCTCAATTGTTAATTCCGCTTTTGAACTTTGAATAGATTTCATATTTGGACCAGTGTAATTTGCAAAAATTGTTAGTTTTCTGGCAATAAACGACATGAAATTAGCACACAATTTTTCTGGCAAGAAACAACATAAAAATAGCACAATTGGGCTCAATTGTTAATTCCGCTTTTGAACTTTGAATAGATTTCATATTTGGACCAGTGTAATTTGCAAAAATTGTTAGTTTTCTGGCAATAAATGACATAAAATTAGCACACAATTTTTCTGGCAAGAAACAACGTAAAAATAGCACAAAATGTGATAGCCTTTGTGGTTTTCTTACGAAAACTAACCTCCAGGCCCACAACAATTACTTAAATATTTGATTAATAATTCACTTTGTTTTGTTGTTCATTTGAATTCTTTAGTTCAAATATAATCAAAAAAGCACTTTGTGAAAATGAAGGATTCCTCTCAAAGGCATGCACCACAAATCTTTTGAAACCAAAAACCTCAAAAATACTAAAGAGGATGAACACAGAAAGGTATACGGGACAAACACAGGAAGATATGTTTCTTTTCTTCGTCTTCTTTGGTTTTTTCATACTCCACGCGAAGGCGAAGCAAACTTGACATCATGAAACATCTGCTGCCAAATTCTTTAGAGTTGAACCATGTTCAATTTTAGCGAATTCACAGCGTGAATTCTTGCTCTGAAATCACAAGTTTGCTTCCGTGTATGGAAATTTGGCAGTCAGAAACAGTTGAAGCGATACTAGGTACAGTATTATGCAGTGATGTCTCTTGATGATTTGGTTTTGTCCTACTGATAGTGATAAAGTTCATCTTGTAAAGAATTGCCAGAATTGCAATTGTTATGCCAATTCCAATGAGCGTACCAAGTAAGATGTATAGCCCAGGTTTCTCTGTTGGACAGGTTGGTGCTTTTGCCGTTGATGTTGGTAGATCTGTAGTAGATTTGTTGAGCTGACTTTCCCCCTCTGGACTGGCAGATGGCATCAAAGATGTTGAGTTGGGCAGTGTGGTTGGGGATTGAGGCGGAGCTTCAGTTGCTTCATCTACATGGAGCACAGTTTTGGTTCGGAGTGTGGGGTCTATGTCAGGATGGAAGAGTTGGCACAGTACTTGTGTAGCTCCATTTAAATCGATGCCTGTGTAATTGCTCCGATACAGGCTCCCCAGCCTTTCCATTCCGAATTTCGAAATGAAAACACCATCAGCCATGCATCTTAATGTCGCATAGCAAACGGTAGCAAACACACATGAGAAGTCGTACAGGCCAACTTCAGTCGTCGATTTGGTTATCCGGGTACACTCCAAAATCTCTCTTGGGCAGATGACAACTTTGCACGTGGCATTTTCTTCCTCAACACCGTGTGGCCCTTCAGCTGAACAAGTAAAAAGCTGTTCGGCTGGCTCTTGCAAGGTGTACTTTAAAGTACGCTTTATGCCACTCACAGTTTGCTTTTCGCTGAACTCGATCTCATTTGTTGGCGGTGTGTTCCAATGCAGTGTTGTCACGGCAGAATTTTCGCCGGTGTGCACACAGGTCAGTGTTGCGGTATCGTTAATGTGAGCACGTATGGTTCCACTAGTTCCCCATTTTGGAATCACCAACTCTCCTTTTGCAGAAAAGCCAGCCAGCATAGTGCAGAAAAATAGAGCAAAGAAACCTCTCATTGTTATATACAGTATTGTTAGGCACCAATATTTCTCAATGTCACAAATGCCAACAAAATACAGCCTAATCCGGAGCAACAATGAATAATTTGACTCCTCTTGGAAAAGTCGATGAGAACGTTACGCGTGGGTGATGACCTTTCATAGTCGGGACCCATGCCATGCAGTTTGTGCAGTGATGTGAATTGGGCCACACTGCTGCGCGAAACCAGACACAAAGACCGATCATTGCCGCCTAGCTAGTCACGTGCCGTACATGTACAGTACATGTACAGTACACGTGCACATGAACAGTTTCTACCCAGTTTCTGGGTCAGACCTATTGAAAAAAAAATTGATTCATAAGCAGAATGCGTGGTACCAAATATTCAGCACAATATGTGGGTTTTTTTATCAGCCCAAGTTAACCCCTCCTTCCCCAAAAGGATATAAATTAGGATATATCCTATTCTCGCAGGCAACAGTTTATCTATGTAAAAAAAAAATGTGTGTTTAAAAATCTGTCATCTGATACACAGTACCCTGTGGAGACGTGTATAATTAGGAACTAAAGATTGTGTACGTCTCCACAGGGCAATTTCTATAGGTGAATACGTCTCCACAAGGTTATCACGAAATAGATATATGGATTTTACTCACAAATTTCCAAGGTTTGTAGATCCGTGGCAAATTGGAGTATGTTATGTAAGGGATATTAAGTCTGATTTTCAGCCCAGGAAATTTATTCTGGTTAAAATAGGAGCATTTTGAAACTAGATTTTCAAACTCAAAATTTTAATACACGAGAACAAAGAAATTGGACTCCACAAGGATACAAATTCCAGTGTGTGTGCTTGAAATCTGTACATTAACAAATGGTAAAAGTAAAAATATGTGTAAAGATGCCAAAATAGTTGAAATAACATTTAAAATATAATAAAAAACCTTAAACATTAAATGTTTTTCTTGGAATTTCCCGAGCAGAAATATGAAATTCCCAAGACGTCCTTTGGGACCTGTCGGCGTGTGTGTGTTAATTAAAGGCAGCTGCTTTCGTGAAACACTGCACAGTCCAATAATCGGTGCGTGCTGAAACATTGCACTGCTAATGAACCAGGACTAGGGGTTAGGGTATCTTGTTTGCCGTTTCCTTCAAGTGTTACAAGTCTCTCTGTTCATCCCACAGGAAGCCAGTCTCTTGTTTGTAGTGACCGGCAGTCTGGCCATGATCCAGACCATTGTGGACACGGACGAGGAGCAGGTCATCTTTGTAGCCCGGCCGGGGGAGTTTGTGGGTGAGCTGGCCGTATTGACTGGGGAACCATCCTTCTTCACGGTCCGTGCTAGACAGGACTGCTTCGTGGTCGCCATCAGTAAGACTAGCTTTTACAGGTGAGTGTGGAAGCGATACTCATCAGCACAAGGCTCGATTTGAGTTCTCGTTGGTGAGTGTCGCACCTGTTTCAGACTGGTATTTCAGAGATGCAAAGAAACAAGAGCGTATTAAGAGCGAAATTTTGATTTCTAGTTTTATTTTTTCCATAAAATAGATTCTGAACAATAAGCCAGTTAGGAATTTCAATGACCTGATGTCATTCAGGATAACATCACTGACGTAATGTTATGCAGTGTTACACACACGCCCATTCTGCTGGTAATTTACACGCAAGCATCGTGTGTCTGCATTCATGCGCCTTCAAAACGCCACCACTGCAGCCACTCCTTATTTAGTTTTTGGTGTTAATTTGTGTTGCAAATTTTTCATTTTATTATCTCGCCTGAGTAACCAATGAAAAATTTGATCCTGTTTTCCTCCTTGCCAGTATTATGAGGCTATGCCCTCAGGTAGTGCTGCGCATCGGTCAATACGTGGTCAAGAAACTCTCGCCGTTTGTCCGCCAGACGGATTTTGCGCTGGACTGGATGGGTCTGGAAGCTGGGAAGGCAGTTTACAGGTGAGGAAACATTGAAAGTCAAACCGGTCATCAGTTGAAAACCACTTTACATAGTGGTTGCAGACAGCCAGCTTCAGCAAAAGCTTGTAGCTTTCAAAATCTGACAGCTTTCCAAAATGATACAGGGTCAGTCAAAAAAAGCGGAAAACCAAAGCCCAAAAATTATATTCATATATAAAAAAATATGTTGCACCAAACATAACAATGACCAGCAAGCCAATTTCATAAGGTAATTTTAGATGAAAAAATAATATCAAAGAACATCACCATTTAAACACAATGACCCTAAAACCTCTTTCGTCAGAAAATGCAATTTCAAGAATCGTTGTCACAATTGTCTTCAAACACCACCAGCGATAAAACCTCAGCTTAAAAGTTAAGAATATTCAATAAAATCCTTTTGAAGGCCCATCTTTAAAAAAAAAAGTGGATTTTATAAATCATATTGTTTGCCTTACCAGGGTTGCCTAACACAAGGTCGAGTTCAATCAAAATTGTGAGCTTTGAATTAGAAAAAAAATGTTAGGAGAATGGTAGACGTGTAATAGTGACAAAAGGTATCTGGCCAATCAAGTGCGTATACTCAAGAAAGTATTTTTACTAAACCATTAATTATCACCTCTCCCCTGTGAATTTTTTTGCTAATTCCTAACAATACTGCGTGTTTAATTCATCTTCCATTTGAAACCCCTAGGCAAGGGGAGAAGTCGGACTGCGTCTACATTGTCCTGAATGGCCGCCTTCGGTCTGTCCTAACACTCCCCTGCGGCAAGAAGGAACTCATGGGTGAGCACGGCCGCGGTGAGATCGTCGGCGTGGTGGAAGTACTGACCAGGACTGACCGGAGTACTACCGTCCATGCCATCAGGTCAGTGGGTAGTCTGGTATCAAGCCTCCTTTCACATGAGCAACCTTGTGGCTTCACAGTACTGGCTTTGGTCTCTGTGTTATACAAATCAAGAATTCAGTGCTGCAACTTGAACATGACTAGTCAGTTGGGAAACTTTGACCAATCTCTATATATCTTGAGAATATGTAGGAGTTTTACAGAGCTACCATGCAAAAATGTTAGGGTAGCAATTTACTTTCCTAATCAAAGACAAGAAAATACAGTGAAGAACAAGTGTGAAGCATTATGTAATACTGGACTTTTTGCCAGTATATTGTATTTTTGTTTTGGTTTGTGATACGTATTTTAGCTAATTACAGTGTTTCACAGGGTGTGCATCCTGTCGATCTGGCCCCAATTTAGTCCATAAATCTGGTTTTCTTTTTCAAAAAAGTCTTTTGTACCATAAAATATCCTAGTACACTGCAAACTTCAATACTTCCATTTTGCTTTTAAGTCATGAAAAGAAAGAGGAAAGTATTTTTTTTTAGTTTCAGAGGCATAATTGAAATATATCTGGAATATCCTCGTTTTTGTCTAACCAGTTCGCGTCAGGATTATTTTGACAGTGACCGGACCCAGGCGTGGGATTGTTTTTCATGAACCTCGATGCCGGACGGGTTCAGGCCGTCATCTACGGGTAGCACACCCTAATATTTCTGGCCTTGCTCGCTGCGAGCAGGTCGCATTCATTATCCGTTCCGAATACTGCAAAACCTTTGTGTGTACACACTTCATCGGATGTGAACTGATTTATTAAAATGAAATTGGTTTCTGGTATCCAAATAAACTTTAATGCGAGCTTATGATTCAATTCTAAATTGCCCCTTAAATGTCCTCAGCATTCTTACGAACTTATTTGTTTGCAGTACAAAAATTCATATTTGTTTTGTAAATTATATGCTGTCATCAGAGACACAGAGCTTGCCAAGCTGCCATCGGGCATGCTGGATCTGATCAAGCGCAAGTACCCACAGACCGTCTCCAGACTGATTGAGATCCTGGGTCAAAGGTTACTGGGTCAGGTCCAGGAGAAGGTCGGGTCACATGCAATCTCAGGTAAGAGGTTGAAATTTAATGTCCTTACCTCATGTTTGGTTTTTAAAAAAAAGAGTTTTTTTCCAGAAAATGCACTCTGAAAGTTGCAAACACTGTGCTCTTCAAAAAATGAATTGTTTTCTCCTGAAAAAGTTGTCAATGTGTATGTTTTGTTTTTAAGAAAAACTACTTAATCTGATTTGCAGCCCCACGTCTGTCAGCCAATAATTTAAGAACTAAATGTCGTTGGATTTTTTTCATTCGATGGCTCACCCAAAAGTGAATAACTTTATATCGCTAGAAAAATAGCAATTGAAAAAAAAAAACAAGTCAATTTTTTTGAGTTGAAGGTCGAAAATAGCATTGGGAATGCATCTTTGATCACTGGAGGGCAATGTGAATGACTGCTGTTTTCTCACAAAAAAAGCACTTTAATAAAAAACATTATGTTTTGCATTTTACTCTAAAGCCAGTAATATAAATTGTAAGCCAAGAGTACAGCAAACATTAAAACAGTTGGTTGTTCAGCATTCAAGATATTTTGACACGTTGACCGGTTTTCTGACATATAACATCTAACCTTTGACCTTTGACCTTTATTTCCCAGACATGCATGCGTCAGCCCCCGTTGAGAACCTGTCCACTGTGGCCATTGTGGCCATCTCAGATGACGTCCCTGTCTCCAACTTCACACTGGAGCTCATGCATTCACTCAACGCAATTGGTGAGACATTTTGTAGTCTGTATTCTTTCCTTTTAATTTCTGGAAAAATTCTACCACAACTGGTTGGTTGGTTGGTTGGTTGATCAAGAACATCATCCAACGCCTTCTCAGGTGAAATTGATATTCTGACAAAATTAATTTTTTTTGGATCTTAACTTACTATAAGAAAACTTCAGAAATTGGTATGTAAGAATATAGTTCCTGTGCTAATAAATACACTAATAAATCTTGTTCAGTCAGCCATGTTTTTAAAATCTTGAATTAATAAATAAAATGTGTAGATCGTTGCTTACGAATCCCTTGTGCAGAATTGAAGAGCCTTTCAGTATGTTCCATAAATAAATTGACAGCTCTAAAATGTAAAAATTGAGCTTTATGTGCTCCGAAACTTTGCACCGAGGATTTTGGAAAACAAAAATCTGGAGAATTTTGCAGATATCTTGTGAAGTAAATATATCTCAAGTCAAAAGTATGGTTCCGAGACTCAACTTTTCTAATTCTTCATACAACCATTTAATAATAAATAAAATAAATCTCCAGTACTGTTATTGGATTCTTGGAACAAGACTGAAACAGTGGAAGCATGCTAAAGGTATAAACCTTTAGCATGCTTCCACTGTTTCAGTCTTGTTCCATGAATCCAATAACAGTACTGAATGATAATGGTTTTTTGTACAAAAAAAAAGAACCAGACTTTTTTTCCTTCCAGCCTCGCTTTGGTTACGTTGATTTGCATGGGAAGAAAATCAAGATGTCCGCAACATGATAATGGTCTGTGTTCTTTGAGAGTAAATCACTTTGCACAGTGTAAAACTGTAAACGTCTGATAAGTTTTGAAGACGAACGATTGTTGAAACCCACGATAACAACAAGTACAAGAAGTGTATTTTCCATTCTGGCCAGGTTCCGTCCTTCGACTGACCAAGGAGCACATCCTCCAAACCCTCGGGGGCTCAGCCCTGGATAGCATGCATGAGTACCGGCTGACAGACTGGCTGGGCCAACAGGAGGATTTACATCGTATCGTCCTGTATCAAGCTGACAAACGCATGACCACGTGGACGCAACGATGCATCAGACAGGTAGGCTTAAAGTCTGAAATTACTGTACTCGGCTGGTGTTGAAAAACATTTTTATCCCCTGGCTTTCAAGTTAGACAGGGGATATTGCGATCGCGTATTCCTTCTGTGTGTCCGTGTGTGTGTTGCATTTCACTGTTAAGTTCAGTCACCAATCGCAGCCAAACTTGAAAGGTGGTCTGTGGAGAGCAGGCCGATGTCAAACAAATCCTTTCCAATATGGATATTTACGAGGTCTCTGGAGAGCTCAGCTCAGTATCACTAATGACGCTAACATATGTTAGTCCGGTGTCTCACCCAAACTCTCCATTCAATTCAAACTCCCCATTCAACTGAGAACTGGTACCTGCCGGGTGGACAATCAAGGCCGTCACTGAAAACTGTCCTTAATAACTGCCTGTACCTGTACATGTATACAAACTGGCAGATTGCCAGGGGGATTGCACAAGTTTTACTTGAAAGGTGGTCTGTGGAGAGAAGGCCGATGTCAAACAAATCCTTTCCAATATGGATATTAACGAGGTCTCTGGAGAGCTCAGCTCAGTATCACTAATGACGCTAACATATGTTAGTCCTGTGTCTCACCCAAACTCTCCATTTAACCCAAACTCCCCATTTAAGTGAGAACTGGTACCTGCCGGGTGGACAATCAAGGCCGTCACTGAAAATTGTCCTTAATAACTGCTTGTACATGTACATGTATACAAACTGGCAGATCGCCAGGGGCATCGCGCAAGCTTTACTTAACTCAGAACCATGCTTTGCTACTACTTAAGTGAGAATGTCATTTGAAGCATCTGGTACCTAGTTTGATTTCTGTGTATTTCTTGTATACATCACCATATGTGGCCATGGCACCAGACCATGTCATGTTCCACCCTCCTTAATATGTCATATGCAAGACTAGTCTTATTTTTTTCAAATTTCAAATTGCTTCCTCAATCGCTACTGAAGTAAGATGAAGAAAACTCCATTTAAATTTTGGAGTTGTAATTGAGCCTATCACAGGTCAAATGATAATTTGACCTGAGACTGGATGACTTTAACTTGATTGACATGTGGTTTACTTGTGATGACATGATTATGACTTGATAAACAACTTCATCAAAGTTGAATTGAGACCTCACACTTTGGTAGAATGATATCAAAACGTCACCTTTTTGCAACTCCACAGGCTGACTGCATCTTGATAGTTGGCATTGCCGACCATGACCCAACCCAGGTCGGCAACATCGAGAAGCAGATTGAGAGCTCCGCGGTCCGTGCCCAGAAAGAGCTCATCCTCCTCCACAAGGAGAAGGACGGCGTCTACGCGCCTCCCGAGCGCACCGCCGAGTGGCTGAACGCCCGGGGCTGGTGTGTCTCCCACCACCACATCCGCTGCCCAAAGAGGATGTTCAGCAAGCGCTCGCCGGCTAAAATCCGAGAGACCTACGAGAGGTTGTTTGAGAAGGCTCCCATCCGCACCTCAGACTTCTCCCGGCTAGCGAGGTTCCTGACGGGAACCTCGTTTGGGCTCGTCCTTGGAGGGGGTGGAGCAAGGTAAACTTGGATTGGGTTTGGTCATTAAAAAAGGCGGGGCAAGTGTATGGGGGAATTGGTTTACTCAAAGTGGGCTGGGCAATGTAAAATGGGAGGGGCTTCTGCCAAAATTGGATGAGACAAGGTATGGTGGGAGTGGTTTTCGCTACAGGGATGAGGAAAGGTAAGATTGGATGTGGTTTTCCCAAAAAGGTGATGGGGTAACGTATGACAGGAGTGGGTTTCTTTCTAGTAGGGGATGGAAACTTTATTTTAATTGGAATTGATATTCTCCTTAAAGTGGAGTGCTGTGGCTCGTCTGGAGCATCATATTCAGGATCTGTGGGTAGTTCTGCAGGTTGTGGGTTCGAATCCAGCCAAGGGTTTGGGGAGGGAGAGGGGGAGGGGGAGGTAGTGGTTTGTGTGCCCTGGGCAATTCACTTGCTCACTCATTGCTTCTCTACCCGGAAGTAAATTTAGTACCTGTGAGATGATTATTTTGCTTGAAATAGCTGTTAAAAATATAGCTGCTGGTCTTTTGAAAATCATTTGGGCCCATTGATCCGAGGGAAGAATGAGTTGTTTTGATCTTCATTAAAAGGGCTATAAGCTGTAAAGTATTAACAAAATCACTGTTTTTAACTTTCCTCAAGTATGGTGGCTGTGCACAAGATTTTTTTAGCTCTTTTCCCTTTTTTTTCCTCTCTGCAGAGGTATGTCTCAAGTAGGCATCATGCAAGCCATGGAAGAAGCCGGCATCCCCATCGACGTGGTGGGCGGGACCAGCATCGGAGCCTTCACTGGCGCCCTCTATTGTGAGGAAGGCAAAGTGGAGGGTGTCGCCAGCCGAGCGTTCAAGTGGTGCAAGGACATGGGCACGCTGTGGCCCAAGATCACCGATCTGACGTACCCATTCACTGCTATGTTTACGGGTAAGATTGCTTGATGGTTAAAACAAACAAGATTGGGAGCGATACACAAATAAACGTCTCCCAAAATTTCATCCGGACTACTGTTTTTTGGATTATCATTTTAATGTGGTTTTTTTTTTCAAGTTCTAAGATACTAATTATATTTCACATGTATTTCTACAAAAAAATTTCTCCTGGAAATTGTTCATTTACGCCATCGCTCTTAGAGGAATAATTGTACAGAAGAACTATTTTAATGACTTCAGTCTTTGACAAACTAATTATGAACCTGTTAATGTTGAAGTTGAGTTTAGGTCCAGATCGTAGGCATTTACAGAAAAGTAGGCTTGAAGTAGATATGAGTCCAAAACTAGAAGAAAGTTTGGACTTCAATTGATCCCCGGTTCCTGTCAGTATTCAAACCCGGGACTCCAACATACATTTTGTCTAAGATCTCAATAGTCATAAAAAAAATCTTGTAAAAGGTTAAAGGAAGAAAAACCTCTAAAAGAAATTTTCTGGTAAGATTGTTGGAACTGGGAAGCAATTCTCACACAGACTTGAGTTTGTTACAAAACGATCACGTAATATCGTCGCATCAGTGCAACAAGGTCGTAACTCCATTCTGCAACAAAGTTGTATCTTTGCGCAAATACGCTCCATGCAACAAGGTCGTATCTTGACATCCATTGACTTTGTGTGTACATCCAGGTTATTTTAAGTGAGATACGACCTTTTGACATTCTGAAACTCGCGTTTCGCGTATGGCCCATTTTAGGAGATACGACCTTGTTGCACGGACACGACAATATATATGAAAGCAAAGCAACCAAGTCAAAGAATACATCAACCTTAATCATATATCTCCATAAATATTTTTTTTATTATTTATTTGGGGATGCGCCATTTATACTTAAAATTGACCTACTCTCTTCTGACCACTCAGGCCGGGCTTTCAACAAGAGCATACGGGATGCCTTCCAGGACAAGCTGATTGAGGACTTGTGGATCCCCTACTTCAACATCTCAACCGACATCACTGACTCTAAGATGAGAGTCCATACGAGTGGTAAGACTCTCAAGTTGGTCAGGGTTTGAAGATTTTATTGTACGTAGTGACAGTAAGCCATTTAAGTGGGGGAGGGTTCAAAACCCACCCGGCTGGGGGATTTTGGGGTCGTCTACTTTGACTAAGAGCAAGATCAGGCAAGGGCCACAAGTCCACCAGTTGTTGAGTCATGGTGTATCTTATGTCTGCATGCTGTTGGCGGTGGCGAATGCGTCTAGTCAAACGCTGGTGAATATGTCAACACAATACTTGGCACTGGCTCCCTGCTATGCTTAATGATGCGCAGGGCTATTGGTAACCAGTGATGCAACCGTGCCCTGTGGCTTGGTCCCAAATTATTCGACTAGAGTAGCCCAACCATCCTGCGTTCGAGTTATGTAAGCCAAACTATAGCGTATCAAATTCCTCGCACCGAACTTGCTCCATGTTGGTAACACAATCCACATAACCAACTCTACCAAGAGAATAGTCCATAAGTAGCATTGAAACACTAGAGAGGGGTAGTGTTCGAATCCCTCCTGCGTTCATATTTAAGATACCACCAAATTACGGACGAGAATTGCACTAGTAATCTGTCGCCATTGTTGGTCAGGGTCAACCCCCTCCTGGGTTCTTGTTATTTTTAGGTGCGCTGTTTGAAGCTGTGGCTTCGTTATCCACAGAATATTTCAATGATGTAAATGATCTGTTATTTCTGTGAACATGACAGGTTCTGTTTGGAGGTATACCAGGGCCAGTATGACCCTCTCCGGTTACCTCCCTCCGCTCTGCGACCCTAAAGACGGACATCTGTTGTTAGACGGAGGATACGTCAACAATGTACCAGGTGTGTACGAAATAGTAGCGTGCAGTGTTGCAGTGGAGTCCATTTCAAGTCCATCGCAAGTCAGTCAATCCTTGCTCAAGTCACAAGCTATTCAAGTGAGCTGTGACGAAGGAACTCTTTCTTATTGTTCAACCCCAGTTACTTGTGACAGGATTTATGAGTTGACTTGTGACCGGATTTGTGATGGACTTGTGATGGACTCGCCACGAAACTGGTAGTTTGTTTGCAATGTCTATGGGCTCCGTGTACAAGTACCCATTCAACGGCCAGAAAAGGAGAGTTGGGGGAGACCTAGACTGGTTCCCGGCCCATCCACTGCGTATTTCGAATGATCCAAAGTTCTTGGGTACGGGGATTAGTCTGGGAGACCATCGCAAGTTAAATTCGAGCGTATTCGCGCGCCGACAATGCCTGACGCTCATGCACAGAGATGCTACGGCTTAGCTTTGTGCACATTTAGGATAAATAAGTTGTGAGTACTTCGCGTGCGAACCAGAACAGTATGCACATGCGGTGTCCCGTCCAAGGGGCTCTCAAAAGTGGTAAAAAAAAACACGCCCTCTTTTGTTGGCGCACAGAACCCATAGGGAGAACCTAATAGTAGAAGAGAGTACCTATGAGGCATGCCCCGAATACGTGGAGACTTTTAGTTTACTCTCGAAACAGAGGGACCCTTTCAAAAGCTGATATATTGCATTGTAGTTATATGAAATTTTTTAGTGTGTAAAGATCATTTGCATTTAACAGTAAAAAAAATTGAGTTAGTGTGGTCTCTGTGCACAAGGACTCCCTCAACAGCAAGACAAGGAGAGTTTGGGGGGGGAGACCACTGGGAGAGATATTCAAACGAATTGCCAACGACGCCTCATGCTTAATCTGAGATTCTATGGCTTTCTGCACCTTCAGAATAAAATTAGTCGTGCTTACACCGTGCCTCTGTGGTGAACGAGGTTGTTTCTGCATTCAATGGGGGACTTTGAACAATAGAAAACATTAACAATAGGGTCCCAAATCCCGAAGGTCCCCAATTTCCGATCGTGTACAAAACATATGGGAGGTCTTCCTAAAAAGTTAAAGTACAAACAAAAGAGGGACAATATATAGGGGTCCCCGATTGCAGGCAAATACACACTTGTGTGCACGCGCAGGTGGTGTGTCCCGTCCACAGCGCTCTCGAAATTGGTCAAAAGCGCCCTCTCTTGTTTGCGCACACAGCCCGTTAGCACTGCAGAGTCATTGCAAAATATCATTTTCTTGTCCTGTTTTCTTTTCTATTGTATGACACTGTTTGGTGCAGCCGACGTCATGCGATCCATGGGAGCTCAGACGGTCATCGCAGTGGACGTCGGCAGCGAGGACAACACACAGCTGACCAACTACGGCGACGACCTCTCAGGGTGGTGGCTGCTATGGAAACGCTGGAACCCCTGGGCCAGCCATGTTAGGGTAAGTGACCGCTGTTACGGATTTGGCCACCTATTGCATTAACCGACAGGAATAGTCCACTAATATTACTTTCATTCATTGAAACATTTGACAAAGATACCTGCTAAATTGGAACCTACAATTCAATTCAATTCAATTTGTCTTTATTATCCGTGACGGGAAATTCCATTGGCCTTTTACATTAAACAAGTTAATGAAAAAAACGTTAAAAATTACAAATAAATATTACACAAAAAACACAATACATGTACTTCACTAAGAAGAAAGATATAAAAATATGTTATTAAAATTCAGTAAAGATAAAATACTGCACAGAACCTTAAAAAGCATGTAAACATTCTATGTGGGTACAATTAAAATCCTGTGTTGGTCTGCAATTGTATAATAGTAATCATCGTTCCAACTGCTCATTAAAAATCTGAACAGCTGAAGGGACAAATGTGTCGGCATACGGCTTAGTTCTAATCCTCCTTCTAAGCCTCAAGAGCACCCTACTCACTATGAGCCTCTGACCACTGACTTACTTGGAGACTGTCAAGAAAAGGGATTGGATAGCTCAGTTGGGAGAGCACCAGTACGGTTTTCCGGAGATCACAGGTTCGAATCCTGCTTGAGTCACTGTGTTTGTTGTACTGTGTTTGTGGGTCTTGCAGGTGTTGGACATGAGTGAGATCCAGAGCCGCCTGGCCTACGTGTCCTGCATGAAGCAACTAGAGGAGGTCAAGAATAGTAGCTACTGCCAGTACATCAGACCACCCATCAACAGGTAGGGACTCTCGGGCCCATAAAACAGTCGGAATGTATCGAAAAATCAAACGGGCAGTCCGCATATTTTGCATGGTTTGCAACTTTTGACAGTTGCGTGCACATTATGGCTGAAGGTGGAACCAATTTTGCCAAAAGCAAACATCACACAAATTGTTATTGGGGCTTGTTGAAAAAAACCCAGCTAATGTGAACAATTATTTTATACAAAAAGGATTTTGTTTGGCATACAGATATTGTCTGAAAACCCCTTTTTTCAAATGCATTTCAATTTGGAACAAGAATGGTGCCCAGCATGTTTCCAGCGTGAACTTGCTGTTTTAAATATAGGAAACCATTGCAATTGCGAAGCATGCATTGTCCCGTAGGCCATTCCCAGTGAGAACAGTGCATACACCAAATTTAAAACAGGCAAGACTCTTTGTTGAATATTTCAAATGCTCCAAGTTGTGAGTTCTCCTTCAGTGAACTTTGTTAGTCTTTTCCCAGCCAGCACTTCCAACATACCGTCAACTACTTCAGTTCCTACGGCATGATAAAGCATGACCAAGAATGGATGTTAATTCTTACTTGACTGTCTAACTTTTCTTTCTCTAATTCTTTTTTCCAACCCAGATACAAGACCATGCACTTCCACAAGTACCAAGACCTGTGCGACATCGGCTACCACCACGGCCAGACGGTCTTTGAAGGCTGGAAGAAGAGTAAATACCTGGACGAGCTCTTCAAGGAGAAGCGAGACAACCAGAGGAGGAGGACGGACCAACCACAGGTGGGTAGAAGATAGGGGCCAATTTCACGATGCTGCTAAGCACAAAAATTTGCTTAGCACAAAAAGAGTCTGGCTTATAAAAGCAGGTTACCAGCCAAAACTCCATGTGATTTTCATGCTAAGCAAACAACAGCAGAATACTAATCACGAGCAATATACATCACGTGGAGTTTTGGCTGGTATGGTAACATGCTTTTATAAGCCAGACTTTTTGTGCTGAGCAAATTTTTGTGCTTAGCAGCCCCGTGAAATTGGGCCCAGCTGCTGCAGGTGCCGATTGCAGATGCTTAGCAGAAAGTCTTGCTTAACAAATTTGTGAGCTTAGCAGAAAAACAGGAGAGAACCAGTTAAAAATGCATGATTGGTTGGTAGCTTGTATTTTGTCTGTGCCTAGCTCCGTGCTAATGGGCTTCAGGTCAGGTACGGGGGACCTGCCAATGTGCAGAATATCTAAGATCTGTTGAAGAACACATCAGGGCTCAATTGCATGGCGCTGCTTAACAGTAAGCACAAAAGTGGTGCTTACCAATTAGAAAATTGTGATAACCTTAAGCACTATTTCATGACGTGAATGTGCTAACGGTTGCCCGTGCATGGAGATGTCTATTACATCACTGATTTAAGCCCGTTTCATACTTCACGCGAAAGCAAGTGCAAAGCGAAATTCATGTCGTCAACAATGGTGGACGCGCTCCGAACGTATTGTTGACGTCACGAATTTCACTTCGCTTTCGCTTTCGTGTGAAGTATGAACCGGGCTTTAAGCAACTTTTTGCTCTGAGGTAAGCGTACCTTTTGCTGTGCTGAATGCTTACAGTCTATGAAATAGACAGGCTCTGTTATTCGAAAATCGTGTGCTTAGCTGCGCTATGAAATTGGGCCCAGTTTAGGGGAGACTGCAAAATTAAATATTCAGTAGCTCAAGGTGTACCTCACAGTCTTATGTATTATGTTTTACGGGGTACCTCGTGCATGTGGTTCAGCCTTTATTCACCGCATGTTTCGTTTTAGATTCCCCCCCGAGGTAGATATGGTAGCCACTAAAGTTCATATTATCTTAAGAATTCGTCTCTCGGTAGTTTGTTGTTGAATTTGCAACATCGTTCGTTTGATTTCTTACCACAGACCGTTGGTCAGATACCACGCTTCACTGACTTGGCTGCAATAGTGTCCAGGCTGAACACACCACAGTGGGTGCCGTTTAACCAAGGTAGGTTTTGATTTGAAGTAAATTAAGGCCGTGTGGCATACAGGAGACAGAAGGGTGGGGTTTGTAGCCACATCTGGAATGGTCCATCAGAATAGTCAAAGGACCATTAAGTATTCCAAAATTAATAGTCAAAGGACCATTAAGTATTCCAAAATTTAGTCGTTTTGAACTCGTCCTGCTCTACTAAATATGCTGCGTCCTCTCATTCATCGACTGTTTCTGCTCAAGGGCTGATACGGTGAAATACTCATTAGGTTTCTCCCCGAGTACTGCTTCCCTGTGAAACTCCTTGCCAAGATCTTGCTCTCCCCTGCTTATTTACGTATCATAGGTCAAGTAAAATATCAACAGATTCTCTCTCTTCAATTTGCTTCTTTATTTCTTGCTTGTAGCCATCACCTTGATTGGTCCTTGGCCTTGTGGGTGGCGATTCTGGTTTTTTAAAACCCAAATTGGTCATCTTTTGCTCTTTCTGATGATTTTATTTGTCATGCTCCGTCAGATGAAGTCGACCACACGGACTCGGCCACGCTCTGGCGTCTGGAGAGCCGCGTGGGAAGCGACCTTCCCCCGGCCGGCGGCGTGTCCGACCCCCACCGCCAGAGCCTGTCCAGCGAGGAGATCGAGGTGGAGGAATCAGAGTCGGACGTCTCGCCTCCAATGCCGCAGGTCCAGAGCATCCTGAGCGACGGGGTGCGGCAACGCAAGGTGGGCTTCAACGAAACGGCAGCTGTCGACGATGAAGTAGAAGAAGATGAATACGAAGATGAGAATTGAAATTGCTTGACAGACTGCGGTCAGAGCCTCGCCAATCCAACATGTATTTAAAATGACCAGAATGGACCTAAATAATATTTGATTTCGGACGGGAGACAGTCATGTTTCATTTTTCATTGACTGGATTTTGAAGCCCTTTTGAACGATTACAACAGTAGATCTTTAGTAGTCGCTCCTAATTGTTCCAATTCTGATCGTTGCAATGATAAGGTTCAGCACAACTCTGAAACGTCAGTCCAAAAACAGGGTTACAGTCAGGGATGTAGTCGAGTTCATCACAAGTCCATCACAAGTCCTCCAGTCCCAATTCAACTCCCAAGCTATTCAAATGAGCTTTGACAAAGGCATTCCTTTGTTATTGTTCATCCACTGTTACTTGTGACTGGACTTGCGATTTTTATGTGACTGGATTTGTGACGGACTTGACTTGAGGAATTTGGCTTATGCGCATGCGGAGATCCCGCAACTAAGCATTCTAAGCACAAAAAACATTTGCTTACTCAAAAGTGGTTACCAACCAAATTGCTATGTCAGTTAGCATTGCTTGTGGTTGGTTCCCTGCTTGATTAGCGCTGAGCAGACAAATTTACGAAGCAGTATTTTGTGTTGAAAAGCAGGTTTGTGTAATTGGGCCCAGAACGGTTCTCTACATAAGCCAGACATGTACAGGAATTTTTAGTTGTTGATAAGACCGAGTAACAAAATAGAACGGTTTCTCGTCCGGGATTTTGAAAAAATGAAGCGGACGGGGTTTTTTTGCCTCCCTTTTACCCCAAGATGGTGGATTTTCCAAGATGGGGATAGATTCTTCCATTTTCTCAACTCTTTTTGCAAATACAAAATTGCGTCCAAAGTAGCTTTAACCCTTTCTACATAGCTACAATTTTGTTGGGAAACAAATAAAACGTCAATATGTTTGCATAATATACATTTCAAATGTATGAATTGCAACAACAAAAAAGAGGAAGCTGGCAGGAAAAAAGAAGCAGGTGGAGACAAGAAACTGTTTTTTTTTTTTACTTGGCCTAAATGATAACAGGATTTGAGGTTTGGTTGGGGTGAAGGGGCATTCTTAAGATTTGTTTTAGTAAAACTACAAGATTATTTTTGGGGGATGGTGGATTTTATTGGTTACTGCTGTTTGCTTGGAAATTAGACTGGCAAAACTAATCCATCTGAAGGTTGGTTTTCTTTTCAGTTTGACACTAATATTGTTATTTTGGTGAGTATTCCTATAGAAAAAAAACCTGTCCTTTGATTTGGTCGTTTGATGGACTTAAGTTGCCTGACGCAGATATATTTTCATATAATTTCTTCCCTTGTAACTCCTGTATTATTTCGTATGGAATTTGGGCATTAGTCAAATTCTTAACAGTGTGTTGTTAATTTCTGCTATGCCGAACAATGCAACTAAATGTTATGTTTGCCGTGAAAAGTTTTTGTCCCCAAAAACAGTGTAATGACTTGTGCGGTGTTGTGTCTTATTATTTACATCTTGTGTGTGTAAATCAGAGATATATACTGTATGTAAACATATAAATTATCTCAAAACTGTCCACTGCTCAAACAAAAAGGGTGCAAAAGTTAAGTTTAGACTGGCATACGTTAGGATTGGAAAGTTAAATATTGCTCAGGAGTAATCGTTCCTTAAACAGGGTTAATTTCTGGTGAAGAAGTGTCCTAAAAAATGTACCAAAATGGTTCTCTAAACTGTTATATTTAAAGATAATATACAATTTTATGGATGAATTTGGGGGTTTATTATTTTACAGCAAATATTGTAACACTGACCTGTTTAAAGTTTTGTGTTCATGGATGTTGGAAGAACAAAGAAATATATGCTGTTCTTGTGGTCTTGTTCTCTCGTTCTCTGACCCTACTTCAGACGAAACGGAGCAATTTATAGACGTCGGGGAATTGACAGGTCGGGCTGGCTTGAACCTGTTCACGGATGTGTAACTGATTGCAAACAAAATGGGGACAAACTAAATTTGGTAAAGTGGGGGCAGTATTTGAAAAAAAAGTCAGTTTGTTTCCAACGGTGTTCAGCTGACCATCGTTGAATGATACAAAAATACCACATTTTTTGAAAATGACAGCACACCAGGAGCCATGATTTTACAGGATGCTTGAGACTGTTGTTCACTTACAGTCAACTAAGGTATTTCATAATAATTTGGTAGTTTGGTTTTTGATGTTTGCAAATGTTGCTTACCACCTTTAACTTGAATCTGAAATTTGGTCTGAATGATGAACTTTTGAACAAATTCTGCAATCACCATGAAAAAAGAATAGGGTAGGGATTTTTAAATTGACTTTTTAAAATCCTTTATTAATCAAAACTTGCCCAGATGAGCATGTTACTATTACAGATGTGTTGTCATGGAAACAAAAATATATGATATACAATAAAGTCGCCAGTGGTTAATACAAGAAAAGCCAGTTCATTAAATATCATATTAATTAAATGTGAACATTAATGAAATCACAAGCTTTTCTTTATTTTTAGATTTTATTGAATGTTAGATTATTTATTTTTCTTATTTGGAAAGAACTGAAATATTACAGTTCATTTATCGCCAAATTTGCCTCGGATTTGTCAAAATTAAATTTTTAGGGACGTTTTTGATTGTTCTTGTTTTGTGCAGCTTATGGGTCCCATTTAATTGGAGTGTGTGTGTGTGACACTTTCATGTTTGAATGAGTTTGATTTGCAGAACGAAAGAAAAAAATATATAAATTTTCGGAAGTGGTGTTTATATAATCCACTTGTAATTTTACGTTGGTAGCTGTTATCTTGAATGACCTTGCAATTAAATAAAGAGTGATTGCTGAGTTTAATTGACACTAATGTCTACATCGACTCGTTTTATTGTTTTCAGAATCATTGTGAAAAAGCAACATATTTTGGCAGTTTCAAAAAAGAAAATAAGCTCGGTCGTTGAAAAAAACGGCCCTACAAATGTGAGGATTAATTGGTTATCTACGGGAGATCGGATCAGGAAAAGAAGGATGTATTATATATTTCTAAAAAACTTTGATCCTAAAAACAGTTACCCCCCCCCCCCCCTCCAGCGTACCCTGTCCACTCCTATTTTTAATCCTGTGAGAGAATGCTGGGAAAAAAAACAAGCCGGCTGAATAACTAATTTTAGGACCTGATTTTAAGTTGTTTTGAGAATTGTCTGAATTTGTTGGTACACTTTTCGGCACTTCTGTTATTTCTGTATTAAAAAAGTAGGCCTATCCCTAAACTTTAGGGGGGGGGGGGTTTCCGCCGGTAACCGACGGCTAATACATGTACTTTCAATAGTCAATACGCTCAAATGTCGCGGGGTACCAACGAAATTGCAGACGACAGTGAACATTTTGGGGAAAATGGCGACGTTCAAGAAAAAGCAATTTCGTCGACGAAAGGAATCCTCCTCAGAAGACGAAGAGGCAGAAGAAACCGAAGAAGTCAGGTCTGTTTTCTTGTAGAGGATTTATCTGGTTTGGTACTAAAATGGTAGACTTTCAAAACAAACGGTTTAGCAGGACATCTTGTTTGAATATTAAGCCTATTAAAAACACGACAATCACACACTGAAACGCATTGACTAGTTACGATATTGTGGAATTGAATATGTTTTTCCTCTTTGATTTTGATACCCTCAAACAAAGAAACCCTTTTTTGAAGGACTTTCTCCGGGTAATCCTTACTTTTAGGACCCCTTTCCTATATAAGGTTAAAAAAGACTCACCAAAACAGCTGACTAAATGACACTCAAAAGTGACATTCTGATATTTATTGACACAATTGAACATTTGGCAATGACGCCTCTTTAATATCAGCAGGTTTGATTTTGTAGAAAGACAAATTCTCCGTACCTGGACATCACTTGACACCCTGTGCACAAACCCTATGAGCATGATGAGTATGAGTATGAGACTGGTCTGAAAAATTCCAAGTGTTTTCTCAGTATTCAGTAAATCATAATGCTTCAAATTTTCAATTATACATTGTATTTTCCCTGCTAAATTTGACTTTTAAAACTAATGTTTTAGGATATTTTATCGCGGGTGAATATTGCTGATAGTACTTGTTGGTCACTGCAGGGAAAAATTTCAGTGATGTCCATGTGTAGAAGTCTTCCCACTTTTTTTTTTATAAATAAACCTCTTTTAATTGTTCGGAAGGTAACTTATAATGGCTCAATTAAATCAAGGGTAATGGATTTATTTTAAGAAAATTAGGCCTAGCTATGTGAAAATGTGACTTGTTAATGTTACTGATTGTGCACAAAAAGCCACAAGATATTAATTAATATTGATATAACTACGAAAAATAGTATGACTAGACATGCTAGACATTGTCATGATTGTGAGACGCATTCGGCTAACTGTCGCTAACTGAAAAGCTTCTTATTCTTTTCTTTCACTTTCAGAGCCATATTGGAGGAGACAAGAGAAGCACAAAAATTCAGACAACGCCAACATGGTGTCAGGTGAAACAATTTGGCAATTCGTAATAATAATGTCTAACTTGTTTTTGATAATATTCCATTTGGAATAAATGCAAATGGTCCTACAGTCAGTGCGACAGTTCCGGATCACTTTTTATACAAACCGTTGTACACCCGTCCATGTTTGGAGTTTCTGTGTCCGAGTGACATCATTTCTTAGTAAAATTCCTCTTCTTCAAGTTAAAACCAAATATCTTCACATAGACTCGACTTAAAAGGGAAATGATTCATGGTAACTTGTACAGGATGAACCTGACAGTTGTGAATCACTTTTTACAGTTGCGAAATCTTGAAAAAAAAAGTTGGGTTAGGCCAAAAAAAAAAAATATTCGGTCTCTGGTCAGACCAAAGTTCCGGAATTGACGCGGCCACGCGGCTTTTTTTTTTTTTTTTTTTCTTTTTTTTTTTTTCTTCAAGCTTGGATTGTACAGACAAGGTGGGTACTATTTTGCTTTTTTGGTGTCCTCATGTACATTGGTGTCCTCCATAATTTGCCTTGGTGCTTTCGATCATTTGCCTTGGTGCAATTTCCCATTCCTTGGTGCTCTTTGGTAAAAAAAAAATGAGGAGGTGCGGAAATAGAGGGCGCTGTTGGAGCTACCGCGGAACATTTTTGAAAAAAAAAAGTTCGACGCGCATGATTAAAATCGACGCGCGCGCTGACCAGAGACCGACTTATTTTTTTTTTGGCCTTACAGTTGAATTAATTTGTATTTAATCAAGTGATCCAGAACTGTCGATGATTCGGGACTGTCGCACTGACTGTATGTGACTTTTTTTTTTGTGAGAAGCACTCCAGTTATTGTTTCGGGCTGCGTCAGTGTGTGAAGTTTAAAAACATGGAGCACTAGGTCAGTAACAACTAGCCGTACAGTTTGTGTACAGCATTTTGTAGCACTGGAGGTATATTCTAGTATTTCAGTTAAGCTATAGACTAGAGGGTAATCGTGTAGTTAAGGACCCCGTTCCCTATAAGAGAACAAAAAGACACTTTTATGTTTTGGGACTTAATACCTAAACATTTGGCTATGATACAAGCAGGAAAAATCACTTTTTGTCTTTGGAATCATCTAAATAGTTTGCTAAGATACCATGTTGAATATCAGCTTGGCTAATTTTGTGGAAAGAGGGCAGGGTTTTGATTTATGAACAGAACTTGTAAAACGTAAGTGGTGTCCTAAACAACACGATTACCAGCTAGAGTGAAATTAATTCAGAAAAACAAACAGACCAACGTCGTTTCGTCATGTTCAATTTTTTTGCTTTCAGTTCGGCCAGCCTTGCAATTGGGAAAAAATTCAGCAAAGAAGAGGAGATTGACGTGAGTACTGCTTGGATGCTATTTGTAACATGAAATACAATGTTAGTGTGCTCTGCACTTATGCAGGGAGTGTAATAAACCAATCGGGGTTTCGCTCGCGCATGTAACCAACTGAGATGGAGGGGCCACATACTCAGGATGTTGATCTTTTGCCTCCCAAAAACAAGTGCTCTTTGGTCAGCTTCGAGAGGGGCTCCGTTCAAGAGGAGGACAGAGGAAACGCTTTAACGACACCATGAAGGGGAGCCTCAAGAAATGTAACATTGATGTCAACACCTGGGAGACACTTGCACTGAAACGACCTTCCTGGAAGAAGGATAGAACACTTTGAACCAGCACGAGAGCAGGAGGAAAAGCGCAAACGGCCCTAAGAAAAGAGCGAGAAAGAACCCAGCTCCAAAGACGTCCAGTTACCTCAGGACTTTCCTGTCATGTATGCGGCCGAAGATGTGGCTCAAGGATCAAACTTATCAGCCACTCAAGGGTCCACAGGGACCCAATTTGAAGCCTGTATGTTTGGTAAACGATCATACTGTTTTGGATACAAAACATGTCATGCAATCCTAGTCCAGTAGAGGTCTAGCTGTCAGCATCACGTGAGTTTGTTCATCCAAAATCTGTCCCACAATTAATTGCTCAAACGAAACTCCGAAATGCCTTACTCTTTCATTGAATCACTTTTGTGTTTGCCTTCATCTACAGAATGATCCCTTCAAGCTTCGGACCGGGGGAATGATCTCTCTAAAAGAGATTAAAGACAGAAATCGTGACAGGTAATAACACAGTTCAAACTCCACTTGAATTTCAGTGTCAAGCCAATTCGTTAGGGTAACGGTGAGCGTCACCATGAAACTTTAATTGTTGACGTCATGAAGTTCACTTCGCTTTTGCTTTTGAATGCAGTATGAACTGGTCATAATACAGGCTGTTCAATGCTCACTACTGACGAAGAGCTAGACACTGACTGTACTATTATGCCCATAACTCATGCAGTTTATTGGACTTGTTATAAATATTTTAGAATTGTAAAGGCATACCAGAAATACAAGATATAGATCAATGTCAGTGTAATTCAAAATTTGTTTTATTATTTGTAACCGTCCTATTGTTTGATCAGTAACAGACAGTCAAAAATGTCTTGCACTTCCCCTGCCATGCATTTGTATGCAGACTAGCGAAAAAAGTCAGATGACATTTGTGTAAACACTGTGACTAGTCAAAATCCGTCAACAGAAAAAAGAGGTAACTGGTAGGTACAGCTGTCCTATCAATCACATCTAGTCAAAGGATGGCTATATCACATTAATCCTAACGAACCCTGTCCAGCAAACCCCAACAATAGAGTTTGTTGGAATCTGTTGGAGTGAGCACTGAACTGATAAACAGATTATGTTTTACATGGGGTCAGGCACAGTCCAACAGATTGGGTGTAGAGTTTCCCATAGTGGTGTTGGAATTTGCAGGAGTGAGGAAGGTTCCTAGTAAATCACTCATGGGAGTTAGGGTTAAGAAGGGAATTCTTAATCAGTCACGTGATTGATTTTGACTGCTGCGATGGCGTAGCTGAATTTGTCCGCCAGAGAGGGAGGGTTTTAATTCTTGTTGCTTTTGTTAACCGTTAAATATATCTTGAAAAAAATCACTTTAGATTCTGTGACATTATGCAAACTGTATTATCTGTGTATAATATAGAACTAGACATTGATCATTTTTACCAATTTCCAATATCTACGTTTCAGATCAGATGAAGATTCACGAGATGTTCTGAACATGGAGAACACGTTCGCAGCGGAGACCAACAGGCGGGATGAAGATGCCGAAATGTGAGCCACCTACTCAATTTTAAAACATTGTCACACCTACCGGTACCCAAAAATGTACTAAAATGCTGCGTAATGTATGAAACTTTGTCAAGCTCAACACATTGGGCCAAGTTCGGGCAAGGACCATTGGTCGACTAGTGGTTGATTTGTGACGTACCTTACGCCTGCGCACTGATAGCAACGTGCGAACGTCTCTAGTCAAACGCTGGTCAAAATGTCATCGCAAAACTTCTGGATCCTGGCTCTCTGCTAGTGTTATGAATGCGCACGGCTATTGGTTACCAGCGAAGCAACCAACCCCAGTAGGCTGGTTCCAAATAGTCGACTAGCGTAGTCAACCACCGTTGACTACGCAGCAAACGTTGAGTTCGGGCAAACGTTAGTTTACCATTGGTCAACTATAGTCCTTGCGCGAACTTGGCCCTCGGCTTCAAATAATGCAGTGTGATGAAGAAAATTTGACACAAAACATACTCATACAAAAAGATAAATAAATAAATATATAGCACGATCAATTTTGATCTGTCATAATATGTACTTTTAGCTGTCACAGTACAGTGATGGTCTGTAAATGAATTCTGAACACGATTTCAATTCACCATTATTTCTTCTCGGTGATTTGTAGCTTAATTGTCTTCACAAGACAAATATTTTGCTCTCGAACCCCTTCACTCTATTTCCTGGTGGGCTAAATTGAATTAGGCTTTTTGCGAAGTCCTGCTCCATTCGTCAATCAAATTTATTCCTTCCCAATGCATCCTTCATTAATTGCAGGATGAAGTACATCGAAATTGAGCTTGCCAAGAAGAAAGGGCGAGGCGGCGATGATGAATCTGATGAAGGAAAAAAGAAAGGGGAAAAGTAAGTAATACTGACTCTTCTGTTACTCTGAAATTCTTTGCGGGTTAATTTGCTAAAACAGATCTTTTACAATTGTTTTTATGATGATGTTTTTGTTGTTTTTTGGGATGTAAATCATTTTTTTACTTTGATTTCCAAACTTATATCATCTACTTTTACAAAAATTAATCAACAAATATTTTAGGGCCGGTAGTGTTATTTTAATGAAAAATATATAAAAAAAAAAATTCTTTTGAAAAGTAGTACCAGAAAATATTACTGTGTTTCCTTGTGTTAATGTTTCCTTGACAATGAAATTTTTTTTTCACCATTAGATTGAAGACTGCAGAGGATAAGCTGTATGAGTTGCCGGACCATCTGAAAGTTGAATCCAAGAAGAAATCCGAGGAAATGCTGTCCAATCAAATGCTGTCGGGAATACCGGAGGTGGATTTGGGAATCGAGTAAGTTATAGTCGGTTTGAAACCATTTCAAATTTGGACCGTCTGTGCTATTTACGAGCTTCACCTAGAAAATAGATTTTCATTTTAAATTGCTATTTTTCTAGCAATACAAAACTTATGGTATGATTACTTTACAAGTTTCATATTAATTGAGACTTATTTCAAATTGTTTCCAACCTGACAATAGTTCAATTCTCACCTGGTAGACTGGTTCCGGCCCCCTTTTACAATCGATAAAACCAGTCTATTTGCAGGCTTGATCTGTGTGCACTTAAGCAACCAGATGCTCCCCAACCCCCAATCCCCCCCCCCCCCCCCCAAAAAAAAACACATTAAAAACAACCCGATGCCAAAATAAAATATAACACATTTTTATGTTTTTTAATACAACCTTCATATTTAAAAATTGGCTAGGATGGAAAAAAAACTTAATTTTGTTGGAAAGATCAGAAGTATACCTTTATGGTATTATTTTAATATGTGTAGATTGCATTATAGCAGGAATCACAATATATAAAAAAGAGCCTTGTGTGTCTTTAATATCAATATCTACAGATGGGACACTATATTTTGGAAAGAATCTAGTATCCAGACGCCACTTCTTTGGTTGTGTACAAAATCTATGGAGAGTCGACTGCATTTTCGAAATATTTTCTAACAAAATTGGAAATGTTTCTCAGGCTGAGATTCAAGTTTTTTCAACATTTTTTGCAATGACTGACCTTCATTGAGATAATGATGAAAAATGGCATCGGGATGCAACATTCTTTCGTGTATTTTTGTCAATTTATATTCCTGTTCATTCGTAGCTCCAAGATTGCCAATATCGAAGCGACAGAAGATGCCAAGCAGCAGCACATTGAGGAGAGGAGAAGCAAGAAGAAAGACGTCACCTCCTTCGTGCCCACCAACATGGCCGTCAACTACGTCCAGCATGCTAGATGTAAGCAATAATTGCAAACAGGATAGAAATCCTGTTAATTTATCATGCCAATTATGCTGTCACAAAGTTGGACTTTGGTGACAGCTTGTTTGTGTTGAAAAATTCAAATTGCATTTGCATCTTGAATGTGTACAGATTTTTTTGCATAACAAGAAATACTAAAGTCGTCATTATGTCACCCACCCTAAAAACAGGATAATCGTGAGTTACATCACTTAACTTATCTTCTGGTTCAAAGTACTAAGCAAGTGTATTTTTTTTTAACCAGCATGGCCTTTTCATCCCAAACAAAATTAACTTTTCTCTTCTCCACCCAAACCGGCACCTTTGAATGTCTCTCATTTCCTCGCAACTTTTCCAAGATTAATATAAAGGTGACCTTTAAATGATACCTATATTCATCTTTGCATTACTTGATATAAATCACCTTCGTTTCCAGACATGCACGAGGAGTTGAACCCGCCCAAGCAGAGAGTTGTCAAGGTGGAGGAACCTAAGCCCCGACCAGTGGTCGTTGGAGATGCCGATGGACCAGTGCAAAGTAAGTTGAGAATGCCTGTTGGGAATTGCAATTTGATAACTGCAATTCTCTATCTCTATGGGCTCTGTGCACAAGTACCCCAAGTTCGAATGATCCAAAGTTATTGGGGGCAGGGATTAGTCTCGGAGACCATCGCAAGTTGAATTCGAAAGTATTCGCGCACCGACAATGCCTTGCACTCACGCAAAGACGCGGTGGCTATAACTTTTGCACATTCAGGAAGTCGTGCGTACTTTGCGCACAAACCAGTACAGTACGCACACGCTATGTGTCCTGTCCACAAAGCTCTCAAAAGAGGTAAAAATGCGCCCTCTTTTGTTGGCGCACGGAGCCCATATCTGGGTCATTTGGAAGATCAGCTCAACAGACAGACTTGCTGAGCACCAACAAACCTACCTTGCGAAGGCAATGTGGCAGTCTGTGTCACGTGATGTAAATTGCTTGTAATACAAGTGCTAAGCCCTGTTTTCTCATAGCAAATTAATTTAACAATAGTTTACAGCCGTGATGCGGGATACGGCATTTTTAACACCCGCGGGGCGCCGCAGGTGCCGTGTACCCGGAGGGGTTAATAACGGCATATCCCACATCACAGCAGTCAACAATTGTTTTGTTATATCGTGCTAATAAGTGAAAAGATAAAGGATTGTAAGTTACTATGCAAAAAACAAATGAAATCACTGAAACGAACCTTTTGATAACTGCAAGCTTCCTGCCAGCAGTTACACGGGCCGAGCCTACATGCCTGCGCAACGCAGACATAATTACAGGCGTTTAATATCTATTATCATTTTTCATTTTGTTAATTAAGAATTTCTTCTGCTTTTCCGTCAAGCAGCAACCCAGTCACCACCCAGAAAGCTGAAGAGGAACAACCTGGAGAAAGCCACAGATGATTACCACTACGAACGCTTCAAGAAGCAGCTCAGGAGATACTGAAGGTGATCAGTGTGTTGGTCGGTTGATCTGTCTGTCTGTCCGTTGCCGTTTGAACACGACTATATATTTGAACATGACTGTTGTGTACTGCCAAGCCTGGACTTCACATATGGCAGTTGGCAATTGGGGCACATAATTTTATTTTAATCACTGTATAGAAACAACTGTATAGCCCCAACTTCAGGCAGTTTCATCTCGAGCGACTTGTTTGACGGATCGCGTACTGCATAGTCCACACTGACAGAACAAACTAATATCTTGCTGCAGACATCCATTTATGTAGCCTTCCCGCCTGTCAATCGAACAGTGCGCATTGACCGATTACATCGGGACTTTTGATTGGATGACCGCGGCAGCTTGGTCAAGATCTCTCGCAAGCACTTCGAGAAATGTCTGCAAACAAAAGGTTGGCTTCTGCCCCACATTTGGCCTGTGGTCGATTCTGGAATGGTCCATTCTGCACTCTGTTGTCATCAGTGGACAGAAAGACATCTGAGCAAGATTGTTGCGCAATGGAAGTGCATTTGTGTAAATGTGTGACTAAGAAGACATCAAGATCTTCATCCCAACATCTGGAGCAAGTTAAGGTGACTGTGTTTGTGTGAGCACCGTAGCCAAGCTATCTGGACCTTGTTTTATGCCATGAGATCCCATGCTGGGGTGAAGTAGATGTAGATGTGTGTACCCAAAAGTATATCAGATCTGGAACCAAACTGTGTGTGGTGGATATGGTCCTATTATCATTCAATAGGTCTCTCTCAAAGACGTCATTTCCTACAGACCAGCCACGTGCATCGGCAACTTGCATAACGCGCATCCGTTGTATTGTATTTTGAACACATTTCAAGCAACAGGCGCACATGTTTGGAACATTTTCAACACTGCGCAATGCGTGCTTGATTGCGTGAAATACGCAGTTGCAGTTCTCCTACAGAGATGGTCGTCTTTGAGAGAGACCTATTAAACGCCAGTTTCTTTTAAATGCAATTTTGCAAAAGTAGTATATGAAAAGGAGTAATGATTTTGGAGGAATGGAATCGAAGTAAAGTTTTAGTAACTCACGCCAGTAGTCTCTGCAAAACCAACTCACCCCATGTCTACGTAATTCAGTTTTGTACAAAAGTTTGACAGAATTGAACAAAAAATAAACCACAGGAGGCACTGTTTTAGAATACTTAAAAGATGTGTCGATCAGATAATTTGGGTGCCGTAAATGACAACAGTTTCAAATCATGATCAGTTTTAGATCATGATCAGTTTGAAATCATGATTCTCTCAATAAGTATGAATAGTTCTGCCAAGAATAGACAGCTCAGATTTTGAAGTAGTGTTGGCTGTATTCAGGAGAACGTTTCTCAACTCAACAAACCTGATATTTCAAACATTACAAATTGCAATGTACATGTGCTTTATTAGACAAAGTGCTGTCAATGCATGACTGTCTGATTTACCGGCAGTTTTACAGATTACCCCTGTCTGATAGACCTGCTTTCATCCTGCGGACACTTGAGATATGGCGGAAGTTATCTCACATCCAATTAATCCACATCCAATGATTGCCACAAATTAAGTGTGACTAGCTAAACGGTAGTGACAATGAAGCAATATGTGCTCACATTGGCAATAAATGGAGCGGAAGCTTTTGCCCAATTTCCTCACCGAAGCATTTCCCCAGGCAGCCACAAGCAGATCAAGTAAAAAATTAACTTGGCCAGTCTTCCAATCCATATTAGTTACAGTATGAAATATTTTTTTTAGGTGAACAGGGGCTTTAATAAGCCGGTTTGGTATCTCGATGAAGTAGTCCATGTCAAAGGTCATTCGGGATAAAATCGATGACGTGATGATACGCGATGTTACGCGAATGCCTATTCTGCTTGTAATTAAGGACATAGTCCATCATTTGTAGTTTGTGCATTTTGTTCGTTTGAAGCAACAAAAGTGCTCAAAATCTAATGAAGGATACTGAACAACTAACCTGCTGAAGTTTCAGCTCAGCTTCAGCTGTATATTCCGAGAAAAACAGCATTCTAGGATCTCAATTTCAAATCAAAGTTGCTAAATCATGTTTTGAATTGCGCCTGAATTGCAGCTTTACGCGATGTCGAATTATAGCAACTGCGCGCCTGTGCGTCGTGCCAATGCTTGCACGCGCCGCGCCGAATAACAAAATGAACTACTAATTTAATTTTTCCTACGGTGCTTCTTAAGACGCACCGTTGGAAATGCCTTCTTTCGTTGATTTCTTCAAAATGAGAGCTTGCCAGAAAGAATCATTTCACAGGGAGTTTAGTACCCTTACTATCTTTCAACCAGTATGTTTTTCAACAATAATTACGCCAGTTACTTTTTTGGATAGCTGCAAATGATGGACTCCGGCTTTAACATGCAAGCATCGTGTGCCCGTCTCCCTGCGCGTTCATACGCTTCGATTATCCCGAATGACTCGGGACCCACGTCATTGTGGGCTTTCGCAGTTGAAATACCGAACTGGCTTATTGGCAAAGGTTGTTATCAAAGTGTGGTGTGGTGCCCTTTAATTAAACCATGTTGACCTGATAATTCCATTCCCTAGCTGTCCAGTACTGTCTGCTTACCAAATGGAAAGAGTTTAATAGCCTTTGAACATGCTTTTGATTTTTGGATTTTTTAAAAAGTACAGGCATCGAATATATTTCACAAACGTTAATTTTTCCTTTTCCATTTCTTTTATTAATGTGATCCAAACATAAAGACAGTGTACAATAAATATCTTTAAGTTTTGAAGTTTAAACCATGATACCTCGGATGTCACAAAAGATCGCATATAAACGGATGGGCATGCTAGGGCACTGCTGCAGACAACCTGAGCTACCTGCAAGCCGTCTGGTGCTGTGGGAACCGACTCATGGGGTGAAGCTGAGGGGAAGACAGAGGACGAGCTATGTCGGTGTCCTGAGGAGAGATGCCGGGACGGAGACCACAACAGAGTTGGCTGCCTGCATAAAGGATAGGGAAGATTGGAGACGCCGCAGGGGATCCCGCCTGCGGGCAACATGATAATGATGATACCAGTATTACAAAGAATTATTCATAAGATGGAATTTACGTCAGGGTGATGTAAATTCAATATTGGGTTTTGCCCTTCACCAACGCATTTTTTTATTAACACTGTATACTCCCGAGTAAACTATTATGATGAATCCAGGAATATAGTCAAATCTGTCGCAAGTCTAGTCACAAGTAAATCACAAGTAAATCACAAGTCCAGTCACAAGTCAAGTCACAAGTCCATCACAAGTAAATCACAAGTCCAGTCACAAGTCCAGTCACAAGTCCAGTCACAAGTCACAGTGGATGTACTAAAGAACGCCTTTGTCAAAGCTCATTTGAATAGCTTATGAGTTGAATTGGGACTGGATAACTTGTTATAAACCTGCAGGGACTTGCAGACTCGACTAATATGTCCCTGGATGAATCAATTACCCAACTGAAATGCGCTGGTCTGCTTCTGCCCTTGATTTAATATTCCAGAGCACCCTCTGTCGATGTTTTATTGAACTGTAAACAAAATAATCATGCAGGGCTTATAAAACTCCCTCGTAGGCATTATGAATGGACCGATCCAGTAAGCCCCACCCACTGCGCGCGTGAGCAAATTAACACGTGCTCCTCTCCAATGCCACACTGCATTTTCCTGCCGCGCGCATCATACGCGCGTGCACGCATGTCGGACTTTTGTGCACGCATGTCGGACATAAATCACGACTGTGATTGGTCAGAATACCATGGGGCGGTGCTTACTGGATCGGTCCATTACCACACTGTGCTTGCACAGCAATAATCTCGGCTGGTAAATAAGCTTAAATAAGTTTGATGGGATGTTTCTCATTTAAATTACCAACTGCGTAGCACTGTCTGGATCTCTTCACTAGTCTACAACTACATCTAAGCAAATTAGGTTTTGCCCTTCACCGACGTTTGAACACTGTACACTCAGTGTGTTACCTCCCGAGTGAAAGTTGGAAAAATCACTCGGGTGGGACATCTAAGCACAAGGGGGAGTCAGTCAGTCAGTCAGTCAGAGAGGTACAGCTAAAGAGGACACGGCTGGCACTCTGGGGCCAGCAATCGACAGACACCTAGCAAAGTACGCTTTGATGCCTTCTCAGCAGACATTACTGAAACAGATTTCAGGTAAAAACTAGCTTACAAACTCGCAAGCAGTCAGCATATTTTATGGAAAGAATGTTGCAAACTGACGCTACTTCAGCGGTTGTGTACAAAGTCTATGGAGATGTCAAGAAAATGTTCTAAGTATTTCCTTACAAAATTGGAAAATGTATCTCAGTCCCAGATTCATGTCTTATCATCATTTTTGCAATAACTGACCTTTATTGAGATGATGTATAATGAAAAAAGCAGCGTCAGGTTGCAACATTCTTTCCTATTTTATTTGTTTTCATCTTATGTAGGGTATGTGTCTTTCCATAAACGTAGGATCTGTCTGACCACACAATCTGGCAGTGGAGGTACCAAGATCAAACTGAGTCAGCCATCAAATGTCCTTTTTACCATCTATGGCCCAAATGTGGAACTCTCTTACTGCCCGTATACCCGCTATCAGGAAACTGGCTTGCTTCAGTAGGAAGGTGAATTGTATCAGCAGTCTCCATTAATCTATGGTGTTGTCTAGCTGTTAAGGCCCAGATATTTCCCTGTCCCTGTGACCTTGGTACCTTGTAATATTCCATTCCATTTTCATTAAAAATGACTAGAAGGTATTTTTGCTATTCATGATCACTGTAGGAGGACGACTGATTCAGAATGATAAATTCATAGATGTCGGGTGTAACAGTCTAACAGAGACAGGAAAAATTGGACCCCAAATTTACAGGTTTATGTATATGTTTATCGCTATGCACAGACTGAACAAAATCCATTAATTAAAAATGTGTATTTTTCAAATCAGCAGATGTAAGATCAAACAGTAAGGTACAAGTACTCCAAATTATAATGCAAGTCTATTTTGAGAAGCCGTACGCGCAATAAAAAATATCTGCTCTTAGGCCAAAAAAAAAAAGTCTCCGGTTTCTGGTATGGAGCTTGCCCAAAAAGTGGTGCGCGACGCGGCTTTTTGTTTTTTTACCTGATTTTTTTGCTTCAAATGTCGGCTGATGACTGCAAATGGTGCCCGACTAAACTTAGTGCAAATATAAGGGAGTCAAGAGAGGCCACATAAAGCTTATTCTCGACCATAA